TCTGCTGTCTTTTATGTACTAAAATACTTCGCCAAAAATAAAATAAATAAAAAATTAAAGGTGAAGAAATGATATAATAAATTTATAGAAAAAAATAATAGCATAGTTATATCATTATGACACTTTTCCCAGAGAAACAAATTTTTAATTAAATTGTTGTTATTGCCATTTTATGTGTGATAATTTTCCATCTCAAGCTATTCGACTGAGATGAGTTTTTCTGAGTTGAGTCAAGTTGATCTTGGAGAAGTTTCTCGGCTACATCTCATCTAAGAGTGATTGCCTTTTCGATGAGTTTGGAGGAGAGAAACTCCCTCTTGTTTTCAAAACCATAAATAATCTATGATATTTAATGAATTCTTCTTGTGTGCTCCAGTGCTCCAGTGCTCCAGTGCCATTACTTGGTATATATCATTCAGTGTCTTCTGTACAATCTATGGATAAATTTGATCTTACCTTAGACTGGTTGTTCCTTATGATTTAATAATAATACAAGTGAATGAGAATAGCACTTTATAAATTTTGGTCGTAAGAAGGGATTGCCTAATTTTTATTGTTGAATCACTGTCTCATTAGCATCATCCACTTTAAGTTTTTCCTGCGATACTATTTAACCTAGAAAATGTCTGTTATAAAAAAAGATATGAAACTGTGTTGTTTTATAAGTACGGTACAGCTATATCAAAATAAAATATAAAGATATGTTATTTTTTAGTACATTTATTTTTAGGTGATAGATCTTTTGAACACCAACCACAGAAGATACTTGAATGTCCGATGGTCCAAAAATAAAGGTTTCTACGTAGAGAATCTGTTTATAGTAGAATGTGAGACTGTGGATGATCTCATGGCTGTCTTGGAAGAAGGTAGGACAACATCTCCTGTTAATTTTTGTGTGTTAAAAAAAAATTTGACATGCTAAATTGTTGTACAAGTCAGTAGGTAAAGTATGGGCAAAATTTTGGGCCAAATGTCACTTATTATCAAATTTCATTAGAGTCTATTATTCAGATATAGCCAAAGGCTCTACCTAAGTATCATGAGATATGGGTTATAGGTATAGAACCACTAATTCATGGCTCAGTCAGGAAAAACATGCAGGAATGTAGTACATTAAATATTATACCAAAATAGTTCCTTCACATAGTTGTAACTTGTAATATTTGTTAAATGTTTCTATAATTTTGGAAGCAAATTAATGCTTATGGACTGTGAATCATTATAGAATAGGGATGGGTAATTATTTAAGATAATAAGAAAAATGTATGAAATAGAAATAAAAGAGCATATGTCAGTTCTTCGATCAGAAGTTTCTGTTTTTGTACTTTCACACTTCCTAGAAACAATGCCCTCTTAAAAGCAATTAAAAGATTTTATTTAAGCGCAAGCCTTAATAGCTTAAATAATTTTTTTTTTTACACTTTATTTGTACTTAAGACATAAGAGGTATGAATTCTAGAACTTACAGAATTTAACATAGAAAGCAATGGGGCCATGGATCAGTGGTCTTCCTCCTCCTTAGACAAACACCTTCCCACAAGTCTTATCCATACTGAAAGCTCTGTACATTTGAGAACTTGCTGAACTAACAGAAAGTGTATAATTTATTTTTGATTCAGTCATATTAAATATACAGTTGTCTGGATAATACATATCGTATGCAAAGAAAAGTAGGATCACTTGGTTAATTTTGTTTTCAAGTTATATTCGTAGAAATTTTGATAGAAAATTTTAAAATATACATTGTGATAAGGGAAATAACTCTATTTCATTTACCAACAAATAAAATGATAGTTTAGGTAGGATATGTGAGTTAATGATCATGTATGGATATATCTGTATTGTAACTATCAAAATACCTGTAAGACTTACTGTCATTCTCCTTTTGATCCTACCAGATGTTCCTGTACCTGTCCCAAACAAGGAACCTCTTAAGGGGGTACCTAACACTTTGACTAAAATAGATTTGGCTGGTTTAATTTTCATAAAATTTTGACAAAATATTTACTTTGACCTGTCGAAAATAATATAAAAATTTCAAAAAATAGGAACCACACAATTTACAGGAATTCATTGGATATATAGCAGTTTGACAAAGACTAATTTTGATCATTGAGAAGCTTGATTTTTCTTTACTAATAGTATGTGATTAAAATGTTCAGCTGATTTTTAATGAGTTAACTCCCTTAGCGGCTATCCTTAGTTTTATTTTGATGTTTTACATCCGTGAGGAAATTATATGGCAGATCTTTGATTGTCTGTTAAACTTGTTCACCTTTTGCCTTCTCTTAATGTGCTGTCGAGCTTGACACTTGTCTATTGTTGAAGACTGTATGTTGCACTTTAGAAGTTTTTTGTTTTTATATTGTTTGGTTGCTGTATTATTCACTCTACTCCCTCATCTCCCCTGTGACTATTATATTTCTTTTGTAACTTAAGTTTTAATGTTTGATATTTTGCTATCAATAGTTTTTAACATGTTAAACAATTTCTTGCACTTGCCTTCATGAAAATTTGTTGAACTCTCCATTAACTGTTTTCTCTGATCATTGAAGGTAACGTAGTGAGCTTCTGGTGTCTATTATTGTAGCTGTCCAATTAGTGGACAAAAATGGTAATAGGTTCAAATCTAAAATAAAAATATATTATTCTTCAGGAATTCTGAACGAGAGTATCTGACTTCTTCCTCGATTTTTCTTTGTGGTCAAGGAACTAAATCTTGCTTTCTCTGTTGTATCTTTTGGGTTATTTATTGCCTATCATTTTTTTGTCCCCCGCATAAAGTGTTGCGGGGGATGTGGAAATACTGGGCATTCGTCTGGTCTTGTTAGCGCTCTCACAGGTACAATTCTTGCCAGATTTTAAAAAAACTTATACTATAGGCTAATATCAGCAATATCTTGGACAAGTTCTATAATGGTGGCCGATCGACTTTTAAAAAAAAGAGTTATGCCCCTTGGAAATATTAAATTTATGGAAAATGGCCTCGTTAGCGCTCTCACAGGTACAATTCTTGCCAGATTTTTATAAAACTTATAAGGGGACAAAGTCCCCTATAACAGTAGAAAAATCTCTTTCTTTCTTCAGGTCTCATTTGTCGTGAGACTTTTGGTATATTTTTCAGTCAAATATATAGGAATGAACACAATAACAATTTCATTTTTAATTATTCTCTGATATGAAAAAAAAAGGTTACCTGATTATAGCGTCTCTTTGTTTACATTGAAAACGACGTAATGACTAAAATGACGTCACAATTAAAATCCCTAACAACAGAAACAACATCGGTAACGTAACGTAATTTCCGTTTCTTTTTGAACATTAAAATATGTTAGAATTAAAAAAAAGTAATTGATTCAGACTTCTTCCCCTTTCACAGGTAACGCCTGCTTCATATTACTATAGGTTAATATCAGCAATATCTCGGACAAGTTCTATAATGGTGGACGATCGACTTTTTTTAAAAGAGTTATGCTCCTTGGAAATATAAAATATGCGCAACGCAGGGGACATTGGAACTCTGTTCTTTTATTCTTTTTGGAATGGTCTGCCTTTCTTTCACTTTTTGTTCTGCATCCTTAGTATCAGTTATTCAAGGTTAAAACACTTTAGAGGGTAACAATTTGTAAACTTTAATTTAAGTACAATTAATTAAAGTTAAAATTTAAGATAGAGCATAGCTCTATACATTCTATGGGAGATAACTCTATTTTCTTAAAGACATAATCAACAATAAATAGACTTAAAACCAAGATTGCTCCATGCCTCATTACTATAATGTGCATTTTCTCATGAAAAACTAATCAGTAAACAATGTATTTATCAATAAAAAGACAATAAATCTTCACAAAACCACAGGAAGATCTTCCCTTAGTATCTGATTTTGTTTAAATTCATTGAGTTATTGATCTATGAAATTTTACTTGAATGACATTGTTACGTGGGTACAGGTATTTTGAATTAGACGTAATTAATGAATCAATAAGTTTGTGTGAGAGGTCTTTAATAACGTCCTGTTTATAATGGCAAAGATGTATTGTCAGTGGTTATTATCTGTCGACTGGCAATTGTTGCCAGGGTCTGACAGTTAATTTCCTTTTCTTGTTATTCTTTTAAAATGCCAATTTCCTTTTTGTGATCATGCTTATTGAACAAAATATACAAAGTGTAACAATAAAATGAGTTTATCATTTAAGCAATTCTAGCAAACTAAGTTAAAAGAATAAATTATGAAAAAAGTGAAAATTTTGAACTTTTTATAATTTGTAAATGTAAAAAGTTTCTTTTGTCATACACTTCTCTTCTATGGCTGTCAACCTATCAGTTCATCCAGATGAGTTGGGTTTTTTTTCGAATATGTCTGAGAGATAAAACATTATTTAATGAATGTATGTACAATGCATTATTGGATAGAAAAGGTGTCAAATAGTCACTATATAATTATTTGTCTGTAGAAAAAAAGAAGGATAAACAACTCTTTCTTTTTATATTGTTGGCAATTTGTTATATATATATATACAGCATAAAGAGTTTGAATTTTTATGCCAGGTTGAGGAAAAATTTCAAAAATGAATTATGTCCATTTCAAAATTTTCAGATTCTGGAAGAAAATTTGCAAGGATAGTTGGTAGAATGATTATGAACCATTTATAAATATTTTACTTTATTTATTGATGCACATCATACACAAACTTGAAACATGTATAAAAGGTACGAGCCTTTAAATTCATTTTAAATGATTTATATTCTTATTGAATTGTTTAGTAACAGTTTAAAATTTTCGTATCGCTACAATAATAGAAAGTAAACGTTTAAAGTTGGATCTTGTTTAAATGGAATTTAAGCTTAAAATTAAACTATTCAATGGTGAACTTAAACAAAAGAATGTAAAATGACCGAGTTAAGTAGTTTAAATTAAATAAGTAAGAATTATTACAGGTGACCCCATATTATTCACCTGTAATCAATTTTACTTATCTTCTTTTGTTCCCAGAATTCAAGAATTCAACATGGAGATCAAAAATAATATTTTTATGTTTTACGAACATATATAAAATTGACAATGATTTGAAGGTTTTTGGACCGTTCTTTTAAAACATAACTTAAAGAAAAAATGAAAAGAAAGTTTTAAGAATTTCAAATGGAATATTTGGATTTATTGTAGTGAAAAAAAAAGAATATACTCATAGAAAATTGGATTTAATTAAATTCTGACAATGAAGTATTACAAAATGGATTTGTGAATGAAAATTTAAACAAATAATTGCTCAGTCTTTACATGTAACACTACAAAAGAAGATTTACAGATAAAAGTGTGAAAAAGACTGTTTGAAAAGGCAATTGATACTTTTGTATAATGTCTTTAAATCTTACTGATAGACTTTGACAGACAAATATTGGTATTATTGAGTGATCATAAAAATTGTCTCGGGTAGAAAAGTCAATAGTACGGATATAACCTGAGATTTTAAAATCCCAGGTAAACATAGAACACTGCTATGAATAAAACTGCCAATAATCGAACAAACAGCAGCAAACAGACTGGTAGTCCTGGTAGAGACACTACATATAGTGCTCGTTACAAAGCCACAAGACGAGATGCTCTACAGAGTGCTAAGGTTAGATCTAATGAAAATGTCAGTGGAAATGTTATAGGTAGAGGAAGACCATCTTCATTTCCGAGTGAGAGTGCACTTCCAGAGTTAAAGAAAAGCCAAAACGTTCCAAGACTTAAAAATACTTCTGCAAGACAATCTAGAAATGATAATCAACCAAGTAGAAATTCTGAGAGAGGAAGTGTAACTAGTTACAAACCTAAAGTTTCGCCAGAGCCATCCAGACGTGTGATGAGTAACGAGAGTGTTAGACAGGAAACCAGATCACCGTCATTGAATCATACTAGTCAATCATATCGGGATGTAAGAGCTATGGAAAATGGATATTCCAACCAATTACATCCTCAAAATGGCGACAATAGAAATAACAGGAATGCAAGGTTTGAACAAAATGATAATGTACACTCTAGAGGAATTCCAAATGGAGATATACCAAGAGACCAACATAATTATCAAAGCTCAAATAGGCAGTATGATTACATGAAACCTTTTGTTGGGACATACCCAGAATCCAATGTTGCACGTGGGTCAGGTCAATCAAACAGGACTCATAATCAAATTCCTGAGCATGCCCAGAATGAAGTGTATGCTCAAAAAGCTTCTTTTTATGATCCAAGGGTAGGAAATGGTGTTCAGCAGGAACCCAGTATACAACAAGGTGCACAACACCATGCAAAACAGGAATACGGGGAATATTATGATCGCCGTGTCATGCAACCTCCAGTTCAGAGGTCACCTAAGAATAGACAGCAAGCTAGTCAAGATACATATAGAACTAATAATTCAAATTATAGAAACAATGAAAGATCAAACCAAGGGAATCCAAGTGAAAGGTCAAATGACCGGCAGAATAGTGAAACAGACAGAAGTCCTCCTAGTCCAAGAAAACGTCAGAATCTTCAATCGCAGTCTGATCCTAATCAAGAAAAAGTCCAAGTAAGAACAAAGGATAATAAAGTGCAATATGTCATTCGGAATCGATCTAAAATGTCCAACCCGGACGATCCAATACAAGAAACACAACGAAGTAAAATTAGTCAAAACAATGAAAGTGTTGTTAAAAATCATAAACCTGAGGTCAAACAGGAACCTAAAATCAATTCTAAAGGGTATGACTTTCCTGAAGTTGCAGACGTTGATGACTTCAGTATGGAGGATGTCGGTGATGAGTATGAAGGGAATGATGTTTATTTGTGTTACCTTAAAACTGATGCAGGAGATGTTATTGGTCCTTTACGATTAGATATTGAGGATGTACAATTAGGGCTTCCCAAATTCGATCAGGATAAACAGGATCAAAATCAGGATAAAAAGGATCAAAATCAAGACTCAGGTAAAATAATCTTGCTTGTGCTTCCACATGTAAGTGAAGTTATCTAAATTCACAATGTAAAACAAGCACAAGCTTTACATCAATTAATTTTTTTAAGATCTGAAACTGAGCTACATTTTGAATTTGAAGTTGCATTTGTTTTTTTTTTTTCAAATTGTTAAGTAGTTTTATGGATTTTTATTCATTGGTTGAGAAAAGTTTACATTGACATGCACTCCATTGTGGTCATAGTTTTCTCTTTTGAGGGTACCTGAGTTCATTATTTCAATATTTACTCATATCATAGTAACTAAAATTTGTATTTCATTGAGTAATTATGGTTTCTCCCTACCCACATTCTTTGGTTGAAGGTGGATAGTTATAACATTGGGAAGACCCCCTGCACCAATTGTCTTTATATGAAAATAGTTTTTTTCTGGATGTGTAAAATGATTGATGGCAGATTTTTTTATATTAATCTTAGCTTGTCTAGACTTTGGCGACTTAAAAGCTTGATTTATGTATGGTATATCTTGTTATTTTTGTGTCAGGTTTTGTTTGCAGTTTGGACCTTGGATGGGGCCTTTAAAATTCACCCACCATGTTTATTATTCATGTTTCATGGCCTTATACAATGCATTGAAATTAAATTTAAAATTTCACATAGGGTCAGAATCTTGATAAAATGTTTATTACGAAAAATGCAAAAAATAGACACACGCCAACCATTTCCCAAAAATGTTTCCCAAAAATGTTATATATGATATGCATACTTTTCTAACTTTGACCTCTATAATGACTTCTTTGGTTTTTGTTTTTTATTATGTTGGATTGTGGTCTCATTGACATATACTCTATAGTACATCTTCTGAAAAGAAGAACATTTTACACACTTTATGTCATTGAGCTGGAAGATCAATATTATATTCAATTAAATTTATTTTTACATGTAATGATAATACCAGCTCATTTTTTCACCTACAACTAATCATGATGTAAATTTGTCTGTCACACCATATACTCACTGAATGTCTGACAAAACTTATGAATATTTCATTTTTTCACATTTACTAGACAGTAATCGTTCGATACATACTGGGGATTTACTTATTTTTATGGCTTCCAATTTTTGTGGAATTTTGTTGTATTTTCTTGGATACTTAATTTTATGGTTTTGAAAAATTTTGCGCACAAGGCTAGAAATTTGAGTTTTGTTGAACGTTTAAATTTTTGACTCAACTATACCCAGGTCATCCAAAAATATATGTACCCTATGTTAATTAATGAATCCAAAGTACAGTATATGAATTGTGCTTTGATATGGAAGTAAGTGTGGTCAAAAAGGAAAGACATAATTTTGACAAGCATGTTTTATGACTGGTTATCTGTGAGTTGTCTGTCAATTTGACATTAGTGGAAGCGTTTGACTCCTAATTCAGAAGGTTCGTGTGACTCTTCCTATTGTGTTTGTCTAACAAGTTAACCCTTCCTATTGTTTGTGTTTAACAAGTGACAAATGAGGTTAATGTCAACTTTTTAATTTTTTTCTCAGGTCTCTGTGCCCCCTAGTATTGGTCTCAGTGACACTTGAGAAATTTAATTTGGCCCTTGTTAAGGTGAGCAGATCAGTAATTTTCTTTGGTGTCAAAACAATGTTGATAAATATCAGATTCACTGGTGTAATTTAAAACTTTTGGAAAATGTCTAAATACTTCTGAAGAAATAGGTCAAGTGCATCTCTAAGTAAAAAAGTCAATATAATTGTTTAATCAATGGAAAGCCTTTTATCTATAATTAAAGTTATTTATAAGGTTATGATCAATTTGACAAAATCAAATCTATTAACCTTATAACTGAAGAGTAATCAAAGTCCTTCAGAAACTATCACTTACCTTCATGTCCCAGTTTGGGAGCCTCTTCAGTACTGTAAACCAACTAATTTTCGCGACCTTCGCAAGGAGAAAAATAACGCGAATACTAATCGTCGCTAATATTTAAAGCTTGGACCTTCTCTTATTTAAAAATATCAAGTAAATTTGAAAATCTCAAAAATAAATCGCCGCGAAGTGGCCTAGAAAGGGCTAAACGCTAAATCAAGTAGCCGCGAAAATAAGTTGGTTTACAGTATTTGTCCTTTGTGGTACTGTCCATTCATTTATGTTAGTGGGTACCAATTTTCGTGGATTGAGGAAAATATTTAGTTTCTTTGCTAATTGATTTTGTGGATTTGCCAAAGTCTGCATACATTATAGCATATAGAAAATATATACTTCTTTGAACATTTGTGGTGGACCTTTACCCACCAATTCCACATTATAGCATATATATAAAATGTATACTTCATTGAACATTTAAATTTGTGGTGGACCTTTATCCACGAATTCCACAAAAATTGGTATCCCATAAACAAATAATAATGAATCTACATGATCAACTGTATATTTTTATTTTGTGTTGTTTGGAGACTTTGTGTTTATGATAGATCTTTGATAGTCTGTGTTAAATTTATTCACAACTTTATAAGACTTTGGTCAATCTTTGGATATTTTATGATCACCTGTTGAAGACTGTATGTGTTGCCCCTACATGTCTTTTGGTTAATCATGCTGCTTGGTTACAGTCTCATTGTATTGTCCACATCTACTTGTATTCATAAACAAAATAAAGGACCAATAGACAAACACTTAAAAAATAAAGAAAGAAAGAATGAGTTTTTTTTTAAACCATTGTAGTATTCCTTACAGCTTGAAAATTTAATAATTGGAAACTTTGAAGTTAACCCCAAGGATGTGGATTCAGGATATAAAGTTCTTTATTTCCATTGATTTTTCATGAGATACAATGAGTTTTATACAAATTTAAAGGGATGCAACTTATATTAAATCAATAAACCTTATTGTAAAGTGAATGTTATTATATTGCAGTCTTTAAAACACTGCATTAAATTTGTTCATTCTACTGTGAAGAGAAAAAAGTGGTTATTGAATGTAAATTGATAATATAGAATTACTAAATTTGTATTAGTTCAGTCCAATAAGTTCTCATACTATATAGCTACCTGGGTAGATACAAATGGGATACCAGTATTAGGTTAAATGAAATGTTTAGAAATTGATCAGATCAAGAATAGAAATTTATGTTTTCCTCTTTGTATGAACTGGATACAAAAGGGTGTCATTATTACATACCGTAAATAAAGCATGGAATCAAACAGTATTTATAATGTTCCAACACAACATCATTAGCTATAAACATGTATCTCATGTTACCAAAAATTTTACACAAAAAATACTCATAATTAAGTGGACAGCATTTTGGTATAATTCAACTTACGATTAAAATATTGTGTTGTTAGATTTTTAGTAAAAAGAGCTCCCCGTTAACTGAATACTATATATCTATATTTTTTTCAGCATGTAAGGGAAACAGAGGTTTTATTTTATTGGCCTTAAAGATGATAGAATCTGATATTTACACAAATCTAAATTGTTTTTAATTGTAATTTAAGGCTCATTTACCTTAAGTCTTCTAAAAAACTTCATTATAATTAATACCGAAATTCTATTTCAACGAAAGTCAAACAGAGACATCTGAGTGACCTCTGAAAACAAAAGTTCAATATAAACTATCATCAGACTATTTATGATAACTTGAGATTATTTTGTTGTGGTTCACCAATTCTGTAATAATGTGTACATAAATCTTCATAGATTTAATGATATTGGATTGACCTCCAATTTATACCTATATGTAAACAAACTGTCCACAAGGTTAGCTATATACAGCAATATAACAACACTCAATTGATCTGAAGATTGTTTGTGTTTGGGCTTTGTTGGTATGAATATTTTATTGAGGAGTAGTTGTAATGTAATAGATTACTGGATGATCAAATAATCGGTTGTCTGGCTTTTCTTGTGCATGAACTCATCTTTTCATCTATTAAAGTGATTTGCTACACATATAATGCATTTGATATAGATTTATAAATCTTAGATTTGAATACATTGACAAATAGTAAAGAATATTAAGTAACATTTTGTGTTATAATATTTTACACATATTTTAGGTCTTCCTAAAAAAAAAGAAATTTCAGTATATTATCACTAGGTGACTGACTAGCTGTCCAATACCTTGAACCTGGATAATTTATGAGGTCATATTAAATTTGATATTTCCCATTTCCAGTCTTTGCAAGAGTTATTTTCATGGCAGCTGATATTTTCTTGAAAATCACATTTCAGAATGAAATAATCTGCTTTTAACTTCTGAATTATTGATGAAGAAAACATAATACAATATATTTTAAAATTTTCTATTTTTAGGTATGAGAAATCGGCAAACAGGTTCACATGGTCTGAATGAATTTTCTAGTCGTAGTCACAGTATGTTAACGTTGACAGTGGACACGGAGCAGGTCGATCCAGACGATGAAAATTTATACCTGACGAAACGAGGAAAACTAACATTTGTAGATCTGGCTGGTAGGTTTGATATTAAGACAACATCTTTTCTTATTTGCTAAGGTTATAATTCTCCCCTTATGTTTCTTCATCATCTCCTAACTATATTGGTATCATACATAATGAAGAGGGTGATACTGGTTCATTGTCCCCATAAATTACAAATTTGCCAGAATATTTATCATGTTGAGTGTGGGCAGTATTTGGAAGAAGAAGAAGAATTTTCTTATTCCACTTCTTTCCCACAATTTTTTACTCTTTTGAGTGATAGATCTTGCTTTTTTTTTTAAATTTTCCCCATTCTTCTTTTCTAGTTACCACTACCCTTTTCCCACAGTTTTCATATTCCACAGTTTATCCATATGGTTTATAACCCTCATATCAGATGCAACAACTTGAACAAGCTAATTGTTGAAAAAGGTGAATTTTGACCAAAATTGGCATCAAACACTTTTAAACTGTTAAATTTTTCCGATTTATAGTATTAACAATATTTTATTATGAAATTGAAGACATCTTATACAATATAAATTCACATTGTGGCAAATAGGATTCAGAAACAAGCAGCAAGTGCTTATATAAATCTCTTTTTATACCCCCGCTTTAAAAACGTGGGGATATACTGTTTTACCTCTGTCTGTCCATCCATCCGTCCATCCGTCAGTCCATCTGTCTGTCCCATGAATATTTTTCGTCCCATCTTTCTCAGGAACTACATTACAAGGATTTCTGAAATTTGGTTTCAGGGTTTATATAAGTCAGCTATACTGTGTGATGCGTTTTTAGATTCATCACTCAACAACTATCATCAGTGAGAAGTAGCTCACAGTTTCACTAGTTGTTCATGTTTAGACAAGAGTAATCCCTTAATGATTTTATTTTGCAGGTAGTGAAAAAGTCAAAGATTCTGGGTCTAGTGCTGAGATGTTGATAGAATCCAATAACATCAATAGGAGTTTACTGGTTCTAGGTAAAACATCATATATTATTAGTTAATTCATCACTCACCACTTATCTGAGAATTTGAACACTTATCTGAGAATTTGTTTAGTTGAACATGATTTTGCAGTTCATGATTAACATGTCATTTTTTACCAAATTTTTGTAAATTTTCGATTAACTGTTCATTGTTATTCAAAACTGAAATAACTGTAAATAGCCTTTAGATATCGCACTTTTTATTCTCATCTAATCTTCCAATATTTTGATTATCTAATTTAAATACTTAAAAAGTTTAATGTAAGTAAAGAAGAATTTTTATTGAGGTTAACATTTGTCCTCTACTTCTAATGGGTGATTTCAATATTACGACCACGATGGATCAAATTTCTTATGGATTAATATTGCAGATTAAGTAGAGAGATGCTATAAATAAGGTGTAAAGTGAAAGGTGTCAATGTATTCAAAATCATTTAATTAATTTTCACTTTGATACGGCATGTACAAGTATTGGCTTTTTACATTCAACAGTGCGGATAAGTGTTATTAAATCATTTTTATCGGCCCGTTCATTTATGTGTAATAACATTCCAATCAAGCCAAGGAAAGTCATTTATCTTTTTAAATACTGAAGAATATTGTTACAACTGTAACTGTACTGTGATAAGAAATCCAATAGTGTACCATTTGGATTGTTAATTCCATGTATATATTCATTGACTTATTTAAATTTGAAGCTTTTACCTCAGATACAAGTTTATTTAAAATGGAATTTTGTGAAATTTACATAAAATGGATTATTTTATAATAGTTATTTGTATGTTTTTATACAAATACAGGTAAGAAGGTTAGAATCAGTGAATTTGCAATGTTTTAAGCGATGTAATTAGAGTTTGCAAGTTTTTTTAACTCTTTTTCAGTTTTCTTTAAAGTTCATAAAAATTTCACTCGGTATATACCAAATGAAACACTTGTATTTGTTGACAAGCATCTGTTTGTGAATTTTATATCAGAGAGAGAATTTTTATGTGAGAATATATAAAAAGAAGATGTGGTATGATTGCCAATGAGACAACTCTTCACAATAGACTAAATGACACAGAAATTAACAACTATAGGTCACTGTACGGCCTTCAACAATGAGCAAAGCCCATACCGCATAGTCAGCTATAAAAGGCTCCGAAATGACAAATGTAAAACAATTCAAACGAGAAAATTAAAGGCCTAATTTATGTACAAAATAATGAACAAAAAACAAATATGTAACACAACAACAAACGACATCCACTGAATTACAGGCTCCTGACTTGGGACAGGCACATACAGAATGTGGCAGGGTTAAACTAGTTTGAAGGCGCCAACCCTCCCCCTAGCCTGGGACAGTGGTGTAACAGTACAACATAAGAACAAACTATAAAAATCAGTTGAAAAAGGCTTAACTCATCAGATGGATACAAATAGAAATACATCGAACAAAAAGACAAAGTGGACGTGGACTATAGACTTTATAGTGGATGATTCATATTGAACATTCATGATTCAGGGCTAGGATTATATATAAAAGTACAAAAATGTGAAATGATTACTAAAGACCAATTTATATAGCAACTATGGGTCTATGTACCGTCTTCAACAAAGAGCAAAACCCAAACTGTTAAAATCTTTCCCGACATTACTATCAGATACTACATCAAAATAGTTGGCAGTTTTTCATGTCATTTTGGGTTTTCAGAAATGTGGTAAGATTCTAGTGTTTGAATAGTTATCAGGTTTTTCATGTCTTAATGGTTTTCAGTGTGCCATGGCTAAGTGGTGGTCAGTTTGTATGCCTACAATTGTACCTGTCATTTGTTTTCTGGTCTGTGTGTTTGTCCATCTGTCAGTCTATCTGTCCCATCTATCAGATTCAAGTTTTTGGTCAAGGTAGTTTTGCCTTTGAAATCCCCTTCAGTTTACATGTGAATTTAATCTTTATATGAAAACATGCAACTATTATGGCAGTGACAGAACCAAACTGTTGCCTACAAATAAAAATGCATTACATTGACAGCTCCTAAAGTTTATACATCACGATATAAAAGTACAGATGCACACCATCAAAGTAGAAATGTACGCTAAAAAGTAAAATAAATTTCATATAAAGATGTTCCAACGGTGATGTGACGTAAATTAATGTGCGTTGGCATTAATAATAATCTCTGTAATCCCTTACAAAGTCAGTATATGTATTAACATCTCAGGATTTCCAATCTAGACATAGGGTTAGAGGACACATTCTTCTTTACATAGATCTTACTGCTCTCTAGAAAAATTCTGAAGTATTGCACTCTTTAACAGTTTCTTCTTAGGTGAAAAGGAAGTGAGATATTTTTATGCATTATATTTTGAAAGCTCCTTCTCCGAGTTCACAAATTTGCTAGTTGATATATCAAATTGAACATGGAACTGATTGGCCAATTATGGTATGCTATAACTTATGTGAACCCATTTCACTGCCCTTGCAATAAAGGATTACTTAGTATTAAAAATAAATCTAATTGACATTGAATTGAGGATAAGATCTCAGATCTTATTGTTTGGTTTTCATTGGATTTATATCATTAGGCTGATGTCCTTCCAAGAAATTTGCCATCGGTTTTTGAAAAAAAGTACAAAAATACCAGTTTCATCAGTACATGTTGTTTTTATGTGGAGTCTTAAGTTGGTGTACTTTACAGAAAAGTGAAGTTCCTGAATCTAACCAAGGGCTATAAAATTCAGTTGTACTCAATAGTTTAAAGCAAAGGAATTACAAATTCGTATTTTAAGTACTTGTCTTTATATTTGTGCACTGCATTATTGATTAGTCATGATTTAAATGTTTATAAAGATGTGAATAATTCAAGTATAGTGTTACTGGTTTTCTTAATCATTTAAATATCATAATTATATCTTCAAAGGTAGAAATGATGAAGTATTAAGTTTTACATAGGTAATTGTCGGTTCATGTTATTCCATTTTGATGTCTCTATTATGTTTTTAAATGAAGTAGTTTGTACTTATTTTTTATTAAAGGGAGATAATTTAAAAAAAAAAGAAGAAATAAATCAACAATATATTGATTGATTGTTGGTTGCTTAATGTCCAGTGGCAAATAATTCATGCATGTTCAGGACAACAACAATATATTGAATAACAATTCACAGGTTAAAAGAATACTTTGTTGAAACACTGTCCTGTATGACATTTAGTCTTTTAAAGTATCTTAGTAGATGTAATAGGTACCCTGGTATATTTTTCGTGTCTAAAATATTATTTTGGAGGTCAAGAGAGTTACAACATACCATAGAATTTCCATACAGCTGACTGGGAGTTTCCTAATACACATGGAAATTCCTCATAGCTATTGAAAAGTTTGTATGTAGCTTAAACAAAGTTGAACAAAACTTTCCTTGTAAAGCCTAAAGATATGCCTTGATTTTGATATAATTAGAGAAATTAGTTTGCTACAATACATTGGTAAATAATTTGTTTAAACTTTTATTTCAGGTAACTGTATATCTTCCTTAGGAGACCCAAAGAAACGTCAAGGCCATATACCCTATAGAGACAGCAAACTAACAAAACTTCTAGCGGATAGCTTAGGGGGAAATGGTGTTACATTAATGGTAAGTTTGGGTGAGACTTTTAACAAATAACTTTACAGCAATACCAGGTAAATAAAACTTCTTGCTATATGCTTAGGTTAAATTTTGTATTTCAAATGGTAAAATATGGGTTGAAATTTTAGGGAGAAACCAATTACCTGAAAGGGGCAACAGGTTTTGTAAATTGGTCCTTTTTTATTACCAATGCCAATCAAATTGAATTCATTGTTTTCTAGGTTTTGTTTGTATTGGTCTGTTTGATTGGTTTACCCCTGGTTACATTGATTCAGGGAGGGGTTTCGTGGTAACAAATTTTGTTAAAAAAAATTTATGACAGACTCTTTAGTCCATCGTCATATTGAACATATGCGACAGCTACATGTTGAGACCTGATTATTCTGAAGCCCTGTTGATTGGAAGGGATTTCAATGGTCACGATATTAAAATAGTAAATTAAGAGGGAATAGCATGTTGTTTCTTTTGAAATTGCATGACGCAAAACAGCAGGCTATTAGAAGATTTGCATTTATTTTGCTTTGAGAACTGTTATGATAAATGTCTTCTCTTGCTTAGAGAATAAGATAAAAAGCTTTAAAAAAGGTAGAACACAGATTGTCTGTAATATTGATTTTATAAAGTAGAGATCATTTAAAATGCAAATTTCTTTTTTTAAATCAAAGGAAGGTAGAATATTCAGGTTAAGAAATGTTTTCAATAGAATATTTTTATGAAAGAAGAAATCACCATAGTGATCTAATCTTTTATATTGATACACTTGGGATTTAAAAATGAAATAGGAAAAACATTAGGGATGAACTTGTAAAGATTAAAAGCATTACTGTAGCAAAGGATTTTTTTATGACAGGAGGGGCAGGGGAGTGTCTAACTCTCAGTTTCCAACTCTTACAATTGTTGGACATTAATTGAATAATTAAAAAAAATGTCAGATCAAATGCTAACTTTCATCCAATGTAGCTCAGTTTTTTCCCCCAATTCATTTTACATAAAAAAAAAACTTTTGAAAATCTCAGATAAGTGAAACAGTAGAGTATTAAGTTTATACCTGCTGCCCTCAGATAAAATGATTGTCTGCCCCTGAATGCACTGTAGTCATAGAGATGGACTGGATTTTTTTGCCATCTTTTGTAAGCATGCATTTTAATATTGTACTTTGTAACTTAATATAAAGTTCATTAAAATTTAATAATCAGGCTTTTTGTTTAGAAAGTGCCGCCATATACAGTGCACAACAGAATTGACATCAATGTTTATAGATGATTTATGCATTGTATGGAAACCAATTGATCTGCATTTATAAGAGGGTGGTAATGGGGAAAGGGGGGGGGGGGCATATATGATGATTAACATTAAATTTATAACTTAAATAATGGTACAACGATAAACATTTTCAGCTATTACATACTAATTTTGAAATATAAAACTAAATGGTTTGACAAAGATTAAGCTCTGTTCAACACTTACAACAGTGAAGAAAGTTGTTTATAAGTAAAACTCATTCATATCCTCTTGAAAATAAAACTGCATTTGTATTGCTGTTTAATATTATAAAGGAAGGCCTGTTGTTCAGATGACATTGAGCAATGTAATAAGTTTTACATTGTCAGAGAGAATTTCATCTATTTTTAATAACAGAACAATTTCCGATTGTACTGCAATCTATAATCAGTGCATAATGGAGTGAAAGTTTTCCAATGAATATTTTATCAGAAGCAGAAAGGTGGAATACTTGCTGTATAAAATAATGAGAATTCCTGTGCAAATTTGTTTTTCATCACATCGAATTGATACTGTATCAAATAGCAACATCTTTGTGATGATGTCATTAAAATTTTATAAAAGTTTTACAAAATCATTCAAAATGTGGGGTAAATATTCCTTATTCTTTGTTTTTATATTATTTTAAAAATTTTTCAATATTTAATAAACGAAAATATCCCCTAAACGGGAATGGAAGATTTCAGTATCACATTGCTTGTTTGTTTACACTATTGGATGCTTGACAGTATATTAATAAAATGTTATTTGGGGTATACATCAATGAGACAACAACCAAACAATACAACTGAACAATTTGGAACAATCAATTAATCATTTTTGATATTCCTGATGGTCAAAATTTGTCCCTATAAGGCTATATATTATTCAACTGAATATACTTGTTTATCTCTGACCATCCCTTCTCTTTGACCAAATGAAAATTGAAAAATGCACACACTTCTAAATTGTATGTGTGAAATTTTTTTTATTAAAATTATATTTAGTTTAATAAAAGCTGAAACAGTATACATATATATGAAAGCTTTAGCCTGAACAAATATGGTAAGGGATAACCATAATTATTTAGTCTACATGAACTATGTTTTGATATGATCTCTAACTTAATGAAATGTTAATCTTCCAAAAGTTCTCCCACAAAGACAGGATAAAAAGGCTATAGTCTGAAGTCATTCCAATATGACCTCAGTGAACCCCAGGGTGGGTCAGAGATTATTGGATCACAGTGGTGCTGTGAACAGTTGGTATGTTATAAATACTAACTACACAGTCAAATAGTTTAGAGAGGAGAAGAACAAAGAAACATCTGCAATACTGGATTCTCAATTTCAATAATTCTAAATGTGTGTGAAATATTTGTCACTGGACATAGAATAAAATAAACAATCAATTAGTAATATCCAATTTTCTAATATAATCCACTAAATTTTCAAATTAACAATGAAGTATCTATAAATAAAAGGAGATATGTGGATTGTACATGTACCTCCTCAATAAGACAGCATACCAAGATACCAGAAAGACAATTTACAGGTTAACATACATTCAACAATAGACAATATCTATATGAAATGTCAGTCATCTGAATTGCCCAGAGTCTAGAAAATTTCGAATGAATTTAACAGGAATTATCAAAGATCAACATCAGTTTCTGTGATGCACAAAAACAGTAAATATTCCCACAAAATCAAATAAGAACCCAGGTGTCTAGTAAATTTATATCTAAAGTTAACGGTTGATAGCCCTCCTCCCCAACAACTCCCCATCACCATATTTGTAAAAGGCTTTAAAAAATTGACTTTTTTATATTATCAATTGTGTTAAACGTAAATAACTGTATGATTTACTGTAACTATGATCCTGACCTATTATCATTTAATTTTAATTGATCATTGTAACACTTCGTCAGTTGACATTTTAGTTGCAATCTTTATCACCTTTTTATATTGATTCCCAGTGAAAAAACATAACTTTGCTTTCAAACTGGATATTTTCTAAAAGGTTTAACTAATCATATGAAACGATAATGAATTATGTATAAATCTGTAATTAGATTGTCATTTTGTTATAACATCTTAAAACAGCAGGATTTACTAAGAATCAGACTCATATTCATATGTTTAGTTGCTTAGGAGTATTATATACTTGTTTATAAAGGAGTATTGCAGCCCATCATTTTGAAAGTTATTTGGATATTTTTATATGGACTTTGGAATACATGTAATTTCATGGTCAATTTATTTATGGACTATAGAATCAGGAAAATGTTATGGATCGAAAACTAACCAAAATTCCAATACCGGTATGTTATTTTTGTTTTTGGTTGGAGATTGTTATAATTGATTTAAGTAAAATCTTTTGAATTACTGTATATTTCTGAAAATTAAAATCAGGCTAGACATACTTGTTCAAAAGGTGTAACTAATATAAGGATGTCAATTTCTTCAAAATATAGTACTTGAAAAGTCTCTACTTAATTATTTTGCAAAAATTAACACCTAATGCACATTCATCATAAACTTTCTTCAGTGTAAAAGTAGACAACTGAAACTGGTTGAAATAAAGTTTTTTCATCACACAAGGTACACCTACAAGCAGTATCTTCCTGTAGTCATCCTATGTAATTGTTTGAACTGTTTTACTAACAGAGACCAGTGTAATTGTTATTTAGACCTATATGTTATTCTATTTCTTTTCAGATTGCATGTGTGACTCCGTCTGCTTACCATGTACATGAAACAACAAACACACTCCGATACGCTAGCAGAGCAAAGAGAATTAAAAGTAAACCAGTTATCAAAATGGTAAGTATACACAACTTTCACATTCATGTATATTCCCGTACATTTCCAATGTCACAATCCTTATGTTATTATTTCACAGTAAGAATCAATTGTTCAGTGACATCGTTTAGGCTGCTTCACCTTGGATTAATCGGTGTAACTCATTTGTATAAAAGGACTAGAAACTGGTCAATTGTTTTACAAGAATGCTTTACCTAAAACTGTTTGAAGACCATTTTATTTTGCGATCGTACACACCACCTCTTCTTTTATTTATCTATTTTTATGCCCCACCTACGATAGTAGTAGGGGCATTATGTTTTCTGGTCTGTGTGTCTGTTCATTCGTCTGTCTGTCCGTCTGTCCCACTTCAGGTTAAAGTTTTTGGTCAAGGTAGTTTTTGATGAAGTTGAAGTCCAACTTGAAACTTAGTATACATGTTCCCTATGATATGATCTTTCTAATTTTAATGCCAAATTAGAGTTTTGACCCCAATTTCACGGTCCACTAAACAAAGAAAATGATAGTGCGAGTGTGGCATCCGTGTACTATGGACACATTCTTGTTGTTAATTTTAATTGTTATAGTTTATATTGTATTTGGTTTATAATCATAGAAATTCATGGATTTCTGCTTTTGACAAAAACACAAAAAAAAGCATCATTTCAGGTTTTTTTTTTTAATTTAAAAATTTCAGTTTTAAAAACAACATGAAGAAAAGAACTTTTACTTTAATATAATTATAAATTTTCACAATTATTCATCATATAATACAAAACGGTCAAACCAGACTTAATGATTGCTATTTCATATGAATAATAGAAAGAGGGAATACTGTACAACAGATGCAGAGGGAATTATATTATTTTAGGTTTTTGTCTTTTCATAATTTTTATGTTAATTACATACATGTATTTTCAAAGATCTTGTTGATGTTTGAGAAGTTGAGCAAAAATGAAATACTCAATTTGGTTTTTTTCAAATACAATAAAAACATACCAATTAAACCCTCATTGTAATTACTCCTGTTTTCATTGGCTGAAAATTTTTTGTTGAAACATCTTAAAAACAGCAGGATTTTCCAAGAATCAGACTCATATTCATATGTTTTGTTGATTAGGAGTATTATATACTTGTTTATAAAGGAGTATTGCTGCCCATCATTTTGAAAGTTATTTGGATATTTTTATATGGACTTGGGAATACATGTAATTTTATGGTCAATTTATTTATGGACTAAAGAATCAGGAAAATTTTATGGATCCAATACTAAGTAAAATTCCAATTCGGTTATGTTATTTTTGTGTTTGGTATGTTATTAATTTTGTTTGTTTTTATATATATATTGATAAGGGGGTAACGTCATATGTGGATTGATAAAGTAATTAAACTCTCACAAAGCCCTATTGATGATGATTATGGAAAAATTCATTCAATTACACATTCATGTAAAATTGGAAAATTTGAAAAAAATTCTAGACAAAGTTTTGAATACGCAGACAAACTAATTGCACCAATTTAAATTGCTCACTTGGAACAGAGGGTAAATAGAGTGATCTAATAGTCAAAAATACCATTTGTGTGTGATTTAAAAGAACTTTCAGGCATTTTTATTTCCATATGAAACAGTTATAGTTCACACCTCCTTTAGTTATCTAGATGAAACAACTTAGTTAAACTGTGTTGGCATTTGCACATCTTATGTTAAATTTTATTTGAGTTGATTTTTAGCTCACCTGGCCCAAAGGGCCAAGTGAGCTTTTCTCATCACTTGGCGTCCGTCGTCCGTCGTCGTCGTCGTTGTCGTCGTCCGTCGTCGTTAACTTTTAAAAAAATCTTCTCCTCTGAAACTACTTGGCCAAATTAAACCAAACTTGGCCACAATCATCATTGGGGTATCTAGTTTAAAAAATGTGTCCGGTGACCCGGCGAACTAACCAAGATGGCCGCCATGGCTAAAAATAGAACATAGGGGTAAAATGTAGATTTTGGCTTATATCTCTGAAACCAAAGCATTTAGAGCAAATCTGACAGGGTAAAGTTGTTTATCAGGTCAAGATCTATCTGCCCTGAAATTTTCAGATGAATCTGACAACCCGTTTTGAATTGGTAATTTTAAGGAAATTTTGCCGTTTTTGGTTATTATCTTGAATATTATTATAGATAAAGATAAACTGTAAAAGCAATAATGTTCAGCAAAGTAAGATCTACTATTAAGTCAACTTGACCAAAATGGTCAGTTGACCCCTTAAGGATTTATTGCCCTTTATAGTCAATTTTTAACCATTTTTCGTAAATTTTTGTAATCTTTTACAAAAATCTTCTCCTCTGAAACTACTTAGACAAATTTAACCAAACTTTTCCACAATCATCATTAGGGTATCTAGTTTAAAAAATGTGTCTGATGACCCCACCCGCGAACGAAGATGGCAGACATGGCTAAAAAATAGTACATAGGGTAAAATGCAGTTTTTGGCTCATATCTCTGAAACCAAAGCATTTAGAGCAAATCTGACATGGGGTAAAATTGTTTATCAGTTCAAGATCTATCTGCCCTGAAATTTTCAGACCAATCAGGCAAATCGTTGTTTGGTTGCTGCCCCTGAATTGGTAATTTTAAGGAAATTTTGCCGTTTTTGGTTATTATCTTGAATATTATTATAGATAGAGATAAACTGTAAAAAGCAATAATGTTCAGCAAAGTAAGATCTACTATTAAGTCAACTTGACCAAAATGGTCAGTTGACCCCTTAAGGAGTTATTGCCCTTAATAGTCAATTTTTTACAATTTTTTCATAAATTTTGTAAATTTTTGTAAATTTTTTACAAAATATTTTCCACTGTAACTACTGGGCCAAGTTCATTATAGAAAGAGATAATTGTAAGCAGCAAGAATGTTCAGTAAAGTAAGATCAACAAACACATCACCATCACCAAAACACAATTTTGTCATGAATCCATCTTTGTCCTTTGTTTAATATGCACATATACCAAGATGAGCGACACAGGCTCTTTAGAGCCTCTAGTTAAATATTGATGAGTCAATCCAGATTAAAAACAAGTGTTCTATTGGTTAAACTATTGATTCATACTGAAATATTATACCTTTATAGTTTATATTTCATTTATTTTAAATTTTTATTTAGTAAAAAATATAATGATACATAATCTTATCAGAAACTGACTTCCTAATGTTGTTGATACAGACTAGCTTATAGGATGGAAATTTTTTATTGATGTGAATAAAAACGAAAAATGGATGGGAGGTGTATATCAATGAAATTTATATATCATAATAGTGTAGATTGTTTAGATTTGTGATAGCCAGACTAAACAAAAAACAACCACATAAAAAAACAAAATGCAGCTAATGTATAAAACCAGACTATTCTCAATATAATTCAAGGCATTTAGATTGTTATTGTTTATGTCTTTAGCATATTAGATTATAAGACCACTTAAAAAATATCTAGATTTCTTCCAATTTGGGGGGTTAAGGGGGGGGGGGGACTCTCAAATTTTGTTTTTAATGTTTTGTAAATTTTTGTGAAAACAAAATATGAAATAGCAAGAAATAAAAAAAAAAAATTTGACTCTGAAAAAAGCAATGCAGGGGTTTGAGTTTTTATGATTTTATTTATCATGGCCTTACCAGAGTCCATTGATATTTTCACAGGCTTTGAAAAGAAATTATTTTTGTTGATATTTTCAAAATACATATATCATGTTTTATTATGTTTTCAGGATCCTAGAGAAAAATTAATATTAAGTTTGAAAAGAGAAATTAAAATTTTACGGAATGAAAATCATTATTTACGAGAACAATTAGAATTTCCTGCTAAACCCAAAGGTGATTTACAAAAGAACAATGACGAAAAATTCATGAAGATGGTGAAAGATATGCAGTCAAAAGGTAAATTTATCCAACATATTTAAGAAAATAACCAAACAAAATTCAAAACTAGAAATAATGCACAAAACAAATATTGAGAAGGCAAGCACAAGCCATCTGATAAAACTAGACAGAATCATTGTCAAAATAAAAAAAAACAATAGTGAACAAAACAGAACACAGAGAACTCAGAAACACAAAACACAAGTACATGTTTAAACAAAATCATTACTAGCATCCGTATGTAAAAAATACATGATAAAATTGAGAATGGAAATGGAGAATATATCAAAGAGACAACAACCCGACCAAAGAGCAGACAACAGCCGAAGGCCACCAATGGGTCTTCAATGCAGCGAGAAAATCCTGCACCCAGAGGTGGTCCTCAGCTGGCCCCTAACTAAAATTGTGTGCTATACCTGTATATATTTCTATATTTCTCTACCAGTTAATACAGGTCAAATCAAACCCTGTCCAAACAGTAGTGGCTAGTATTAACTAATATGTCACGACTTACAAGGAATAGTCTTTAGACATTTAATATGTGTATAGTCTTACTAATAAAATGTTGCTTTAATTTGAACAGCTAGTCCTGGTGACAAAGATCTGTATGCCATGTTACAAGAATATATGATAGAAAATGAAGCATTAAGGTAGGTCAAAGTTCTTTGATGTTTCAAAATATTGATAAGCACACATATGAGGGGCTCCAGAAGGGTACCCCTGAGGTCACAAAGTCATGTTTTAAAATTTTCTCAGATCACCAGGTCACTTTTAAACAAATTATACAGTTCTAAACTGACCTGATTCATGGTTTTGAATAGATTTGAAGATCACAGGTCCTTTTAAATGGTCCCAAGGTCGCAAGTCTTATTTGACCATGTTCGAGCCATATCTGAACAAAAGTGATTTTTTTTTTGATTTTGGGAATCATACATGCAATACAAGATTTCAATAAAGTCAAATAATGCTTTTCCTTTTAGAATCTAGTGATCAAATCTTATTAACTCATATGTTGCTCACTAAAATGTTGAAGTTTAAATTGTTATTTATTATATTAAGTAAAATGTCCTGGTTTTTCTTAGGGAAAATATTTTTTATCTCCCTTATTTATCAATCTTCTCTTTAAAATACATGTCTCCTTTCACTTTGAAATATGTCCCTGCTTAAATGAACATTTACCTTCCTGTGTTTGATATAGTTCTCTTCCTGTTCTGAGATTTCAGGGTGTTTTTTGTTGCTTGTGTTTCTTGTCGTCTCATGGGTGTAATTTGTTGCTTATTTATGGTCATGCTTATAATCCTAAAAAAGGAACAAAAGTATTCTGTTTTTGATTACTCATGCATGGTCAACTTTAACTGAATGGGTGAGAAAAACTATGTACTAAATATTCATTATGAAAAGACAGGCAATGAAAGTAAATGTATTATTATATGTTATCAAAACCAATAAACCTAATTATGACAATTGCAGTTATTTCCCATGAACTATTTTAATCAATTTAAAAGGTCAATTCTCACAGAAAATTCTGCAGATTTCATTATTTATTAAATCAAAATACTTTTATATTTTATTTCAAAACACGCTTTATGTTACCATGTTTATCGCAGGTCAACACTTTACTAGAATTGCACAACATAACCGAAAATAAACATTTGACTGCATACACATTTTTTCAGGATTTTTCTTCGTTGAATTCTTAAATTCATGGTTTGCTATGTCCCAAGAAACCTACGAAAATAGGTATACCACAAATAAAAATGAATCCACAGTATATTATCAAGACCAAGTTTTCATTCACAAATAGACAAAAGTCTGCAAAGGGTGTATCTAATGACAACACAACAGGTTTACAACTTAAGTGCTAGTCTGTAAGAATCAGGCAATTCAGAAAATTTTCAAAACATGGCCAAAAAAACCCATCGACCTAACCATCCTGTTTTGAAGTTACCCTCATCCTGAGTTAGAAATGGTCGGTCTTTCTTTTCTGCTTGTCTGGTAATTTGAGAAATCTCTAGATGATTTTTGGTTAGAATGATAGCAAATTATGGAGTTAGCTCCCCATAATTGTTAATTTCTTGTGCATTTCAACCAAATTATATCTTGAATTACCAGAACAGGAAAAGGAAACGAATGAAACCATTATACAATTTGAACATAAAATAATGTCAACTTGAGTGGGTTTTTGTTTGTCATGTTTTCACCAGACAATTCTTAGGCAGAATGGCTCTTTAAAAAAAGTGTGTTATGAGTACATGAAAACAATCAGTTATGATATAATGCTTAATGTATAATATTTCAGAAATGAGAATTCTGAGTTACACAGAAATAAAGATCAGTTACACAGAGATCATCAGTCCTTGTCTAAACATAATGAAAGACTTCAAGTAGATATTGAAAAATTGCAAAGGTAAGTACTCCTTTTTTTACGTAAAGATGGTTTTTGTTGGAACGAAATGCTTGCATTGCATTAAATGTTATAAATGAAAGATTTAAAAGTTGATTTTATAGAGTTGATACAGATGTGTAATTTTTTACTTGTTTTTCCATCTATATTTTTTATTTTATATCGAGTAAGGCTGTTATATTTAATTTTGATGGTATTTTTTTTCTATAATAACAGATCATAATGATATTACAATATTGGTTTGTTTAATTTGATTTCTTGGTTAAATATTATTTCTTTAATTACAGATCGGACAAGGGTCGGCATAACAATGGTGAACCATATAGATCTCCTCAGAACAGCAGTAAACCTCCGTATAACCCTCCTCCTCAACGTCTTCCTGTAAGTCTTACTGATTAAATATAGATTCTACCACTGCATTGAGGGTAATACAATATTTCTTCATTCAAGGCAGTTAAATTTTACAATTTAAAATACAAGGCTTGCTGAGCATTTTAAATATTTAAAATTTAACTGTCCACTAAGAGTTTTGGTATTGGAATCTGTTTCTCTAATATACACACATATATAAAATAAATGTAATCTACAGGTCAGCAAAAGGATAAATCAGGCAAAGAATTAGAGAAATTTTGATATCAACATTGAAGATATTTTGTTCCTTGATTCAATATCTGGTCTGATAAAATATGCCAACTAAAGTTAATTTTTTTAATAGATCTAGAATAAAATTAAAAAATGTGTGAAGCAACCACCCTGGAAATCTGCCATCTCAGTTAGCATTACATTTTGTATGGTAAAGCTACTTGGCATTAAAGTTTTCAAAGAATCTACTATAAATTCTACAAGTAATATGCATAATGACCTCTTATATTTTATTTTAAAGAAAAAGCCCTCAAATTACATTGCTAAGCATATGACATGTAGTGGACTATGATGACTTTTGTTACTTTTCTCATGTTTCTGCACAAATGAGATAAAAAAAATTAGAAAAGTAAATTACATGGTTTGTATTCAAATATATATTAATATTAGATTTATAACTTGTTGTTATTTATTCAATTGTTATGTATATTTTAGCCAAATCCAAATCAAGGTTATGTGAGTCCTACTGCAGGACGAGGGAAGCCTCCACCAAGTCATGGACAACCTAAAAGACCACCTCACCGCCTTTCTGAACCATTGATGAGACCAGCTCAACTGTAAGTATTCTCACCTTTTGCACTCTTCTTCTACCAGTCAACCAGGCAAACTATGTCGCCCTTCTTATGTCTGCCATTTGTGGAAAACCTTAACCATCACATAATAGGCTGTCTGAATCCTTGATGTAAACAGCTCAACTGTAGTTACTCTCTCACATGTCCAACTTAGTCATTAACAACCTGATATCCTTCTTCACTGGCTGTTTAAACATATCATGAGATCATCACAACTGCTTGATATGTTTCTGCCTACTTGTCCCCGTCAGTGGAAGATATAGGCGGGAAAACACCCCTTAAAGAAGAAAAACATATTTTTTTTTCTTTAAAAATGTCAAAATTTTATTTTTGTTGGAATCACGCGGGCACTAAAATCCTGGATATACATCTTCCACTCTTTATCTCTATATGTTAACCCCCTTTAAGTTGTTTTAACCCTTTATTAAAATTATGTTAATGTTAATTATTATACAATGATATTTTTGCTCCTAGAAATGAAATGATATTACAATTGATAAGCATATAAGTCATTATTGCGTGTGTGTAGTGTGGGAAGGTTGAAAGCAAAAGGTAATGTTTTAAAATGAAGCAAAAGTTATAAAAACAAAAGAAAAAATGGTGCAAAATCAATGAAGACGTTTTTTGGGCTAATTTTTCATCATAATTTAAAGATACAAGGATCACTTTTTTTTGTATTTTCAGACCTCCAGAACATTTACAGAACGGCTATGTGGAAGAAGGTTACATGTCTCCAAGGGGACGACCTCCAATACAAAATGGTGGAATGAGACAAGGTAAGGGGATTAACTCTGCTTATAACTTTCATGTTGCCAGACAGTCTCAAAGAACAAGATAATTAGATGGGGACTGGATTGCTTTCTATAATTATACTCAGTGCTTTTAACTATTGCTAAAAAGAAAATATTTGCAATCTTAGGGTTTTTTTTTTCACTACAAAAAGGCTTAGACAGATCTAGTACATTCTTAATAGAAAGAAAAGTAGAGAAGAATATGTTAGGCAAAGAAAGGAATACACACAACAGTTAAACACTTAAAAGAATTCAGGAGAATTTTAAGTATACAGAGAAAATTGTCTGTTGTATATTTAAATGTAGGGGTTTTCTGTTGGAACATACTTCGAAAAAATATTTAAAATCATCCATTATGCCTTATTGTAACATCCCTTAGAGCAAGGGTGAGTTCACTAATTTGATTTTTATTAAGAAATATTTTGGATAAATACTTCTTTTGGAACTTTTTTCAATTAATTTGATCTTGATATTGGTGTCTTGAAAAATGATTTAAGTTTTCAAATATTTATCAATATTTGCTAGCATGAATGCTAAGTGAGTTAAGGTAACCACTTATAAAGGAAAAATATGGAATGGAGATTTCCTTGTTACAGTAGTCATTTAAAAATAAATATAAAAGTGAGATGAAAGATACCAAACGGACATGAAAACTCATTAGTCGAAAACAAACTGAAAATTCCATGGCTAAACATGAAAAAATATCAAAAGACAAACAACAGTAAAGCAGTAACAGTTTTATTATAAAAAAATCCATACAAACAGAATTTAAAAAAAAATAACATTTGACCAAAACAGTCAAATTATAAAAATACATTGACTAAAACAGTCATATTATAAAAATTACATTGACTAAAACAGTCAAATTATAAAAATTACATTGACTAAAACAGTCATATTATATAAAAATTACATTGACTAAAACAGTCATATTATAAAAAATTACATTGACTGAAACAGTCAAATTATAAAAATTTCATTGACTAAAACAGTCATATTATAAAAATTACTTTGACTAGAACAGTCATATTATAAAAAAAATGATGATATGAATTTCCTACTTGTATTAGATTCTCTGACACATGTTAATCTGCCTGCCATTCCGACAGTCGATCAGACATATGTACTAATACACTCACGAAGGCAGTATTTACATAGATTGAAGCGAGAGAAATATAATAGCATTGGTGACTTGCGAGCAGCTACTTCATTCTCATCGTTCTCGTATCTGTGTGAGTTGGAATGGTGCATGTGTATTGTTAGATTTGGCTTATTTAGACAGATTTTTTAGATCTGCAGGGTTTAGCTGCCTCAAATCCTTGTGATCAAACTTTTAATGTTTATCAGTTTCTTTAAAAACTTCAACAGATTCATTGCAAGAGATAGGGAAACTCTCTCTATATATATATACTCATATCATTATTTTTATTAAATAAGAAATTTCTTATTTGTTTATTTCGTAAACTAGAATAAAAAAAAAAAAAGGTAAATAAGGTATAATTTTTTAAATCTTTTATTCTAGGATTTTTCATAGTATGACTAATGTGATGTGTGATAAATAATATTTCAAGATTTTTTGAACATTAGAAACACTGTTTTGATTTTGACTATAAATTTCTTTGTTGTTGGGATCCTTTGTGCATTTTTCTAGTTTTGTATTCATTTAAAAAAGAAATGATATGATTTTTGACTTATTGAGATTTGTAGCTAGTGTATATATTTGTTGAGTTTGATTGCTTCAGTTTAGTGGACATGTTTGAACTGTATATATAGTACATTGCATGTTAAATAGATGATGTGGCAGTAATTTACTGTAAACCTGAAATTTTTCAACAGGGTGGTTTATTTTTTGCTTATTTAAAGATCACTTGAAATGCATGAAAAAACACCCCTATCATATTGCCTGTACAAATCTACAATATTAACATAAGAATGGCACATGTATGGTTCTATGTGTGAATTTAACCTCTGTAGGAAAAAATCATACAACTATATTTTGAAATCTTGAAAAATATCGAAAGCAAGGATATCTACTTTTAAGCAGGGTATTTCCATGGCTTCGTGTGAATATTGTGTTTAGTTGGATATTATATATGATTACACAAGCTTCTGAATTTGTGACAATATTCTGCATTGACCGATTCATTAATGGTATGGCAAAAATATTTTTTTATTTTCGTCGTACGAAAACATTCTTGGAGTACTTTGATATGCTGAATCTAACTGTGTATTTAGATTTTTGATCTTGGGCCCGGTTTTCAAATTGGTCCCACTAAGGTCCAAAGGGTCCAAAATTAAACTTAGTTTGATTTTTACAAAAAATGAATTCAATGGGTTCTTTGATATGCTGAACCTAAACATTGAATACTGATTTTTTATTTTGTGCCTAGTTTTAAAGCTGGTCCAAATCGGGGTTCAAAATTAAACTTTGTTTGATTTTAACAAAAATTGAATGTATGGGGTTCTTTGATATGCTGACTTTGAATATTGTACCATGTGAGGTAAATGTCCAATTTCAAATTTTTAAGTTCTTAGACCACATTCAATCTGTGTCAATAAGCTATGATATGTCAACTATTTAATCACAATCCAAATTCAGAGCTGTATTGCACAATTAATAGAAATTGTTAGTAGATTCATAGTTAAAAAAATGATATTGCATCAAATTTTAGAGAAGAAACTATATATAAATATAGTTTGAAATTTACTGTTCATTATTAGATATTTTGGAAAATGATGAAAGGTAAGTTTTAAAGATTTTTTTGAAGACATTGTATTAATGATGAATGATATTTTGGAAATTGTTACTTTCATTATTTTGTTAAATTTTTGAAGAATTTTGTTGTAGTTTTGTTTGTTATTCTGTATAAATTAATTTTCAGAATGCTATATATATACATATTTTTTGATGAAGTGAATCCCTTTAAAAACTTAGCTAATATTGTCCATTAATAGATAAACAAATTAAATTCTTGGTGTTCTTGGATAGGCTGAATCTTACCATGTATTTAGATTTTGGATATTGGATCATAATAGGTAAATGTCCAATTTCAAATTTTTCAGTTCTTTGACCACATTCATTCTGTGTCTTGTCAAAACCTATGCTGTGTCAAATATTTAATCACAATCCAAATTCAGAGCTGTATCAAGCTTAAATGTAATGTCCATACTTGCCCTAACTGTGGTCGTATCAAGCTCTACACCCTGCAGAGAATTTTATTGTTACATGCTATGTGAATATCATGTTAAAAAGCTCCTTATCTTGAATTTTGAATGAATTGAAATGGTTTTTTTTCCCTTCAGTATGTAATAACATTTTAGATAGTAGATAAATTTTATAGTATAAAAGAAAAAAGAACATAAATAGGAAATATATGAAGAAGTGCATACCTTCAATATATATCTGATTATTATAGAATAACTAATCGAAGAATTCAAATAGAGAAAAATATTCAACGAGTGACCAAACAACACATTAATTCACAAACGCGCGTAGCACATGAGTTTATTATCAGTGTTGTTCGGTCATGAGTTGAATATTTTTCGATATTTGAATTCTTTGATTAGTTATTCTTTTTATTACATTGGCAAATGGTCTTTTTTCTGAAATTAAACTAGAATATGTAAGGAACTATATCTTTTTCTAAGCATTCACAATTTATTTTGATCCGATGTCATGACAACGCCTATTGTTGTATGACGTCAGAGGAGTGAAATAACCACGTTTATTTCACATGTGAAATTATCGGTTTTTATTTCACTGGGAAATCAATGTAATTCATTGCAACCAATGTAATAATAGATTTTATTTTATCTGCATTATATAGGTGCTTTAGAATATCTTTATAAAGTACAGACTCTGTTTAACACTCTCAATACATATTTAAATTTAGAAGAAATGTGCACTTAAATTCCATCTAGTACATCTTCAAATTTGATAAAAAAAAAAAAATTGGATTTGGAATTAAGCATAAATTTTGACATACTGTTCAAATTTATACCTTAGGATCTGACAAAAGGAGAAAACAGACAGGGGAGGTAACTGTGTTTTGTATATTTTGATAAGCATAACACATATAAGGTTTTGGCATACAATTGCAATATCTGCACACTATCAATTTAGATTATTAGATCACGTGAATATGATTGAAAAAATCTTGTGATGGTACTAGTATTTTTATTAAAAGAATACATGTGTCATAAATGTTGAATTTAGAAATATATAAGATATATAAAGAATTCTGTTCTCATTATTAACATAAACATTTTGAAGGACATTCACTAGAAAGTCATGATAATAAAAAGGTACATTTCAATCTAGAACTCAAATGCCATTTTAAAGTTATGAATGTGAATAAATCATGGATAAGATGTTTTATTGAAACTAGAAAATTTGTGTTTATGAAGTAATGGTCATCTTAAGAATCTTGGTGATGGGTTTGCATAAATTGTGAGTGCACACCAGTTCAAGAATCAGGGTGTATTATAAACACAAGGAAAATGAGTAAATTATGTGTCTGCATTGCGATAGGGAACAGAAAGGTTGGTAGTTGTCATGCACCATACATACTCGTACACAGTAGCATGAAGCTTAAGCACAATATAGGTAGTGCTGAATAATCCAACTTCTTAATACCAAGTCTACATTAATGAGAGTGTAGATGGGGGTTTACAGAATAGAGAATAATGGCAAAAAAATATAAAGAATAAAGAAAAATGGACCAAAAAAATAGAAATATAAGAATATAGAAATGAAGGACCCCCCCTATTCAGGTCCTCATTAATGAAGAGCAATTTATTTTACTGTGGATTCATATGTTTTTTTATAAAACCAATTTCAGTACATTTCTTTATATAATAAAAATTAATTTTCTTAGAAATAGTTGATTTAAGTGTTTTTGACTTATTCTGCATTCAAGTCTTAAATTTTTAAAATTGTAGTGAGATGAGAGTTTTTTTGCGCCGTGTTGAAGGCCTCACTGTGACTTTGAGATGAAGAACAGCAATAAAAGCACGGTTCCTTTGCTTTTTGTGTGTTTTTGCTGTGCATGTACTGATTTTGTGTCATGGATGGATACCCCTTATCTTTGTTTTTTCTATTATAGAAATTTTTGTTTTGTCGAACATTTAAATTCACAGATCATGTTTACCCCTGAAAATGAGTACCCATAATAACAATGAATCCACAGTTCTTGGAGTTCTCATATTTATAGATTTTGAAATGCAATGAAATTGAAGACTACATGTATATTTCCATCAGCTGATAACAAACGAATGACCAGAATAAATGTTTACACAATGTCAAAGAAAGGTCAGAGATGAACAAACTGTATAGAATTATATCTGCCGCTAATTTTATTTTAACTTTTCACTGAAACTTTTTGTTTTTGTTTTTATTTTAGAATCCCCAATGAGGCTGACAGATAGTCGTCGTTCTTCCCAATCATCTACAGCAGGTATGTAAATATATAGTCTTACATTGGTACCAGTGGATTATATAAATATACAGTCTTACATTGGTACATGAGTGGATTATATAAATATACAGTCTTACATTGGTACCAATGGATTATATAAATATACAGTCTTACATTGGTACCAGTGGATTATATAAATATACAGTCTTACATTGGTACCTGAGTGGATTATATAAATATACAGTCTTACATTGGTACCAGTGGATTATTATATTTATCCAATTCAGATAGTTATTATTATCGAATTTTAAATCTCGAGCAGAATTTGAACATCTTTAACTGAAACAATAGGACATTAACATATACGTTGTAAATTTCACAATGTTATCACAGTTAAAATATTTTAGGGCCAAAATTACAAGTTAGTGAACCATTACTCCTTTATACTTGGACTTTTTCTTTTCAGATTAGAGATTAATTCCTTATAACATATATTAAACTGAATAAAATATGAAAGAGTTTTTATCTCAAAATGGGTTTATTGGGTAATGTTTAAGAAATTTATATTTTTGGGGGTGAATATAAATAGATTATACTTTTTTGGCCATGTTCTGCAGTAATTTCGAGAAAATCTACAATTTAAATATGTGAATCTATTAAGAATTAGAATATATTGGAACATTGTCACGGTTGGGTGATTTCAATCTTCATTTATCTTTCTTTTTCAGACACTATAAAAAATATTAATGAAAAATTAAAACAAGAACTTTATGACATAGAGGGACAAATCAACCACCATCACCTTGTGAACGCTCGAACACGGTCAGTATATGGTTCACAGACATCCATGCATTCTGTACACCGATGACCACAACAGTGATATTAACCAATCACATTACAGCAATCATAAACTCGGTGTACTCATGTGACTGGATTTCAGTCAGTTGATTGATTGGATAATTCACTTATCATGTGATATAATCCAAAGAAGTTCATTGGATGTATTGAATTAATCATGTGATAAAAAGTGAAGAAATGACTTAATACTGAACTGGATGTGCTATGCAAATTATTCACAGAAGTATACAGGAAAAATTTGCATATTTTATTGACGGTACTAAATTTGCATTTTATACTTATCTGAAATATGATTGGATATTGTGCCAGCCATGTGATATTTTTCGGAAACATATTTATGGCTTGAACCATGAGATAAGAATTCAGAAATGGGTTGCCTGCCTGTGAGTTCTTAGTGCTTTGTTTATAGCAAGATTCAGTTTTAGTTTCTCAAACAATGAGAACAGAAAGATTGTAATTGTGTGAATGATTGGAAGTCTTTATATTTTTATTACTATTCTGCTATTTATTTAAGTAATTTTCATTTGTCTGTTTACGATTTTTAAGTAAACTATGTTAAATGTTTGACATAAAAAAGTTAAATTTGAAAGTCAGGCGCCTGTTTTTTAATAAAACATCATACATGTTATGAATGATTATAAGTTATGGAAGTTTATTGAACATTTATAACATATTTTATACTCCAGAAAAAATAGAGGTACTATTGAAATTTTTTTTTTAATATAGACCATTTTGTGTCTGCAAAAATAGTGTGTTCATTCACGCAGTATTATAAGTGAAACAACCAATTGAAAGCTATATTAATATTTGTATATTCTAACACATTTCCTGGATAGTTGTTATCGTCTGTGGAATTGATATAGAACCTTACAATAATTGACACTTATCTTAATTAACTAAAAATTTTTATTCCCTGTGGAAAGTCGGTGGTTCTTTTGTGGTACTTCTGCTTCCTCAGCAAAAAATGCCATGATTTAGCCAAGAGTGCTGAGAGTGGCATTAAAAACAGCAACAAACAAAACATTAATACTCCAATTTGGAGTTTGTCTCCTATTGAGGGAAATTAATAGTCTGTTTTTTTAGGATTTTCTGCTTATTAAAAACCATAAATTTAATACCCAACTAAATGCGTATTTACCAATAATTTTTTTCAAACAAAGTTTGATACATTTATAAAAAATTCCATCCACTAATTATTTATCCACAAACTCAAAAATTGAAATCCATCAACATATTATCTGACATTTTTTATTTTCCTGTACCATAATAATGTGTATAGATGAAGCAAGATGGTGAAATCTGCATTTGTAATTTTAGCATTTCTATCATGTCTATTGCCACAAGGGAATGGATTAAGACATGTAAGATGTAGGAACATTTTTCATTCAGTTCCTGCTATAGTAGGTATTGCAATTTTTATATACATTTATATATATTTTTAATTTGACCTTTAAAAAATATTCTATTGTTTTGTATTTAATTTGTTGATGAGTGGGGAAAACTTCATATAACTGGATACATTTTTGCATTGTAATCTATCTATTATGAAATTGTGACCGTTTTATATATTAAAATGCCATCCAGTTTACCTCTGCAGTGTCTGTTACAAGACTTGGTATGCAAGGTCCTGTAAGCATGGTTAACATATTTTTTTTTTATTTCATAAGTATTTCATTAAGGGTTTATGAACAAGGGATAGAATTTATGAAATGTGTTATGTAGGTGATTTTAATACTGCTACAAATTCTGTGTTGAAATAAATCTTATTGTCTGATTATGAACGAATATATCATAGCAAAGAAAACTGCTTCTAACAAACTTAACTAGTGAGCAAAAGGTCTGAGAGAAGATATACAAAAATTCACTTACTTCAAAGATGGGAAAACTCTGACTGCAAAATTGATGATGATTTGTTTACTAGAAATTACAAGTATAGATACTTTTTTTCTTTTTTTATCATACATTTAACAATTTTAAAATATTTCCAGCTTTCATAGTAATTTTCTGTGTTAAATAATGAATAAAGTATTACTTTATTACATTATTATGACCTCTTACAGCTCATGTATGACATGTATTTCCAACACATCTGTAGAACCTCCAACAGGACATTATTTCTTTAACAGGGGGGATATTGTAACGTCATAAAATAAAAACCTGCTGTGGTGTTAACCATTGTATCGTTGCATATATGTATTTGTTAGGATTTTGAAATCCAGAATTTTATAGATTTATTGTTATATTTTTTGTTATAAAGAGAAAAATATTTATTATGTCATTGTTGATATCTCATAAATCATAACCAAGTAAAACTGTGATAAAAATAATTTAAATGCTGCTATATCTTGCTTATTTATGAACATAGTAACCATAAAATAGCCTTACACTGTTTCCTTTTTTTTTAATTCGTTGTTTCAGACTGGTTCCCATATCAGTCATTTTTTTTGGGTGTAGACTTGTAATCATTTCCATCAACTTTTTGGCCTTTATAGATATGAGGATCAGGTATTAACCAACCATCTTCATTACTTCCATACATTAGACTGGTACCATTTGATACCAGTTTCCTACATCTGTTTGGCTTTAGCAGATATGAGGATCATGTATTCACCAACAAATTCCTTCTTGCGTTACCAGCAAAAACTATAGTTCAAACTCTCACATGATCTAAATAACCGAAAGGGACATAACGGTTCAAAGAATAGCTTAATTCATCAATGGTCAACTTTGCCTGAGGCAGTTAAAATCTTATTTTATCACTTGACAATAATTCCAATGTTTATGTCCTACATCTGTTTGGCTTAAGCAGATTCGAGGATCATGTATTCACCAACAAATCCCTTCCTGCGTTCCCTGCAAAAACTAAGATTTGAACTCCTTTAGGATCTAAATGACCAAAAGGGACATACAAAGAATATAGCCTGTTATTCATCAATGGTTAACTTTGCCAGAGGGAGATAAAATCTTAGTTTTTTAAGATATTTTCTTACATAAGTAACTGGAAATATCATGTTAGCACAATTTACCAAAGCTCTGATTACTGAGCTGATAATACCCCTAAGAGACTCCAGTCATTTCCAGCAGTGGTTTCAACCATATGTTAGTGAAAAAAATCACTTTATGAATTTCGTTTTTTCATCACCATTAAGTTATGTATGTGATAAAGTTTGGCATAATTCTATTTTGTTGTCATAAAAGAGAGGTGAAGAAACCAAAGGGGCAATAAAAAAAGTCGAAAACAAACTGACAATGCCATGGCAAAACAATGAAAAACAACTACACAAAACACAACATTCGTACTAAAGACTGCGTAATACGAAACCCACCACAAAATTGGGTTGATCTCAGGCGCTCCTGAAGGGTAAGCAGATGATGTGGCGATGGTCGTGTTGTTCATGTAAGTAAAAACATGGTTATAAGTCTAATTCTAAAGTTAAACTTTGAGTAAAAGAGGAAGGGATTGTGGTTACAAAATTGGAACATATCTGTTGTCATCTGTGAAAAAAATAATCGATAACGGTCATCCAACTCGTGATGGAGTGTAAAATTTGCGAAGGATGATTTCAACTTCAACAATGGAACTCTTGATTCAGTAGCTGCTTTGTAAACAGCAACCCTTTATCTAGGAAATCAATATAGGTAAAAGTAAAATCACAAAAATACTGAACTGGAAAATGGAAATGCAAGCTCTGAAATATCATATCAACTGAGAGATATATATTCCATACTCAGGCACTGCTGGAATGTTGTAAGTCATGATATAAGGGAGACTTGACTATCTATTGTATCCTTTATTTCAAGTTCGATGGGGTAGATGCGTTCAACATAGTCCCTAAACTTTGAATTATTTAGTGAGAGGACATCATCTTTATAGCGGAATGTGAAGTTAAAGGATAATGTTAAGATTCTTTTCATTCTCCCTAATAAGCTCCTGTATGAAGTCGGCCTCATATGAATAAAGGAACAAGTCAAGAAGAGAAGCACAGTTTGTTCCCATGGGAATGAGGATAGCATAACTGTTTATTTCATGGCAATAATTCCAATGTTTATGTCAGCCTTGTTTCATTTGCGAGGGTCATGGCAACCAAAGTATTTATAACAGTCTACATCCGTCACAAGTTTGAATTCTTATACAGCCAAAATAGTTCTGTAAGTGTTTGTAAAATCTATATGATTTTGACATAATTTGTAGTGCATATGCGATCATCATACTTGAGTCACTGATTGAGTATGATGCCTTTACACATTAACAGACTTTAAAATAACCTTTAATGACTAACCAAGGGAAGGTGCCTCGGTGTTCTTCCCTAAAGTGCTGGAGGTCATGGGTTAGATCCATAGTTAGTCAAACCAAAAACTTTAATATCAATATTAGCTACTTATCCACCATTCACATAAAATTTAGCAATAAAAGTAAAGGCTGGTAAGTTCATATGAATGGTGATATATCATGAATGTTGCGAAGTTAAAACATGTTTCTCACATACAAACAAACTAAATATCAGTTGAAAAGGCTTGACTCCTCAGATCAACACAAAAGAAAACAAGAGTGCACACCTTGAAATGTCTCGCCTTCTTTATTAATCATTGATATTATGATATTATGTTGATAGTCCTAAATATAAAGCTTTATCACAACTGTCACATAAACTTAACATTAACCAAAAAACTAAACATTGACCAATGAACCATTAAAATGAGGTCAAGGTCAGATGAACCATGCCAGGCAGACATGTACAGCTAACAATTCTTCCATACAACAAATATAGTTGACCTATTGCTTATAGTTTAAGACAGACCATAACACAAAAACTTAGCACTGAGCAATGAATCGTGAAAATGAGGGCAAGGTCAAATAAAACCTGTGCGACCGACATATAGATAAAAAAAATATTTCCATAAACCAAATATAGTTGACCTACTGCATATAGTATTAGAAAAAAAGACAAAAACTCAAAAACTTAACTTTGACCACTGAACCATGAAAATGAGGTCAAGGTCAGATGAAACCTGCCAGCTAAACATGTACACCTTACAATCATTCCATACACCAAATATAGTAGACCTATTGCATACAGTATAAGAAAAACAGATCAAAACACAAAAACTTAACTATAACCACTGAACCATGAAAATGAGGTCAAGGTCAAATGACAACTGCCAGTAGGACATGTACACCTTACAGTCCTTCCATACACCGAATATACTAGACCTATTGCCTATAGTATCTGAGATATGGACTTGACCACCAAAACTTAACCTTGTTCACTGATCCATGAAATGAGGTCGAGGTCAAGTGAAAACTGTCTGTCGGGCATGAGGACCTTGTAAGGTATGCACATACCAAATACAGTTATCCTATTACTTATAATAAGAGAGAATTTAACGTTACAAAAAATCTTAACTTTTTTTTAAGTAGTCACTGAACCATGAAAATGAGGTCAAGGACATTGGACATGTGACTGACAGAAACTTCGTAACATGAGGCATCTATATACAAAGTATGAAGCATCCAGGTCTTCCACCTTCTAAAATATAAAGCTTTTAAAAAGTTAGCTAACGCCGCCGCAGCCGTAGCAACCGACCGGTCACTATCCCTATGTCGAGCTTTCTGCGACAAAAGTCGCAGGCTCGACAGAAATGCCAACCATGCCAAGAAATCCTTGCTCAAAACTCCGGTGGACCACCTACGGCACCCATTAGTAGTAATATTTGATTTCAACAAATTAATTTATGACCTGCATGTACGTGTCGCTTAGAACACGGCCATGTACCACATGGTCAATATTAATCATCCGTGTAATTTGCTCTATGGGATGTTTGCAAAATTTCAACGGAGGAAATTTCTTGGCATGAACACAAGACAAAACACAGTTCTCAAAATCTGTCTACAGCTTAGTGGCAATATGGACCACCAAGACTGCAATTCTGGTGGTCCAAGTGAAAATTTAGTTGTCCTGTATCAGTTATTTCCTTCCATGTTGGTTTAAATAAGATCAGGCCAATGTGCACAATAGTTATAAAGTTCCATATCAAATATTGATATACAGTGTAATCTGGATCTATATCAAATACAGGACAGCCTATATACAAAGAATAAAAGCACTACAAACTTTTAGTTGGACATTAGGACCACAACTACACTCAAAATTGGTGGACCTACCTGATTTTTGGTGGTCAGAATCGAAATGACCACTAGTTATCGAGAACAATGCAAAAGACACAAAGTACCAAACAAAGTATTCAGTTACTGAAAGCTAATTAAAAGCCTATTACAACTAATGAATACATCATGTCTTCCAAGACTTAATTGTTCATCAGTAAACAATTCCACCAGTATTTAGTGTAAGGATGTCATAATCAGTCTTCTATGATAAACAAACACCCATCAATAAACTTTACAATAATGCTGATTTCAATTTTCCATAATTATAACAGTTCATTTATGTTGGAAAAAGGTCCTGTCCTCGGAAAATTTATGTTCCTGTTGAGACGATATTCCAGGGTTTGTGTTACAGGTCATCATTTCTTTATTAGGATGTTGGTAATAAGGGTCTCTGAAATCTACTTATCAAGGCAATCACAAAATTAAAAAAAAACTCATTTTTGCACAAAAATACTGGTTGCAATTATAATATTTTTGAATGATAGAATTTGTTTTTTTTTACTGTGACTTGACTGTAAGTGTTTCTCTCTACCAATTGCATTTTTTTCAAAATTCTAACCAAATTACAATTTGTTTTATCAAACCAAAATGTTCAACTGGTCAGAAAAATTTACAAACTGCTGTAGAAAACCACAGTCAAGTCCTGAAAGTGCAAGGTGATAAAATAAAGCATACTTACACTCCTATTGCACTTTACTCCACTTTATTGATATGAATGAGACTTTCAGAATTTCTATGCATAGGATGACTGTAATTGTCATTCCAAAGGTGATCGTTAGGTAGTAATTTTTTAATTGCTATAAAAATGTCCAAACTAAGCTTTCATACAATTTTTCTTTTGAAAAAAGTCTTCTAAATTCATAAGAATCCAACACTGTTTGAATTAAAACATGTTATATTCAGTAAAATATATTTGAAATTACAATACATTGTTAATAGTTTCAATGGATGATAATAAAAAATCATTGATTTTTTTGGAATATTGATCTTATCTTATCTCCCTTTCACACTTCAAGAAAACATATTTAAGTTTAATGTATATTTCATCAGAGACATATACACACAGAGATTGGCAACTGTAAATATATGTCTCTGATTTCATCAAGTATATTAGTGATTAATTTAAAGAAATCTTTGTAGCACGCATAGAAAAACACCATTTTAAAAGAAATAATTCCAAAACTTAAATTTAGACATTTTTTCAGCAATTCAAAAATTACTACCCATCACCTTTCGAATGACATAAATTTACAATCATCCTATGCATAGAAATTCTGAAAGTCTCATTCATAATATCAATAAAGTGGAGTAAAAGTCTAATCGGATTGTATTAAGTATGCTTTATTTTATCACCTTGCACTTCATGACTTTTTTTGACCAAATTTCTGACCAATTGAACAGTTTGGTTCAATAAAACAAATTGCAATTTGGTCAGAATTTTGAATAAACTGCAATAGGTGGAGAGCAACACTTACAATCAAGTAACAGTAACATCAGAATTAGTATTAAAATTTCTGACAACCACATAAATTATTTAAAAAAAAGATACATTTAGATTTTTTATTCAAAAATAAAAAATTAACTGTGAAGAGCTTATTTTATTTTTCATTATATTCTTTATGAAAAGTGTATAGTGCAATCTTAGATTTCTGGCTGCCACCCTGTTATTTTTCAGTGCAAAACACCACATCTTTAACATATATTCCAATGATTCCAATATCAAATCTATGTTCCATGACAAAATCTTCTTGAATTTCAATACTCTATTAATAAAAGAAGAATGTGTCCAGGACACGTGACGAATGCCCCTGCTCAAGCTTTGCGATTTTCCACTTTAAAAAACTCTAGAAAGGTAAATGACTCACTGCCAATTTTCGAACTCTGTCGGAGAGATTTGGTCTTAGCATTGTGTATGAGTTTCATAAAAATTTGGATGAGGAAAACTTAAATTAGAGTGCAGAAACGAAAATGGGATGGATGGACAGAAAGAAAGATGGAAGGATGGACAATCAAAGGTAACCCTTGAAGCCCCAATCTACGGCGCGGGCATTAAAATCACAAATTTACAAGATCATAATTTTAATTTTCACTTTGGTTTAACCCCACCACAATTTTGTGCCTGTATCAAGTCATTCTATTAGGATCATGTGATTTGTCTAAATATATGTCCGGTGCTGGTCCATATTTTTGGTAATTCCTGTTATACTTTTTATGTGTAACCAAGCCTTCAAAGTAGATGTTGTAGATGTTTTTCCACAAAATATTGTTTGCAGTGGAGGATAATTTAGATTTTTATCTATGGATCTAGGATCATCAACATAATCACAAATTAAAGAAAGATGCCAGAAATGATTCTCAAGGATGTTCACTCCTCTTGTTTTTGACTTTTTTTCAGATATTCGGAATCCTCTGGTTTTATCCATGTAGTTCCATTAAACATTTGCCCACTCACTAATTCCTAAGAAAATTAAAACACCAGAATTGAACAATATATTTTATTTTCCATGTAAAGTCACAATTGAATAAATCGAATAAAGTAAACTAAAAAATTAAACTAAAAAATCACAGGCTAGGTTTAAAATATCACAGTTATAAAACAATTTCAGCAATTTTCAACTGAATTAAAAAAAAGAGGCTCATATAGTACTGTACCATCATGACCATAGCAACATACCAGTGCTATGTATTTCATATCTCTTTCTCAGTAAAATGATGGCTTTAAAAACACATATTTATAGTAATTTCTGAAGGAAAGTTTCATATTTTCAGAGGTCCTATACATAGTTTTATTATATATAAAATAATCATTTTCAAATCAATTATTTGAATTAAAGCATAATTTCTGACCTAACAAAACAAAACAAACAGAGTGAATCATGGCATGAGAACTACATTTTATGAAAACTTAAATATAATATTTAATAAAAATACCAGAGAAATTATTTAATACATTGAAGCTGCTTTTTGAGATAAAAACTCATGAAAGTTAATTGAGAAATGGTGTCATAAAAATTGCTCCTTTTTTCTCTATCTACTACTGGACAGAATCTCAACAACAACATGAACAAACAGTAAATCTCACAACCATACTGAAATCTTCTGATCACCTGTTAAATTCAGATAGACTAATATGCAGCAAAAATAATTCCTCTTTCTGACAACCTATCCAAAATATAGACCAATTATAAATGTAATTGTATACTTTTAATAAGCACTATGTATTACACATAACTAAAGCACTACAATTTGAGACATTGAACAGCATTCATGGGTCTATGCCAATACAACATTTATTTTACTAAACCAGCTGTGTTGAACTTATCAGCATGCATGTGACCACATCAGTCAAGTATAACTAATTATAATCAGAACCCATATTTATAACATCAGTCAAGTATAACTAATTATAATCAGAAGTCATGTGACCACATCAGTCAAGTATAACTAATTATAATCAGAAGTCATGTGACCACATCAGTCAAGTATAACTAATTATAATCAGCATGCATGTGACCACATCAGTCAAGTATAACTAATTATTATCAGAACCCATGTTTATAACATCAGTCAAGTATAACTAATTATAATCAGAAGTCATGTGACCACATCAGTCAAGTATAACTAATTATAATCAGAAGTCATGTGACCACATCAGTCAAGTATAACTAATTATAATCAGAAGTCATGTGACCACATCAGTCAAGTATAACTAATTATTATCAGAACCCATGTTTATAACATCAGTCAAGTATAATTAATTATAATCAGAAGTCATGTGACCACATCAGTAAAGTATAACTAATTATAATCAGAAGTCATGTGACCACATCAGTAAAGTATAACTAATTATAATCAGAAGTCATGTGACCACATCAGTAAAGTATAACTAATTATAATCAGAAGTCATGTGACCACATCAGTAAAGTATAACTAATTATAATCAGAAGTCATGTGACCACATCAGTCAAGTATAACTAATTATAATCAGAAGTCATGTGACCACATCAGTTAAGTATAACTAATAGACCTTATTACTATTTGGGAATATGCGACACTTGAACCAAGAATCTGCGACACTTGAAATATTGACGTCATACAACAATCACTTTTCCATTGTGGCGTCAGACATTTTCTATTATGACGTTAAAATTTTACAGGAACCTTTGTGATGTCTGGTAATGACAAACAAATAGCGATAAGGTGTATTATAATCAGAAATCATGTGACTTCACTAGTTAAGCTTACCTAATAACCTTTCATATGATAAAACTTATCAGCATTCATAATACATGTACTACAGCAGTAAAGTATAACTAATCAGCATTCAATGTGACCACACCATTTAAAGTATAGATGACAAGCATTTATATGTATGATTAAATCAAAGCAGTATAATGATAAACATTTATTTTCTTTGAACATACACTCAGTACAAAATTATCATAATCTACACATTTTTTACCTGACCTTAAAAAGCCATAGGCCATTTTTAAAGAACTCATCAGTTTAAAACATCAGTGTTTCCCTATTCTATAACATATATCATACACATATAACAGTTCTATCATAATGTTGCTGTACAAGGATTAAGTAATTTATCTTATCCAGGTAAGAATCCTGTAAACAAAACATTAACTACAGCAAAAACACACAAATCTAGTTTTGCTAACATTCTGTGTATGCTTATTTTTCAGCTATGGCCAACTGAGTAGCCTTCGATATATCTTTATTTTTCAACTATGGCAAACTCAGCAGTCTTTGAGTGTACTAATATGTGAGATTTTGAGGCAGTAATTTTGGCACATGAGTTAATCAGAGAAGTATAAATAAATGGATGGCACAGGCACTTTTCAAGGCAATTTTGACATTAAACATTACTCAATTAGAAATTTGACACATTAATGCCTAGCAACCTTCAATGAAATAAGTAACTAAACTCAATAAATAATAAGGATTTCAATTGCAAAGAAATTACAATCATATTTAATACAATAGATTGTAATAAATCAATATGATTTTGTGCTAAGATAAAAGTGTGAATATTTTGAAATAAACAAAACTGTTAAATTATTTATAACTGGAATTATTTCAATCTGGTTCTAAACTTATGTAAAAATCTAAAGAGAATATATCAATGAATACAATGTAATACCAACCATGGAAAACTCTATAACGTTTTTTTTTTGGCAACAAAAGTTCCATAACTCTTTTGAATATTAAAATAGACAGGAATTAGGTGTTCATAGATCCCAATGACCTGCTTGAATAATCATTTTCCTTGCTCAATGAACAGTATATTTGGGAACAAAACTGTAATTTTTCATATAATTAAAAAAGCTCACAACTTTATTTGATATAGGTTCGAGGGATGGGCAGACCAGAGAACAAAATTGCACTCTACTATTGTAGGCGTAGACAAAGAATAAATTAAAGGGAGATTACCTGCTCAATACCATTGTTACATACTCATGAAAAAGCTTAAGACTGACGGAGTAAAACAACAGTAAATGACAGTACTACATCTTTGTTCCTGATTCATTCTGATACTAACATACATAAAACATTTCTACTTACTATTTACCTATAAATGCATTATATGCATAATTTCAAAATATGAATAAGAAAGAATAAAACATTCTTTTCTTCACTCTATCCGTAGACAACTATTTTATCCTTCGTTCATGTACACTACATTTAAAAATATATGTACCATTAAAAGTTCATTCAATCCATGTGGCTGTACTTTTAAAAGTTTCAATTGCCATTATTTGACTGACTGTAGTTCTTCAGTGAATCTTTGTTATTCCCAAGAATTTCCGTGAGTTTAGAAAAAGATCAATTTAAATATTCAACAAAGTATTAATTTTCTATAGGGATGTATGCAGACTTTGGCAAAACCAGGATATCAAATATCCACGAAAAACACAATTTTTCCTGATACACAAAAATTTGGTATCCATGAAAATAAATGTATCTCAGTAACAAGTTGTTCAATTAAATATTTGATAATAAAATGCAGACAACAGAAACCAATTTCACCATCAAGATCAGGCACAGATCAGAAATAAGCCTAATAATCTCATCAACTATCATATAGTATAAATAATCTAATGATAGGGGATCTATAATAAAGACATCCCTCTGCCAATGGCCAAGAATACAATCTATTATTCTGATCAATAGTTGATAATGAATCTTAAATGATAGTTTTAAACATTCTGTAAATGTTTCCTGAACATTTTGCTAATATCTTTGTTCATTATATAATACTGCTTACAGACAAAACAGTTGCCTCTACGTTCTATTAAACCTTACACAAAGTGTTCATTGCGTGCACATTGTATCATATACAATAATTCTAAAATATATAACAGCTATTAACTATGGTTTATAGTTGACCTTGTGACCTTTGCTTTCACCCAAGTTTTTCAGTAAAACATCTTGCTGATTAAGTTGTTTTTCAAATTTAGTCACTAAAATTTTCAGATCTTTAATTGTTTTGTCTTTTTCTTTGCAGTCAATGAAAAGTCTTTCAAGTTTACCATTAGAGTCACTGCAATTTGGACAGGATCCCTATAAAAAGAAAAACAAGCTCATTTTAATATAAATTCTACATTGTAATATCATATTACATTTAATTAAAATCTGGAAAAAAAACAGTACTGGTATTTTCAAATTATGCTTCTTTTTATCTAAATAAGATTAAGCCCTCAGGTTGGTCTCTGACAACTTCTGATAAGTATCTGTTTTCCAATTCCTCTTCAACACTGTTGTTTCCCATCCCCTCCACACCCCAAAAAACCTTTTTTTTTCATTCAGAACATTTGGACTGATGAGGAAGGTCCCTAGAATTAAAAGTTTAAAAAAAATACCTGGATGACTTATATCTACAACAACACAGCCTATGTGTGCAGACACATTGTTAAACCACTATATATCAAGTCACATTGTTAAACCACTATATATCAAGTAACACTGTTAAACCACTATATATCAAGTAACACTGTTAAACCACTATATATCAAGTAACATTGTTAAACCACTATATATCAAGTAACATTGTTAAACCACTATATATCAAGTAACATTGTTAAACCACTATATATCAAGTCATGTTATATTTTCTTCACAGATTGTCATGGAAAGTAATTCCATGTATTTGGTTACTACTAATAGCAAATTTAAGGGTATACTATTAACAGACTTTAATGATGTGTTACAATAACTCATAGCTGTCATTATATACACTAGCAGAACATTAATAGTTTGTGTAGCTAAATGGAAAGGAACAAAGAACAATCAGTCATTGCTAGCAGGAAATTGGCAACATCTGTGTTATATGATATAAAATTGTGTTAAAGATACCACACATTAAAGCATATAAACTATGCAATGCCACAGTTTTAAGTTTTTAAGGGCATAACTCCTATAAATATGTTAGCTAGTATCACATTTTCAAATTCCCTGTGAATTAAAACTGAGTGGGGGTTACTCCTACTTCAAAAGGGGTGATGTGGGCACAACCAAAGAATCAGTTACCTTCCTGTTCTAAAAATATTGCATATCAAATTGTTATATCAATTTGTACATTTTTAGGAAGAAAATGCTGTTAAAATATGAAAACAGATATGGCCTTGCAGTCATAAAACTTTCGAGAACAATAATCGTACTCAGACTCAGAAATCAACCAATCAAATTATTGGATTTGGTGTTTCGAGCACAAATGTAGCACTCCGAGTACTGAGTGAAGTTTTATGACCGAGGGCCAAAATGAGCGGTTCAGTAGGTTACTGTTCACTACAAGATTTCTTTCTCAGAAATATTGGTGTCAAAAATAAAAAGACAAATAGTATGACTGTAAAACTCGTCAGTATAAACGAGCTTTTAAAAAGTCAATGTATATAAACCTAAAAAAGTTAATGTCTCATGGGTGATTTTTAATTTTTTAATTTTTTTAAAATCATAATTTTTTTTAAAAAGTAGATCATGACAAAAATTCAAAAACAAAGTGATTTCCTACCGTTAAAGAATACAATAAAAAGAATATGTTGCAGTCATTGCTTTTATACTGTAGGTCATGCAAAACTATATTATATATATTATATAGAGAAAAAAAGTATGAGAATAGGATGAAAATGTTCAGATAGAATTACAAAATTAAAATCGGTGAAGTACATGAATGCTAAATCAATTTTAAAATAAATATAATTTAATGTTTAAATTGTTATTTATGATTTTGTCTTGTTTATCACAAAAGATCAAAAGAGCTACTAGCTAGATCTAATATAGACAAAAACTAATGTTCGCATTGTTATAAAATGTATTAAGGCCCTGAAACACAATAAAAATTTAATTTGTTTCTAGCAAAACTTATAAATATTTTAAACATTCTTTCTTGCAATCAAAGCACAAAGTTTGTTCCCCAAAGAAAGACAACTCTGTTTACAAAATGTGGAAAAGAAGAAACGTTTCAAAATCATGAATATAGAGAATAACAGTTTTATAAAATGTGGGTACAGATAAAAGAAAATGTGGGGTATATATCAAAGAGGCAGCAACCCAAGGACACCAAAAGACACCTAGAGGGATCTGCAAATGTGCACCTAAAATGTCAGATCCATTAAAAAAAGTCTAGAAAATTAGGAGAAAATTGTGTACTGAATGAATATGTATGGTAAAGCCACTCCAAACATCTACCTTTGTCTTATTTTAACTTTGTTGACTTCAGACCTTTAGAATCTTCTACCAATAGCATCAATTGTTCTTGTTGTTTTAATTGAGTTTGGAATTTTGTTAATAATCCTTTTAAGTCTTTTACTAATTTTTCTTTATCTTTATTATCTTTCTGAAGTTCCTCATTTTTTAATGATAATTGGCTACAATTACTGCAGTGTCCCTATAAAAATCATTTAATATCAATCTTTAAAAGTTAAAATATAAATTGAACAAAAAAAAATGTATTTATGCCCTTTTTTAGCATGGCTTTTAACATATTCTTAATGTACTTTATTTTTCATTTTTCTCATTTTTCTATTAAGGGGACAGACATTGTACAGTATGACTACAAACGTCAATGTGACAACAACCCAACAACAAAAAATAACAATAGACCAAAAAGCAACACACAATCTTACAATAAGTCAAGCTTTAAATTATCTTGAGATGATTCAAAGTGTGAATAAAACAGAAGAAATAAAAGATCTGCCTTGAAATAAAAAAAGTCTATTTTACCTTCCAATAATTCTTTTTTAAAATTTATTTGGTATCTTGGAGATTTTAACTTAAACAATAGAATATGTTTTATACCTTGCCAAAATGAAGTTAATGTCACATTTTTTTTTTAATTATCACAAATGGTGCATGTCATGTACTGGGCTTGTTTTTCAAGCTGCATATTGTGCAGAATTCACAACCCTAACTCTAACTTAATTTTGTTTCTGACTTTTCTTAGAAAATCCAATGTAATAAGTCAGGTAATAAATTTTGCATTTAAATTCCTGGTCCTTTTTTTTTTTTTTTTTTTTACATTTGTTGAATTATAGCAGATTACTTAATTGTTTCTAAGTTCATTATAAAGTTTTTACTTTTGCCTAATTACACAGTTATAAAAAATAAATATCTAGAGTTGTCTCCCATTGCATATAATTTTTAAAATCTTGAATCCTCAAATAGAAAAAAATTTCAATATTTTTTTAAGATACAAATCTAAATTCTTAACTTTTTTGCATGTAACAGACACATTTAAATACAGACTTTAAAAATTTGTTACAGTAACTATAAATTATTTTATTTATTGTATTAGTATAGATCTCCCTTTAATGAGTTCTGCTTTTACAGTTAGTTTTGAACAATTATACCATTTAAACCATTGCCGTGATGTCAGCCTATTCATTTAACATGGTTTCTTTTTCTAGAACCGCTAATTTAAAGCTTTTAAATTTAGAAGTGGTAATTTTTTTCTCACTTAAACTTACTTAATTATAATTTGAAAGTTTAATCTATTCTTGTCATAATGAAAGCTTCTGTGACCGTCAAACTTTCCTTTGATTTTTAATGATCAAATTAATGTTGTCTGCTGAAGTTCTAATGACAAATATTTCATTCACATTGAGGACAAATATTTTAAAATAATTTCAGTTTTTATCTGAAAAAGATTGTATACTCAGCAAAGTTTTTGTATGACCTTTGAACTGACCTTTGATTTAAATGATTTAAGTTTCATTCTAAGGGTATCACATTCCTCTTGTAACCGTGCCAACTCTTTTGTTAATTCCTCTAATTGCTGTTGTCTTTCCCTGTAAATAAAATTATTTTAAAATTGACTTCAAAAAGAAATTGGATCATCATCTGATTTACCCACAAAATATAAGTATGTTGTAAATCATAAAAATAGAATGATCAAAATAGTAAATAGGCAAAATTTCAATTAAAATTTTGTCATCATCAATGAAAGGTTGATGATTGTAAATTTGAAAAGCTAATATTTGCTGTTCAAATCACAGATCATTTTCTATGCTTTAAAACATCTACTCAGAAATAACAGTACCGTATTTGAAGAGTTGTCACCATTAATTGGGGATTTGACATCATAATTGTGAGGCCCATATATTGACCTATATGTTCTATTCTGTATGTAATTCCATAAAAGATACACCATAAAATGGGGGAAAAAATGTTCTGTTTCAGTGACTAAACCCATAAACTTTACCATGAGTTTCCTTTTAATGCGTCAGCCATTTGTTTTTTCAGTCTGTTGAGTTTTTCGTCTCGTAATGCTAATTCCTTATCCTTTAATTCTGTGATATCTTTTAATTTTTCATCCATCTGTAAAATTGGAATATCGTAAATTTTGAATGATGAATGCAGCATAAGATATTAATATGTAGGGTAACTAAGAACTTAGAATTCTTTTCATATACACAGCCCTGATTAGAATTGATTTAATTATTGTAAATTCGGAAATTATTGTGAAGATTTATTATTGTGATTTTGACACGACTAACAAAAATTCAAGATTAATCATTGTGATTTCGAGATAGGTTTTATGCAGATATATGTATCAGAGTATGAGTTATTATTGTGATATCACATTTTTCACCTTAATAAAAACCTCACAATAATTTCTGGATTAACAGTATGTTTTATCCACTTCTTTTTCACCATAGTAAAAAGCTATAATAAGCATTGACATCAATATACTGGTATTTAAATATAAATATGAGGGGATGGACAGGGGGGAGGGAACCTGGGAGTAAGGGGGCGGGGACATGAAGAATTTGAGGAAACAGGGAAACCGATTCAGTGCTGTATTAAACAAAAATTTTACACGATAAAAGATGTTGTTGTTCTTAATGACCATCTTAATGCGTTTGGAGATTATTTGCAGAAGATTACATGCAAAAAAGATCGTTCCCGGACTTTCCGTATTGTCCGTACCGTATTGTATCCGTATCCAATTGCATTAACATCCAAGGTAAACTTCAATTAGTTTTCCGATAGTTATGGACATTTTAACTTAAAAAGTTTGACCCTATCAAGTATGCACCTTAATTGTGATCGCAACTCCTCTGACATATCTGAAATGGCTTACTGGATACACATAAAATTTCAGCAGGTTGTTAGAACTTCATGATGTGCCTGGATGTAGAATATTCTGGTCCATTGAGTTTTCCCCATGTATGACCATTTGGACAACAATTTTGAGCTTATCCATGCAGTATACACCTTGATCTATCTTGACATCGCAACTTAATCTCAGGAAGAGTGAAATCTATCTTGCCTATAAACCTCATCTGAGGAAGAGTGAAATCTATCTTGCCTATAAACCTCATCTCAGGAAGAGTGAAATCTATCTTGTCCATAAACCTCATCTGAGGAAGATTGAAATCTATCTTGCCTATAAACCTCATCTCAGGAAGAGTGAAATCTATCTTGCCTATAAACCTCATCTGAGGAAGAGTGAAATCTATCTTGTCTATAAACCTCTTATCTATAAACCTCATCTGAGGAAGAGTGAAATCTATCTTGTCTATAAACTTCATCTGAGGAAGAGTGAAATCTATCTTGTCTATAACCTCATCTCAGGAAGAGAATTACTTTTCTTTACAGTCCTATGTTTAACATAACGGTTTTCAATATTTAAATTAGGTAAGGTAATACCCATTGAATTCCTTTTTGCATTGATGATTTAGGCGGTCAGTATATAAAGAAAATTTAAGACGCCCTAGACTAATGCAATGTTTGTTACAAGATAGTTAGGATACAGAAGTTAGTTAGGTACACTATGTTCCACGCACCCACCCCAAATAACCTTCTTATAAATTACTTTCTCAGTTCGTATCGACGTGTATGATGAATTTTGATGCATTTATGTATGTCTGATTGTAGATATGTTAAATATGTTATATTAAAGGCCATCTTGTAGTGAACGCATAACCCTACACTGTGTTTGTTTTTTTTCTACGATATCTAGCTAAGAAAAATTTTATTTTCGGATTAGTGAAACTAGGGCCTCTAATTGCCCCTTAAAGTCTTGGACGTAAATCTTTGAAGTTTTCCCTATTATACCTATTGTTATTGTCCTTTACCAAAAGATTAATTCCAAACTGAGTTAAAGAATATAAATAGGGCATTAGTGGATGTTTCTCCTATTTTACCTCATTTTTGAATTTATTCAATAGTTCTTCATTGCGTTTTGCTATGCGTTTATTCTCCTCCTTACTGGCCTCTAGTTCCTTTCGTAAACTCTCTAGACTATTCTTTGTATTGCTGTGTAGTTGTTTTTCTTCATCTAATTTGTCTTTATATGTTTGTTCCTAAGAGAAAATAAGAATATTTTTTTAACCTGCAAATATATATCTATGCAAAAAAAATCCATATCCTGAATTTTTAGGTCACTTTGCTTGTTTTTTCTATATATATCATTGAGCCTAGTAGTGAGATTAACTGAACCCACATCAATCCATCAATCAATTTCTTGTTGTAAAAGTCATCTGAGTTGTAATTTTTATAATTTACCTGCATGCTGCTTTTTTTTACCCTGTATTGAAAATCATAAAAAGTAAATGTTTTCCTAAATTTTAGATTTGTTGTGGTTTGTCTCATATATATATTGCAATTGTCTATGCTGTCCAGTCAGCATTTTTACTTAAACAAATCAAAAGAATACAAAGAAATGAAGTAAATCAAAATAAACCTTTATAAACAAGAATGTGTCCATAGTACACAGAGGCCCCACTCGCACTATCATTCGCTATGTTCAGTGAACCGTGAAATTGGGGTCAAAACTCTAAAATGGCATTAAAATTAGAAAGATCATATCATAGGGAACATGTGTACTACGTTTCAAGTTGATTGGACTTCAACTTCAACAAAAACTACCTTGACCAAAAACTTTAACCTGAAGCGGGACAGACGGACAGACGAACAAACGGAGGCACAGACCAGAAAACATAATGCCTCTACTACTATTGTAGCTGGGGCATAAAAATTAGATAAATTGTTAGGAACGCATATCATTTTCAGTAATAACTTTATGAGGCAGACACTCAATTTACATTTATAAGATGCTTCTTTTTATCAAATTTTAAGTTTGAACATAAATTAAGGCTTGTAATACAAATGTTGATGGCATGATTCACATACTTAAATGTCTTTAAATGACTAAGTTATACAATATACAAGGAATTTAATGACATTTTACCTGTGAAGGAACGAGCTGAATCCAAATCTTGCAGCAGCTTACATATATATAGTACACATACCTGCTCTTTTAACTTATTTTCCAGACTAGAAATAGTTTTATCTTTTTCTGTTATCTGTTCTTTCAGTTCTTCTATAATTTTTTGGAGTTCAGCTATTTTCTTTAATAAATCTTTTTCTCTTGCCTATAAATTAAAATCATAAATTAAATAAATCATTAAAACCTACAAATTTTGTTTCTGCAATAAAAATATTGCAAAGATGTTCAAAAGTTGCATTATCTAACCACTCTTCATTAGACACATGTAACCTGCGTGAACAGAAGAGCTATAGACCTCTAGCACTAAATCCAGCAATCATAGAACAAAATAAATGGAGAATGTGTCCATGTGACACAGATGATGCCCCCGCTTACATAAAATATTATAAAGGGACATAACTCAAGAACTGTAAAAGTGACGCCACCCAAATTCAAACTTGATCTGAGTTTTGTGGTAATAAGCATTGTGTATAAGTTTCATAACATTTGGTTGAGGCAAACTTAAGTTAGAGAACAGAAACTAAAAATTCAGCAATTTTTCCATTTGTAAAGGGGCATAACTCTAGAAAGGTAAAAGTGACTCCACCCAAATTCAATCTTGATCTGTATTTTGTGGTAATAAGCATTGTGTATAAATTTCATAATATTTGGTTAAGGCAAACTACGTACTGACGGACGTACAGACGGACAAGGGTAACACTTAAGCCCCCTCTGCTGTGGCGGGGGCATAAAAAAAAAAAAAAAACAGGAAATGCTAAAATCAAAAACTGATACTCTCTGAGACCAACTGAATGTAAGAAATCTACTCCAATCTGTGCTAGCGAGTTTTTAAAAAACTTTTTTGCTTCCTGTTGTTTGATTGCTTGATGGTTGTTTGATTAACATCCAGTGGCAAATATTTCAAGCATGTTCAGGAAGAGATCAAATTAACAATACATGCAATGGTAGGTCCTATAATACGGGTCAACAGTGATTAAGGGAGGAAACATTTGGACTGCCACTGGAAAATCAGGGTATACAGAATAGGGATAGAAATTTAGCCTTGCAACAGAACACCTACAGACCCCTCAAAGCGTTGATGCAATGGTTCATAACATGCAAAAAGTGTGGCACTCTCTCTACACAAGACCTGGGATTTAAAATGCCCATACTGACTTTGACATGGCTACAAATCAAACATCCCGCACAACCAAACAGAGGCCCCACTTTGGCTAGTGTTTTATTGCCTCCAGAAGAAAAACAAAAGTGACCATATCTCTATTCCCCATTCACCCTTGGAGTTGCTCCCTGTTGAAGGCCTCATTGTAATTTGGCATTTTGAAATTAAGAACTGCAGTAAAAGGGATGTTTCTTTGTAAAGAGTGTGAGGGAATTTTTTGTAATGAATTTTATTGTATCAACTATTTGCCTTCCAAACAGGACATAGAACAGCACAAACTTGAATGACTTGTGTAAACAAAAATCATTGAAAACTAAATCTTGAAATTTTGGGAATTTTCCACAAACAAAAACCCATGGATTTCAGCTTGGTGCAAATGGAATAGTCACGTCATTTCCTGCCTTATATTATGTAGGCAGTCACAATGATCTCAAACTTTTAATCAAGTAAACATTGTTAAGTTTCAAGCCAAGGTACAATCAATGAATCATTCTGGTTCTTAACATTCTTCTGTTGAATGAACTTATTATTTGGAGTATAGATTTTTTTCTACAGAAGAGCAACCATCTTTGACAAAAAAAACCAGTCAAAATCAATTTACCAGTACATGCAGTAAATTTGAAATATTAGCTGTAAAAAATTGGGCAAAACCAAACAAATGCATGTCATAAATTTTCTATTGCATTAGTTTTACAAGCAATCATCTTACACAAGATTTAAACAAGTTAAAAGATTAAAATCATTTACATGTATCTTGATCAAGTTTTTATAATAGGTTTGTTTACTCGATCTATCTGCCAATATTTGTAAATCAATCTCCTGTGAAAAGGTTTATTTGGTATTTCATCTTGAGTACCATTTAAATTTCTCCTAGACATTTTCCTTTTATCTTCTTTTCACTAAGTTTGTTTACCGTTTTTATTTCGATTTATGGTAATGTGACATTTATGGTAAATTTTTTTCCAAAAATAAATCGTGCGTTATTCAAGTTTATAGATCATCTATTTGTCATGAAGAAGTTTTATGAAAGTCAAATATGTATGAATAAAATTAGGTATAAATCCATGGTAGCATGAACAAGAGCATATATTTCATGTATTTACTGGCTGAGAAGGGTGCGATGTGAACATAATAGCACAATCTTTTTCACAATTTGAACTATTAACATGATTAACAGCTTTTATCATTTTTACGAAAAAAAGAAAACTATTTGAAAAATTAACTTTTTTAGTTGCTGTTGCTCTTAAAGGATTGAAAATGGTTTTCATAAATCTGTCAGTCCTGGATAGTTTTTTGCACATTGATTCCAGTTTGTGTAAGAGTGAATTTCTCTTAGAAATTAATGCTTTGACTAAGTTGAATTGGCATTTTTTTTTATCTGCATTTGACTTTGAAGGAAATAGGGGCAGGGTATTCATTAGTGAGCTCAGCTCCATTATACATTTCTGATTGAGATCTTTATTTATTGTTTCAAATGCTTTTGCTTCCAAAACTTTGGATGTCATTATTTCTGTCTAATTAAGAGTTATTCATAAGAAACCTAGAGTATTACAAAACAGAACCATTTTTTTTCCTATTATGTAAATAATTAAAACTGGTATTATGTATTGAACTGTTGAACCAAATTAGCTCCTTCAAGAGGGTTGTGATCCAACACATTACCTCATAATACATTTTTAAACAGATCCTGATCATGATTAGTAAACAATATTGGGGGTTTAAAGGTTAATATTTAGAGCATCAACAGATTAGACATATGTTAGAAATTCTTTTGAATCATTAAGTATTAAAATTAATACCCCTTGTGTATAATGGTATAATGGACATGTTTACACTGATCTTATTTATTTATTTGCACTCCCTCTTAAATCTAATTATAATATATTCTGATTAAAAGAGGGTCACCAGGGGTTATTTACATGATTTGGAAGGAAGAGCATACTTTCTTGTCAAAATGAAAATATAAACCCTCTTCGCTCAAAGGAAAATGACAATTTCCATGAAACATGGTGAAAAATAATCCTCAAAACATGACGTAAGTCAAATAAAAGTGCCCTTTACCACTTGGTTATTATAATCTCTTATGAAATTCTAAGTATACCAGAGTCTAAATGGCTATTTTAATCAAACAAATTTCTAAATATAATTTCGACTCCTAAGAGATGTACCAGTGTTACTTATAGAAAAGACCCAGACTACTGAAATCTTATCTAAATCCATTAAATGTAACTTGATGTGAGCCTTGATCATCTGCCCCTCTATGCTGGAACCTCCCTCATTCTCTTAATTTTCTAAAATGGGAAGCCACAAAATCAAAACAAAAGTTAAAGAAGTTAATTAGGTAATAAATATTTTCATTTAAAAATGTTTCTCAAATGAAAGTTTTCTGTGTGTTTTGTAGCTTATTGCTTGCCTTTTTTTCTTTAGTTGTCTGCCAGTCTTTGACTACAAGTAATTTTATTTCTGCCATAGTATTTATATGCATGTATTTTACAATGATGTATAATGAACACAAACAAAACATTAATTAATTAAAAAAAAAAAAAATACAAAAATGTGTATATTTCTGGAACATGAAAATTTGCATACTATATATAATTATATCACTACACAAACCTTTGCTTCTTGTAGTTCTTTTTTATCTACCATATTTTCCACTGATTTTGTACTTGAACTTGAATCAGACTTTGCTGATAGTGTTTTTGGCTTTATATCCTCCTTAATTTTAGGCGGAGGTACATTCATAGCATTCCCATGAATTCCAACATTTTCCATTTTACTTTTCTCCACATTTTTCGTAAAAGATGGAAGTTTAGGTATTCTGTCATTTCCTGTATTATGTTTAATAGAGCCGAGGGGACGCACACTTCCTTTCCCACTCACATTCCGTGTAGTTTTAGTAGCCATAATTCCTGAGTTATATCGTACCAAAATAAAAATTAACACTATTTAAAGCTTTACAAAAATTCAATTTACGATAAAATTTACATTCTTTTGATAATACATACTAAAATGTAAGCATCATCAAGTCATGATTAGTAACCAGAATTTGAACTTTCAAGTTTTGTAAGCACTGATTGAAAACCGATGTTCCTTCTGTCAATTAAATATGTTTCACTTGATAACTTTTTACACTGTATTATTTCCTTTCACCGGTCTTCTATTCAACATCTACAAATAAAAAGAAAATATTATAATTATTGGATACAGTTATTTTTTTTTAACAATAAAATAATTTTCGTGAGATCTCACCAATAAATATCATATTTGATAATATGTCTGATGAATTTTCTATTCAGTAAAATAATTGAAATTCATTTTTGTTTTGATTTTCAATTTATATGCAAAGTAAGAATTAGTGTCAATATTTTGTTGGTATATAGATCTTCATATTACGTCAATTAGAAAAAAAACAGTGATACTAAATTCCAGTACAGAGAATCAATTATTATCAAACATCTTCACTATGAAAAATTTATGTTTATAAGGGTACATGAAAAGTTTAATCTTATGCATTTGGTTAGGAGAGTCATGCATGCTGTCTGCACATTAAAGAGCTTATGCAACAACTCTTTTAACAGTTAATACAATGGTCCCAAGGTTTGATTTTTGTACTTTTTCCAACATATACAATATGTCATTGCCAATAGAAGTTTACAACTGTCTTCACTAAAACACTTTGCCAAACCTTTCCTGATTGGTTTATAGTATAACTATATGTATGTTCTTGAATTGCCATGAACTTTACTACTTCACATAAATCTCACAACTTAATCTATCTTAAAGCATCACTAGGAAGTCTCAGGCATAGATATAATATAATGTACTGTAAATACAGAATTTTTTTTCTGGTGTTTTGTTTTGTTTATTTTCTGCATTGATCTTGTAGAAATGCCATCCAAGAAATTATTATAAAACTAACAGATCATAACATACATGACATATAAAAAACAGATCATAAAAAACATGATGCATAAAGAACAGTTCATAACATACATGACATAGAGAACAGATCATAACATACATGACATACAGAGAACAGATCATAACATACATGACATACAGATAACAGATCATAACATACATGACATATAGAGAGCAGATTATAACATACATGACATATAGAGAACAGATCATAACATACATGACATATTGAGAACAGATCATAACATACATGACATAGAGAACAGATCATAACATACATGACATATAGAGAACAGATCATAACATACATGACATATTGAGAACAGATCATAACATACATGACATAGAGAACAGATCATAACATACATGACATATAGAGAACAGATCATAACATACATGACATATAGAGAACAGATCATAACATACATGACATATAGAGAACACTGTTCTTCCTCCAACTGAAACAATGAACACTACAATTCTGTAGACAAAACCATAAAAATTTAACCCTCACAAAGTTAGGTTATTGTTTCTAAACAATCCAGCATCGATCACTCTCGCTTTATTTATAGATTATATTGATACTTTAAAACTAAGTCAGTGTTCAAATGTTCCGTGAGAAAAATTTCTAGTTGTGATTTCATTGAATTTGCCATAACAAGATTAATACCATTAACAAAAGATAACAGGAATTTCAAGAATCTATTAATACAGTACAAACAGTGTGATACTGTTTCTAAATCTAATTTGAATTACAAACTCATGTACATTTCCAAATGATTAGACAATATTGACTATGTATGTTAACTGAAGAAAATCGGATTTAGGGTACCGGATCAGACATCATTCCCAAGATATACTTAGAAACATATATTATTTGTCGTGGGTATTGATGATTTTTTTATAATCAATTTGTGGTTTGTTCCATCTCAGTTTTTCATTGGTCGAAATTCAATTATGACGTCAAATTTTCTTCCTTTCCTCTGAATTTCCTATTGTGATGTCATGATTAACATGACCATGCCTAAAGAACCTGTCTTTTTGCAGATCATTGATGAGGAATGATAAAGTTTGTCTACCTATTGCCTATAAATCATAAGAGAAACAGATTCCACCACCAAATCTCTTGTAATACAATACTTATCCACTCTCCACATTTTAAATTTTAAATTTTTAAAAAGCTCGCCAAGCTTTGTATTATTAATATGAAAATTTAACTGTCTCAAGTAGAGAAATTTCGTATCACACTTAATGCAGTGGTAGAATCTATATATTAGAAATTAAGTCCTTTTATATTTCAATAAACAATCTTTTAGGACCGTCAATAATTTCTTTAAATGGAGATTTTGCATTAAATAAATTGCCAAAATCATGTAATGACCTCTAGGTGTCTATTGTAACTAACTTGTGTTGTAAGGTAGTTGTTCAAATAAAGTTTTAATAACATATATTTTTATTCTGTTTTTATTATCATTATTTTATTATTTTTTTCACTCTAGAAATCTTCATACATTTTTAAAGATTTGTAAGACCTGCACTGATCATGCTGATGAAAAGTCCTAAAACAAAAAAATAAAAAAGTCCATGAACTGAAACCTATTAAAAGGTCCTAACAAAATAGTAAAGATCCTGGACCTCAGATAAAATCAACTGAAACCTTTCCACTCTTTTTGATAGAATTTTTAAATCTCAAGTGGTTAAAATTGAAATCTACAAATAAGAACATATACACATATATATCTTTCATTATATTCATCAAAATTTCTCCAAAAAGATCAGACAAATGAATTTAGACAAAATATAGCTAGTCTTGTTATTAAATATAGATATACTCACAAACATGTAATAATTATCAAAATTCAAAACCTTCTAATGAAACAGAGTATAATTGGTGTGGGAAGGTAATGATAGCGTCACAATACTGAGCCTTTTAACTCAATATGACAATAAAAGTTAAGTAATCAGTTTTCAACCAAGTTTTATTGAAAATTAAACAAAACTTCCAAAGTAAACTTACTTTATAAGCCAACACTTAAACAATAAAATCTCATTGTATCAGTTCAAACAAACTGTCATGGCTATAAATATTAAACTTGTATGCTAATAAAGTTGAAATAAAATAAAAATAGTTTAAGAGCATCCATATTTTCTTAATCTAAATTCAAGTCATATGATGAGTACATGTACCAACCTATATTGCAGACATACTGACCCTACGAAGTTCAATCTACATTTGAGCTTCGTCTGATAGAAATAGACCTTATGCAAGTGCCCATATACATGTACAAGACTTTGATTGATTTTAGAACATTCAAATATGAAATAAAAGATGAACTTTGGTCTGACTGTTGTATGGTTCTTATATCAGCTCAATTTTCAAACAGTTACAGACTATGCATAGAGATTTTTTCAACAATTTTTCAAAAAAAGTTAAACAGATGTATTGATATTCATTTGCATAAAGTTGATTTCTATATGACGCAGCTCATTTTATATTTTTTTTATTGGAATTAAATTCATACCATGGCAGACAGATACAATAACAACAGAGAAGACCTAAAATATGGTCCATTAGTTCCACAAGTGTTTCTTTCATATCTTTTTTTTTAAATTTTAACTATCAACTTTAAACAATTTAGTCATATATACCTGATAAAATCCAGTTAATTGATAATTCAATCTTTTCACATTAAACATCAATTAAGTAACATTGAAAATATTTAATAAACAGATAAAAGTCAATACAAACTAAAATCTTTATAACAGTATTAATTCCATAACAAATTGATTTTAACTATATATGGTAGATATAAAATTGTATAAAATTGTTTACCTAATAAATGAGCATAATTAAATCAGTATTCATATTACATTACATTTGTCAATGAGGTCAGAAGTTCAGAACAAAGTTTAAATCAATTTCAATATCCCATGTGAATGAGTTTTAGATCATATAGATATCAGATAGTCAACATATATATAAATTTCTCTCTCATGCAGTAAATAGATAACAAAACAAAAAGTTACACCCAAAATGCCACAAAACGGTACAAATATAAGTTTGTTCTAAATAAGGGTTATAATATACCATTGTATACACAATGAGCTGTGTGTTGAAAAAAGGGAGATAATTCACAGCATCAATTTGCTTAGCTCGTCCCAATTCTGCCCAAGTGCTTAGTCTAAAACATTCAAATGTAAATCAAATGGAATCATATTCAATATCCATCTGTAACTCGTTTAATTATGCAACTACTCACTCCTACCCACTCGGAGACCAATTATAAATTCATGTTTTAGTCCCAGTCCATAGTTTTACAATTCAGAATGATAGAATTCCAGGACAGACAATTGTAAAACTTACATGCCAGAGTTGACCACTTTGAGACAGGGACATAAAAACGTTCCAATGAATTTCTCATACAGCACACAAACATTTCTGAGTCAGAGATTTTAAATAAAAATCAATCCCCAATCTATAATTTTTAATAAAAGAAGAAGTTTTAATTTAATTCTTTGTTATACAAAATATATTGTCTCAATAGTAACTATCAAGGTAACAATAGCTGAAAACAAACTCTCAAACAACTTACATTGGCAACTGAATACTGAGGTCAGGAAATCTATTTGATAAAAAATTCAATATTAAAAACTTTAACCACGGCATATTATATGATATAAAAAGTAGGTACCGATTTACAGGTCTGTAGTGGAGAAAGATAGGAATAAGCCTTTTAATCCTTATATATACAATATGACTTCAAACAGAAAAATCTGATATTACAGTTCTATGTACAATATTGGCAAATATTCTGAAGTTTTATCGTCTTGTAGATAAAATATATCACTCATAGTGTGAAGAAGTATACATATTAGAAACATGTCGAAGAAACACTTAAACCTTGGTATGACCATTGATGTATAGATTTTTTTTCAGTTTTTTCAGTAAAAAACTGCATGATGTACATAATTAAAACAGAATTGATAGTCAGAGGGAAGGACATTTTCATTCTTCTGTTGGGCAAATGTTACTGGATCTTTGCTACATACATGTAGTTCTATTTTTTGTTGGACAAAAAAATCATCAATTTAAATAAAGAAGATTACAAGAGACAACAATCCTACAGAGACCCAAATGACAAGGAGTTAAACAGCTTCAGGTCAGTGTAAGGCCTTCAACAATGAGCAAAACTCAAATTACATAGTCTGCTTTTAAAAGTCCCAGGACGAAAAAAATCAATAAATGATAACCAATGACCTGATTGATACTAAATAATTCATGAAAAAAAATTACAGCCGACAGAAAACATCAACATACACTGGATTATAGGCTCCTGTCTTGGGACAGGCATATATATGTGCATCACGTACATACACATGTGTCCGATTGAATTTGAATGGTTAAAATTTTGTTATGTTTGGTAGGTGTACGTTTACCTCAACTATCTGTTTCTTTACATTCTTAAAATAGAAAAGCCATAAAGGAAAATGTCAAATATATGCACTTTATCTGGAACATGTTAACACTATTGTAACAGTAAAAATTACCCACTGAAATTTTACAAATATATATATCAATTTTAACTTCAACTTTAAAAAAAGGAAAAAATTTACAAACTTACCATAAAATAACTTTTCCGTTTAAACAAATTTGAGCTTCAATGAATACATTAACACCTTCATGTAAGAAGTGAATTTTTCTACGACATATATTAACAGTAAACTATTCAGTACAAATTCACTCCCAATATGTCACTGAACAAAGACCCGATTTAAATCCTGGGGATATTTATGGATTTTAAATTTGTTTATTAATATTGACAAGGCTTGTTTACGAAAAAGGTAATTAAATTTAAAGTTCTGTGACCCTGAAATATACGACTGAATAAAAAAGGTTAACAATTAACATGGTATCTTGTTTTATGGGTTTTCAAAATGATTTGGGTATGAAATTGTTTGATGGGTTTATACATGTACCTTTCAACTTACATGTTCTTGTACATGTGTTATTGACTTTCTTCGTCACTGAAAGAACTATCTACATATATGAATTTCGGGTATGGTAATAAATAAAACATACTCAAGATATACTATACTGGTTGTACATATATACATGTATCGTATATATGTATGAATTTGTTTGTGTGTTTACTTTTTCGCAGTAGCATTTCATCACAAAATTAACTCTACATGTACATGATGTATGTGAACATTATTCATTTGAATGTTTTTGTACAACATTTACAATGCAATGAAACATGAATAATGAACACAGCTAAGATCTTATCTGACAACTATCTTATTTCAGGCCAAAACAACAAATAAAATAATTTGTGAAGAAAGAGTAGCATTATGACATAGATCTACCAAAACTGGATGCACATTTATTTTTTCATAATAAATAATTATTCTGATAAATATCTTATTTGTCATTGCAACTATCACATGAATAAACAGCAGAATCTAGATATAAAATTATATCCACTAACGATAATGGGTCCAATTTACTGCACTAGATACAAATTTTGACAATGTGTCTTCAGTCATGCTGAGGCCTAATTTATGCCATTAAGCAGCAGTGTATGGGAAGCAGAAAACTTATTTTACATGACCTGAATGTTTTGGGAACTTAGTGTTAATATCAGATCTTTGATAAACTTGAATCTATTAAATCTTAGAACTGAACACATTGCTTAGTAGCTCTTTTTCTCTGTATAGTTTTACTGCATAGTCTAAATTTTGAATAATGATAATGTACACTGTGCAGAGTATGGAAAATGCATTAACATTGAATAGACCTACATTGGTACTCATACCACATCTTCTTATATCTACACAGTCACTGATTATTGATCATCAGTCATCACTATTGTGTTTTCTGTGTTGACCTATTGACATGGAATACTTGTTGCACTGTATCATCTGTATTTTCCCTTGTTACCCAAAATTTTACCAGAATGTCTAACTATTCAGTTATAGAGGAAAAACAGTAAATAATCAATAAGGTATATATTTGGTAGGCAGCCAAACAAAAACAAAAACTTGAACTCAAATTCTAATCAGGTTTTCTATAATAATACTACATGTGTGTATATTAAATTTAAACCAGTTTGTTTTTAAGGCTTTAAAATCATCATACTCACTTACATGGCATTAGATCATGTTAAAAGTGTGGAAGAGGAAGCCCATTTTCTTGTGTATTGCAATATAATGCCTTAAGATTGGAGTTCTTTATAACCATACCATGACTATTTTCAGTAACAATATGTGATTATTTATAAATAGCAATGAAGAACTAATTTGTGTTTATACAAAGGAACTGGCCAAATTTAGTGGTATTTGTGATCAGATGTTAAAGACAAAGTTTAACATGTTTTTGAACAATTCAATCATGAAATATTTTGATTAATGATGAAGTTAGTGGTTACAGCAGCTGATTATATTGTAATTGTTTGTTATCATTTTTTTCATTTTTTAAGAAATCCTCATAAAAGCATTATAGTCTTCAAGAAACCCTAAAAATTGTTTCTTAATTTACATGTATAGGTACAACTATTTGAATGTAAATGTTCAAAACCTGTCAGGGTACTACTTTGCAGCGTATCCATGCTACGCTGGCTTTCAAATGTTTAGGTTTGAGCAATCTTGATGCAGGTAAATCCAGAAGATCATTTAGGATGCACAAAATTTCTAAAGTGATTTTTCATTAAACAAATGATTTTAAGATAATTTATTTTAAGTTATTCATGTTATTATTGCAATTGAAAAATTAAAAAATGTTAACATAATTTGAAAGATAATCTTTGTTAATCACTTAAGAAAAAGTATACCTATTTGGGCCATATTTCAGATTTTGATAAAATTTTGTAAGAATGTACAACTTTTTGAACTGCATCTGGTTATCGCAAAATTTAAAAAAAAATTGTTATCATGTATTTATAATTCCAGAGATAAAATATATGGCAAATTTGTGATTAGTATAGAAAAAATATGCATTTTTTTCACTCTAAATTGAGTTTTTCGAAAATTTGTCCACATAATTTTTGTTATAATTAATGTTATGATGGTTATTGATGTTAACATTTTAGCTTTAAAAGAATAAAAATATTAGTATGATAGCTAGGTGTCATTGGATTTGTTTTTTCAGTAGAAATCTAGTTGTTTCAATATGTAGCCGAAAAGGGTCAAACAACAAGATTGGTGTAACATTATGACATGTAACACTTCAAAATCTTATTGTATCATAATTTTTTTTATACATCACTCATACTTAAATTATTAATACAGCAAAAAGAAATTGGTTGACCTTCTTTGATTATCATACCCTTAAAACAGAAAAGTTTAAAGCAATGAAATTCTGATGACAGATTTTTGGGAAATCGCAATTGAATATAGAAAAATTCATATATATTTATTTTTCGCTTTTTACATGCATTCAATCTCTATACATTGATCAATGAACATCAAACCAAATGTTAAAATCATATATCATGGACAAAAGGCAAAATAAAATACATAGAAAACAGCACTGTAAATAGCCAAATAAACAGGGCACTTTATAGAAAATAGCTCAGCAAAATGTTAGTAACAGCAAGCAAATCTTCAGTCAAGTCATAATCTAGGAATGCCAGGTCATATATCATGTACATGTAGCCTATGTAATCCCATCAAGACCCTGAAACCCCATTTGTAATTACCCAATTCCCAAATATAGTGCCATAACAGGATACAAATGATAATTTAATAAGACTATAATTTAGAGTTACATATCCTTTTTACTCATTTAACTCACTCACATTTTTTGAACTCATGAATAAGTTTATGAATAATAAAATTCTTTATTTAAGGAAGGTAAACCCATTTAACATTCATGTTATAAAGTTCATTGTGGTGGCCAAGTTCATGCAAAAAGTACCGTCATAATGATAATTTTATATATTAATCTTTGTTCAGAAGTCAAGATGTTGCTCTTAAAAATATTTTTTACTAGCATTTGTTTTAAGTGCAAAATCCTATTAATCTCTGAGCTTCTGGGGCCTTGAATATTCCAGAACCTCTTCACTTGTTGTAAAACTAACTCTCTGAGGTCACTCAGGTGGCCTGGATTGATGTTCAAATCTCTTCAAATGTTTTACATATACTTCATTTCAGTTAGAGATAAACACGGAACAGATAAATGCCACTGAAAATGCATGGATACACCTGTAATGATCTCTAAGTGAGGTGGCTTGATAGAGAACACATATGCCATGTTATTGGATCACCTGACTTTAGCGATCAGAATACTCAGGTAACAATTTTATTCCAGTATTGTAATGTTGGTTTTTTTAAGATTTTGTATCGTGTAATATTTTCTACATGTATATGGAAGTATGACATGTTAGAAATAAATAAACAAAATTAAATGTACAGAAATTAGTTTGGTTCCATGTCAACTCGTACTCCACAAACTCTTACCAGATTTTTACTAACTCGTACTTCTTCCAACTAATAGTAATACCCAATTTTTAGTTGTTAGATATAAGAAGATGTGGTATGAGTGCCAATGAGACAAGCCTCCATCCAAGTCAAAATTTATAACAGTAAACCATTATAGGTCAAAGTACGGTCTTCAACACGGAGCCTTGGTATTCATATGCAATATAGTATTTTTTTTCAGAGGCGGATTTAGAGGGTTTTTCAGGGGGCCCGGGCCCCCCCTTTTGTGGGAAAAATTTGGTTGATTATATAGGGAATCACTGAAGCATGACTGTAGCAGGCCCCCTCTTAAATAGGCAGTCAGTGGGCCCCCTTATGAAAATTTCTGGATCCGCCACTGTTTTTATCCTATCAAATTAATAATCAATATAGAAAAATAGTAATGCTGAGTTAAAATTATAATTATGAAATATACAAATAGTTATATATATCATTATTGACATTAAAAGACATTATACAATACTGGTATACCATAAAAAAAATAGTTAACCAGTATAGACTAGTATAGTATAGTGATCGCCAAAGTCAGGTGATCCATGCTATTTTTAAATAAGATATGTACATTCATATTTTAGGTTTTTGAGATAAAATGTACATCTATCTGTGATCAATCCGATCATCAAAATACCTCAAATATCGAAGCAAACCTATTACGGCGGTGGCGTCCTTGTTTCTAGGTTCACACCGAACATTTTTGTTACGCGGTCACTGGTTGGTTGATTGACACAGGGGAGACAAAGCTACCTACTTTCACTTTCAACTTTAGACACAGCACATAGGTCAATGTTTAAAGTTCAATGTTATATTTTATAACAGGAAATTATGAGTGGTTTTGTGGGTGATTTAAGTGAAAAACAAAGTACAACACTTCAAAAGGTTATTAAAAAGTGATACACAGTAAAATTCATAAGTCAAAGTTAAATGATCATGATTATGAGTCAATATTATATATTTATAGCCTATAGGCTTTATTATAGGATATATTATGTCCTTGGTATCATGCCCGGAATTTTTGCATGTTATTCTGGTTATCCATATCTAGTATATAATAAAGTTTTAGCAAAGAGATAGGTTCAGTGTGATTTTTTTCCCAGTTGCTTTGCACAAGGATTTGTATAGTAAAGAAGGTCTACTCTTACTATACAAATCCTTGCTTTGCATAATAATAAATCATTGGTTTAATACAGTTGCTTGAAGTAAAGATTTTAATAATGTTACGCCCTCTAAAACTATTTGGCCAATTCATAATTCTAATTATGTATCAAAACCATGTGATACACTAGAGTAGCACCAGTTACTGCTGCTTGGACTACCGACGTACCGTAATAGTAATTGTACAAAATTAAGCATTCATGATCCTGAATTACATGATGCCACAATGTTGATAAGACAAGACAAGACAATATTTTATTCAAGTCTCATCTCTTCATTTTATAGAACATACAAATAGTTAATAAAACATAATCATATATGATTTGATTTAATTAAAGATAAACAATTTGTGAGAGGAAAGCCAGCTCAGGGTGAAAGAAAGATAACTCCACTCACGTTAGCAAAATTAGGTCACATTGACCTTCATTGTTTTCATGAATGCTTTGGTTAACTTTTACATTAATGTCTAGATCTAAGCAACTACAAATCCTAGAGGAATGACTTTTTGTTGTTGGTTGGTGTATCACAGATTGAATTTAGAAGTTTTCCTGCAGCAGCCCATTGTTGTATTTCAATACTCAACAATTTTTTTTTATGTACACAATTTCAGGAGCCCGGGATAAATTTTGTTGACAAAGGTTCTCACTTAAATTTGACCTACATTTAAAGCTTAAATGACTTTTGTTCAATTTTGCTGTAAAGTCCAGTTATTGAGATTTTGTGATTAAAAAAAAATTGTTGATAAAGGTTTATTGAAAAATAGGGTTATCTACATCATGTACATTTGAACCTATTAAAGTACATGTATATTTGAATTATGTAGGTGATGTTTTAATGATTAAAATAAAAAGAAAAGAAATAACAGGTGAGGGGATTAACTGTTTATACGGATTAGCTGTCAAATACTAAGCTCAATTATTTTTTATGCCCCCGCCGTACCGGAGGGGGCATTAAGTTTTACCCTTGTCCGTCTGTACGTACGTACGTACGTACGTACGTACGTCCCGAAATTGGTTTCCGTTCTCTAACTTGAGTTTGCCTCAACCAAATGTTATGAAACTTATACACAATGCTTATTACCACAAAACACAGATCAAGTTTGAATTTTGGTGGCGTCACTTTAACCAATCTTGAGTTATGCCCCTTTATAAAAGGAAATATTGCAAAATTTTTAGTTTCCGTTCTCTAACTTAAGTTTGCCTCAACCAAATGTTATGAAACTTATACACAATGCTTATTACCACAAAATACAGATCAAGTTTGAATTTTGGTGGTGTCACTTTAACCGATCTAGAGTTATGCCCCTTTATAAAAGGAAAAATTGCAAAATTTTTATTTTCTTCTAAATATCAAGTTTATATAATATATTTTTAAAATTGGAGTTATCTTCCTTTGACCATGATTATAGTTGAATCAACTACAGTCAATGCTTTATACAATGCAATGTTTAATTTTGACTACCACTGATAAAACACAGATCAAGTTGAATTTGGGTAGTGTCACTTTAAACATTATTGAGTTATGCCCCTTTATAAATAGAAAGATTGCAAAATTTTTTAGTTTCCATTCTGTAACTGAAGTTTTCCCCAGCCAAACATTGTGAAACCTATACACAATATTCATTACCACAAAACTCAGTAAAGATCAAGTACAATTTTTTTGTTTCAGTTCTCTAACTTGAGTTTGCCTCAACCAAATGTATGAAACTTATACACAATGCTAATTACTACATAATACAGATTAAGTACGAAATAAGGTAGCACCACTTTTACCATTCTAGAGTTATGTCCCTTTATAAACATAAAAATTGCTGAATTTTTTAGTTTGTCTCAACCAAATGTTGTAAAACTTATACACAACCGTTCTAGAGTTATGCGTGTTTACAAATAGAAAAATTGCTGAATTTTTAGTTTCTGTTCTCTACTTAAGTTAGCCTCAACCAAATGTTATGAGACTTACACACAATGCTTATTACCACAAAACTCAGATAAAGTTCAAATTTGGGTAGCGTCACTTTTACCGTTCTTCAGTTATGTCCCTTTATAACTATATGATATGCAAGCGGGGGCATCATCTGTGTCCACATGTGGACACTATCCACATTTATTAATTCTTATAATGACATGGAGGGAGTGTAATTGATTCCTGGGGAAACAAACTCAAAGTTCAATTTCTACTGAAAAAAAATGGGTTAGCAACATTTTTTTTATTTGGCCTTATTTCCTTGTTTTAGGTTTGAATTTAATATTTCCTTATATCAGTATATATTTCAGTTTAAAAGTAAATGCAGACATGTTAAACATTCCCACTTAATTATCTTTTGATTTAAGTGGTTTGAAACAGCATTTTTGGATGACAATTATACTTAATGATGAATTAAATGAATCATATTGTTGCTAAAACCAATCGCAGTTATAAGATATATATATTATATGTGTGTGTTTGAGCCTATTTCATGTATTTGAAAAATAGTGTTATTGAATTTTTGAAAAATTGGGAAGTTGTTCAAGTGGAGTTGGACCAATAAACATTTTTACATGTATATCTTCTTAGTGTAAAAATGTAACACAGATAAATTTTAAATGGATAATTCATTTATATACAGAATTCTAGAGTGCTAAGAGAGTGTACTTTGTGATCATCATGTTTTTAACCTTGTGATTATTCAGATTACGCTAAAAACAGCATTCTGTTTTAACATCTTGGAAATTAAATAACTTCAGAATTTATAGACACTTTATGGATGGTAGAATTGTGTTGCTGGAAATTCCATACAAGATGTACTCGACCAATTTATGTTATCAGACAACTGGTTACCATTTTAACATTGCCGATTATACTGATTGTATTTTACAGTTCAGAGAAAATGTGAAGGACGTACTGCAACCTGAGCATGATGACCACTACCTCTTACGATGGCTTAGAGGTAAGTAACAAAGAAAATGTGAAGGATGTTCCACAACCTGAGTATAACATGTATAATGACCACTACCTCTTACGATGGCGTCGAGGTGAGTAACAAAGAAAATATGAAGGATGTTCCACAACCTGAGTATGACTAGGGAATCTGCAACACTTGACCAAGATTTTGCAACTCTTGAACTGATAAACTTACTTTTGTATTGTGGTTTAAGACATTTTCTCCATGATATCTAGTAATTACAGACAAATAGCGATAAGGTGTATATATATGTCAAACTGTAAATCGTCCATAGTCTATTAAAGCGTTGACCAAAGCACATTCCAAGCTTCATTTAAAAAAAAATCTGCCATGGCCAATGCTTTTAGAATACTATGAAATTTCAAAGAAGGAACTTTTCAAGTCTTATAATTACATATTAATGCTAAATTCTAACATGACGCTCTTCAAACGCTTTGAGTACACACCCGTGTTAAAATATGAATATATTGTTTGGGCTGTTCCGATCGTACTCCCGCGTCATATGCTTTTTTATGAATGAGCTACCCGACGTCATAGAATGATGACGTAAGAATATAATTATTTTACGGGAAAATACACGCTTGTGAAACCGAAATCATCACAACAAGGAAACGTAAACAAACGATGCTAAAATGTGTTATATAAGCCACTTTTTGTTTACATATAAGACATATAAATACAATTATCATTTAGATTCATCCGAACCTATCTAAATATGTTATTGTAAATAATTTAAGCATGCCATATATTCAGTTTGCTCCGTTCTTTTACGTCAATTTAATAGTGCGTTTATTTATGGGAACGGCAAATAATGCCTTCACCTAGAGCGCGTCGATCCAAAAGAATTGCCGTATTTGTCCTATTAGAATCGAAATAATCCATGGGGCTTGAATATATCGTGATTTTACCACAGGTTGTCCCTTTATGTCGATATTTTACACCTCGCTTTCACTCAGGGTAAAATATTTGTCATAAAGGGCCAACCCGTGGTAAAATCACGATATATTCAAGCCCCCATGAATTATTTCTTAAACAGAAATTCTGATTTGAATCAATTTTTTTCATTTGTTTTAATTTGAGTATTATAAGGTTTTATTGTAACAATGCCAAGGAGAGTACACTCTGTCATGAATGTTGCATTTTATTTGGACATAAAATATCACTTGAAAACACTGTCACAATGACTGTATAATTGTTGCCTGCCAATTTAAATAAAGGAATTTATATAAAAAAAAAAATCTATGACTACAATTTTATATTAAGATAATGTTGGTTTCCAGAATTCAGAAATAGAACCTAAATCTCTAAAATTATCCTTCATTCATAATTGAAAGATAGAAATTAAACATAACAAGCTTATCTTTGGGAATCCTGCCCGAAAAATTAGAGCGTAAGGAGTATCTCATTCCACCTAAGGGAATGAATTTAATTTTTATCTTGTTTATAATTGTCCAAAATGTCAATCTTGTATCTTAATTATGTTCTTCAATAAAATATAGTCTTTCTTGTGATTATTCTACATGTTCTAAATACAAGATACAATCTAAGCCATAAGAGCCATTTAACATTGAGTTTTTATTTTCAGCCAGAAATTTTGACCTCAAGAAATCAGAAGATATGCTCAGAAAGGTATTATAAATAATATGATGTGTATTCCATTAATTTCAAGTTCTTAAGAAAATTTCTTGACCTCAGTTATGTTTGGAAAAAGTACCTATGATGTATCATTGTCTATTGGTCAGGTCAGCATCTTTACTTCAGCCACTTCTTTTATAAGTATCTGGTCATTATCAGAAAGTAGTGTCCACTATTTCCATCCAATCAAAAAATGCTTAATTGTCCATATTTCCAGCTTTGAGATGTTCCCTCCAATATTTTACAGCACTTGGTATGGAGGAAAGAAGAAGATATAGACAATATATTGAGACAAAAAGTTCCTGAAGTTATCCAGAATTATTACCCAGGTGGCCATTGTGGATTTGACAAAGATGGAAGCCCAGTTTGGATAGACCCCATAGGAAATATAGATCCAAAAGGTAATATAATATTGAAGAGGTGTTTCATTTAGTGCTTTTGTTACTATCAAAAGGCAAATTTTACATTAGAAGTATAATTTTAGATATGAAGATACAAACTCATGTCATATTTTTCTCAGTTTAATGACAACCTTATTTGTTCTTTATGACAGGATTATTGAGGTCAGCTAAGAAAAAAGATGTCATCTATAAAGAAATTAAAAATGCAGAATACGTGCAGGAACTTATGAAACTTCAGACTAAAAAGGTAAAAATACAGTGCAAGATAGGTGATGAGGCTTTTCAATCACTTTCAATGGAAAATAACGACTCCCCATTCCAGTAGAATTTTTTTTCTCTCCCAGAATAACTTAAAACTTATAACAACAGTTTATGACAAACATTGAATTATCACCATTATTATTTTAAAACAACTGTAACCAATACGGAAAATTTTTATTTTAAGTATAATCTTACAAACTAGTTTAGTGTAGAAGTGTCAGATGTGATGTAGCAATGATGTCAGAAACATGCTAAAACTGATTTGTTCAACTTAAAATGGCAATTTTACACATAGTTCTTTTTAAAATTAGTTTGCATCACAGTCTTATAGTGGAAAGTTATCTCATTGGCAATCATACTGCAACAGTGGTTTGATTCCGCCTGTGTACTTTATCCGAAAGAAGAAAATCCCCAGTGATTTTTATCCACCAACAAAATTTCACTAGGTTTTTCTATCGGGGTCCAGTGTAAAACATCCACCAGTCATTATAAGGTTCTAAAAAGGGTTTTTTGAAGGGTAAATATATATAAAATGTGGCTTAATAGTTTTTAGTGTATTTGAAACTTGCATAGCTGATTTATATAAAAAGTGGAGAGTTTTCATCCAAGAAATGTTCACACTAGTGTTTTTGAACCAGGAATGATTACACTAGTGATTTTGTACCGGAATGATTGCACTAGTTATTTTATACCGGGATTAATTACACTAGTGCTTTAGATCCATACATTGATGAAGTGATTAGTACTCATTTTGAACATACGATAACACAATAATGCTTATTAACGAATAAGATTTAAATAATTTTTCTATGCAAATCTATAAAATCATATGCTTTTAAATTGTCTCTAATTGTAATATTTATATTTATTGGATTGCCGAAGTTTTTCTGCGTATTTGCTCTTTGGTGGACTTGGATATAAAATCATATCTTCTTTGTCAATATCAAAGGATGCTTCTATAATTGAAACTTTATGTAAGAACAAATCTGCTCTTTAAATTTGGTTTATATCAAGTTCAATGTCCTGATCATTGATAAAGTATTTTGAGTTATAAAAATATCCTCCTCGTTATCATCAATATTATTTACTAGATTGACTCAGATTAATTAAACTGGTTCCTTGAAAATTATTTTAATTTTAACCCATTTATTTATGTAAACAATAAACCGGTCTAATATAAACAAAACAACAATATCAAGATCGACGCTTTCACACTATTTACATCCAATATTCCCTAGTGAAAAACAAATACACGGCGGAATGAAAGTACGCTTACAATACCACATCTTCATATTTTTATATTAATCAAAAAATTATTTTACCTGCATTGACATCTTTGTATAAAAATGTTTAGGCAAAACATCATTTGAGTAAGGCCTTGACTCATATCTAAGTATTTATTAATCTTAAAATGAAGCTATTTTAGCTGTTTTTATAGTCTTGCATTAAATGCAAGAATTTGAAACCCTGATGAAACTATAAAAGACACAATTTCAAGATACCGGTACTAAAGATAATAAAATTTGATAGATATACAATAATTTTTAATTTTGAATTCAGAGTTCCAAAGAAAAGTCTTACCATATCATCTCCTTTTGAATAAAACAGGTTTGTATGCCTTGTAATATTTTTAGAAATGAAATTTTTTGATTTTTGTTTGTTTGCAGCTTGGGAAGAGAGTTGACCAGATAATCATAATATATGACTTGGAAAATTTTGGCATGAAACATCTATGGAAACCTGGTAATATAAGAGGATTATAATTGATAGATTTACATTTACACCACTTTGTGTGGAAAAAAAGTGACATTTTTATACGCCCGTTTACGGGACGTATTATGGTATACTGTTGTCTGTCCGTCCGTCCGTCGTCAACATGTCGCACAATAACCCAAAAACGCTTTAACCAATTTGCATGAAACTTTGGTGAATTGTTTATATCTATTGATGTAAGCTTCCTTTCGATTTTTATAAATTTTAGATTTGACATTTCCGAGTTATGGTGTTTTATTCATTAAAAAAGGGGGATTTTCCAGTTTTCGGACAATAACTCACAAACACTTTCACCAATTTGCAAGAAACTTTGGTGAATTGTTTATATCTATTGATATGAGCTCTCTTTCAATTTTTAAAAATTTTAGATTTTACGTTTCTGAGTTATGGGGTTTTATTCATTATAAAAGGGAGATTTTCCAGTTTTCAAACATTAACTCAAAAAAGCTTTCAGCAGTTTAATGACACTTTGGTGTATTGTTTATATCTATTGACGTAAGCTCCCTTTTGATTTTTATAAATTTTAGATTTTACGTTTCTGAGTTATGCGATTTTATTCATAAAAAAGGGGTGATTTTCCAGTTTTCGGACAATATCTTTAAAGTGCTTTGAGCAGTTTTCATGAAACTTTGGTGACTGGTTTATATCTATTAAGATAACCTCCCTTTAGTTTTTCATAAATTTCTGATGTGATATTGAGAAGTTATTGAACTTTATTCTTTGAAAAAGCGACGGGCTTATCATGCTCTCATGGCGTAGCTGTCTATTGGAAACACGTTCGTATCTTCGTTGTTTCTCTACAAATCAGTGTCAAACTCGACGGTGATACATTGTTTTTGTGTAAGGATCGTAGCCAAATGGTTAATTATACATGACAATACCATATTTTGGTGATTTTAAACCTTTCGTGCAGATGAAAGGCAATAATATGTAGACTGAAAGGGCCATGTTTTTCTCCAAAAAGTTCACTTCCCATGTTAAGATTGTCAATATAGCTACATGCTACATTTTAGGAAAGTATTATGGGATACCGTTCACTTGCTTGTTCTATTTTAATATCTGAAAACTTGAAAACTTCATCATCAGAACTCTCGTTCATTCACAACTTCTCAAGCGCGATTTACTATAAACTGGGTAAATTTTTACTACAAGTCTGACGTAATTTTACAAAGAGGGAACACAATTGGTTAGCTTTATTTAGACTTTCCTTAAAAGGAATTTGACCCTCAAAATAATGTGAAAGGTATGATCTGGTTTAGTCGTATGTTCAGTCTCTTGCCGACAAAAACGAAAGTGTTGAAACCATGCCCTTTGTCAGTGTCAACACTAAGACCGGAAAGCAGCTCCTGTTCTCGCAAAATTAAATATTTTTACAAGCTTTCAGACATGTAAGGATTAATAACCGATTTGCTTCTGTTGTTTCCTCTTGAAAAAAGTTGATTTAACATCAAAATATTTTTTTGTACGACTGATACGTTTTGTAATGGTTTGTCTATCATTGACGAAAATGGCGGCAGATTTTGAAAAAAAAAAATCACTCGATTTTCAGCTGTTTCCTTGTCATCTCCCACTTTCCTGAATCAAAAAGTAACTAAAAAAAACCATGAAACCTACCGTTTTAGAATATATCGCATTATTATGCTAAAATATAACTAGAGGAACACAAAGCTTGTTAACTGAACATGGCCATTTTCACGAATCCGCGATGCCTGAAGGCATCGTTCGGCCTCCCACTGGTGATGCCTTCAGGCATTGTTCAGCGCATGAGCGGCGATACCTTAAGGCATCGTTTGCCTGGAAAGGGTTAATAAAAATAGTTCACAATATTTGACAACTTTAGTTTTATCATGCTTATTAAGTAGTTGTTAAATTTTACATTCAATTTTCAAGGAATGGACACAGTGGTTAAATTTCTAGAAATGTTTGAAGATAATTACCCAGAAGCACTGAAGATTGCATTTATTATAAATGGTAAGATACGACATCTATATTATTTTTTTTTTAATTGACTAACTTTATTCTTTTTTGAATAAAATTTTCAAGGAATTGACGCTGTGATCCAGTTTCTACTAACATTCGAGGATAATTACCCAGAACACCTCAAGACTTGCTTTGTTATCAATGGTGAGACAAAAATTGTGATCCCTGTTTGCTCCTATTAGGCAATTATCTTCCAGTTGCAATTACTTGCTAGTATTACTATGTGTGGCCAATTCATTGTTTCAGAATCTAATGCATTCTGGGTAATATTTTCAAAAGCATACACCAAAACGCTGTGATAGGCTTATAACTTCCCAAACAATTGAAACTCAATCAATGACATGATATTTTTCATTTTTGGGTATGGACAATGAAATTACCCATAGTCCTTAAGATTCTGAAACAGCCAATTAAATGAACAGTCAAGCTTTTCTGGGTTATCTACTGTTACTAAAAAAAAAAAACATTTGTCAGTTTGATCTAAAATCAATGAAATTATTCAGAACCCTATGTAAATTACTAGAGTTTAATAACTACCATGTTTACCAACTATGAAAATTGACAACTATAAATTTCTTTAAAAATTTCTTTAAAAAGCATCATTGCACATTTGCACTGTGGCTATTTTTCACACATTTGCACTTTGGCTATTTTTCACACATTTGCACAGTGGCTATCTTTCACACATTTTGCAAATTGCTATTCATATGTTTAGGCTAGTGTTATATGTTTTCCATTCTAAGTAAGATTCTTTATCATAGTGATTAAATTATGCATAAATGACCTATCTTGGTCAAATATACTAGTTATACATTGCTTTATATGTCATAATACAATAGTGAATTTTTGTAATGAAGTTAGAAAACTATTTTATCGTATTTATTTTGTATCAAAATTTTTATTCATATCTAAAAAAAAAAAATGATATTTTACATAAGAACACTTGTAACGGATCTCATCATACCACCTTCTTTATTTATATCAACTATAAGAGACAAAAATAATGATATCATGCATCAATAAATATTGAAAAAGTCAATAATATACGACTAATTACTATTGTTGATATCTGATATGGTTATCTGCTCTTTGATCGGGTTGTTGTCTCTTTGACATATTCCCCATTTCCATTCTCAATTTTATTTATATTGTATGTATATTTTAATAACCCCCTTCAAAAGAGAGACTCTGGTTGTGTTTCTGGAATATAGCAAGATATCTAGTATCTTTAGAAACAGGAAACAATATCTATACATTGTCTTTAGAGGATAAACTTTTTTGCTGTTATATAAATTATTTTTGTCTTGGTAACAGTATCACTATCTTTGACTTTCTTTCAGCGCCAAGATTTTTTCCTGTTGTTTATAAATTGATACGACCAATCCTCTCAGAGGATACTGTTAACAAGATAAGAATATTTGGTAGTAAGTATCATTATTATTTACAAACTAAAGAAAAATACATAACCATGGTTACCACTTTTATTTTTGTACTTGATAATAAAATGCTTTTCATATAGCTCTATCAATGTCTCTCTGGTACGAAATATTTACTCTGAAAGAATTTTAAAATCTGCTGAAAGATAAAAAAGTAAAAAGTCTGTACCTGATTTTACTACTTAGCCATTCTGAAAGGGTACAGATACAGTCAAACCTGCATTAAGCAGTCACTCATGGGAAGTATTAAAAGTGATGCCTCAAAAGAGGTGACCCTTTAAAAGAGGTTCCTAAAAAAAATCCAATTCCGACATCACACGTGGCCAGGTTTGGGGCATAATGTTTTAGTGTTTTCAAGTGGTAGAGTTATTGTGCGATCAGATAAACTAAAAATGGCAGATTCCAGCGCTCTAAATTTGAAGAAAACATTAAAAATAGTTAATATTCATGGACAAATAAGTCGATGATAAGTTTTCAATGGAAACTGAAAGGCTTAGAACAGGAGAAATTCACTCATTCACCTCCTATTGCACGATCTTGGTTACAAACGGGTTCTGATTCTCATTTTTACCTCGGAACTGCATGAACACATATATTTTTATGCCCCACCTAGGGGCATTATGTTTTTCGGTCTGTGAGTCCGTTCTTTCGTTCGTCCGTCCGTCAGCCAGTCTGTCCTGCTTCAGGTTAAAGTTTTTGGTCAAGATAGTTTTTTATCAAGTTAAAGTCCAATCAACTTGAAACTTAGTACACATGTTCCCTATGGTATGATCTTTCTAATTTTAATGCCAAATTAGAGTTTTGACCCCAATTTCACATTCCACTGAACATAGAAAATGATAGTGCGAGTGGGGCAGGTTTGACTGTATTTTAAAAGATGTGTATTGTTGTGAGCTTTATCCTTGCATTATATCATATTTTGATTCATGATCTTATAATCTTTTTACTGGGATGTCTCATTGATATTTCACCCTTTTTTATATGTCTACAGCTAATTACAAAAGTGAGTTATTAAAGTGTATAGATGCTGACCAGTTACCTGTTTACTGGGGTGGATCATTGATCGATAAAGATGGAGATCCTAAATGTCCTTCTAAGGTAAGTTTTCTCATTGATACCATGGAATGTTTTACATTGTAATATTAAAATGTCTTGCTGAATGTTTTAACATTCTTACTTTTTTTACCTTGCCCTGTGGTTAACAGGAGATGTGGGGATTACTTCAAAGAGACAGTAATCCAAGAACACAAAAGCCATCTTGAGCTACCTATGAATTTTCACCATTTGAATTTCTTTAGGAGAGAACTTATTAGACAGAAGTCAAACTTTCCTTCAAGTACAAGATCTCAAAAATTCTTTTAATTAAACAAAGTTGTATATTGCAGCTATAATGTTATTTAAGATTTACTATTTGAAGATTGTTTTACTTCTATGGGAAACTGTAGAATATATTTTCAAACATTGCAGCTCCCCTGATATGTACAAAATATTTATTTTCTCCAGTACTTTTGTTTATCCAGCCAGGAATTGTAGATTATCAATAATTTTCAAAGCAAGATAAGAGTTTCTCTGCTAAAATCTCATCAAAGGGCAATAGTCCTATGATGAGATGTAGTTTATCGCTATTTTCCTAAGCAGCATCAATGCTGTTAGCTTATGATGTCATCGCATTCTCAATCTCCTGGACTGAGAAAAAGCCATCTGAGACAAGCTAGTAGCTTCAAAAGAAAAATTATCCTACAGAAAGATTAAAGCCAAATTAAGAAAAATAGCGATAATCAGCATTATCTCAAATTAGGAAGGTTAAAAGAGAAATAATAAATAAGTTTGTTTACAGATAATTCTCGGAGGAGAGATACCTAAGGAATATTATTTAAAGATAGCCTCAGAAGAAATGGAGAACTTTACTACAGTCAATGTTAAACGAGGGTCTTCACTCCAGGTGGATGTTGATGTTAAAGCGGCAGGAAGTTGTATTAGGTAAAGATATAATATAATATATTATTATACCTCAGTATGTTTTTTCTATATAAAAAAGAATGAAATATTTGTGCTATTTCATTCCACAGACTATTTGCCAGTCAATAGTTTCAAAGACTATTACCCCGGTCAATTGTTTTATAAACATATTTCCCGTACTTTTTCATACTAATTTTTCATTGGACAACAATGACGTCATCGACTATTCTGCTTGGATTTGTGCGCTTGGCAACGTTAAACTCTGAAATATCGCAAACGTTGTAATCTGTATGTATCTGTCGTAATTTCAAACTAATATATTACTTACCAGAAGCAATTGAAAAAGAAAATCTACGCGACATATTTTAAGAACTAAAACATGTAATGTATGGTATTGGTCTGTCGTCGTCTTCATAATCTGGGATTGCTTTGGTGTACGGTAAAATATTTTAGCTAATGTTTATCATATACACGGGAATTTTTACACAAGGATTCCTGGTCTTGATTACAGTAAATAGATTATTGACAAATACCACACAGGAGAAAAAAAACCTGATAGTTCATCTTGTACATGTCTATTTGATCATTTTTTTCAAGTGGTGTATATAGTCTTTTTAGAAAGTTGTTTTGTTCGGTATAATAAAACACTTAATGACTGGTTATGAGGGTAATAGTAAGTTTGTTGACCCTTTGAAACTAACTATTGCCCTCGGCTTCGCCTCGAGCAATAGTTGGTATCTCAGGGACAACAAACTTGCTATTACCCTCATACCCAGTCAATAGGTGTATAATATTACATTCAGCAGCTATGGTTTAGTTTTTGAACAATTGCAATGTAAAAATGAATATAGTAAACAAAAGTCAATAATATTTTTAACTCTTTTGAGACAAAAGTAAAGGAAGGATATGATGTATCAATCATTTCAAAATCACTACATGCACATGATAAAAATCATTCCTCATACGTGATAAATTTAACTCAAAGCACATGACAAAAATCTTTCCACGCAAATGAAAAAAAAACAAAACAAGGGAGGCCTTCAACATGGAACCAAATCTTTCACCTCACTGAAAGTTCAAGACAATCACTAGCACAGGTTTGAGCCTAATTTTATATATACATATAATTATGGATAAACCAAATTATTTCAAATAGCATGTACATATCTTTTTCTCTGTCCTGTATACATATTCCAGGAAAAGTATTTGGGGTCCACCTTTACCAATTAAATCATGAGAAAATGTAGCATTATAACATAATCTTGAAAACTTATCTTTATTTTATACACCAGATGGCAGTTTACAACAGAAGGGTATGATTTAGGATTTGGTGTGTATAAGAAAACAAAGGATGAGAAACAGCATGCTGGAAAGATGATACCTGTAGTTCATTCAGAGAGAGTTGACAGCCATCTTGTTCCAGAAGATGGTAGTGTTGCTGTTAAAGAAGCTGGTGCTTGTAAGTTTTGGTGCACCTTATTCATGATCTGTTACTGTAAACTAAGCGGGAAAAACAAAAGATTCCAAATAGACAATAAAAACTAAAAAACAAGTCTCTTTCTTTTTTTTTAAGTGATAAATCTCATTGGATGATTTGAAACTCAATTGTAAGTGGATTAACAATTAAAACAAATTTTAGATAGCAAGATGTTGTATATTTAATATAGTATTCAATGCTATATACCATTGAGATGAATGGAGGAGAGTGGAAAAAGACATATTCTCCCCCTCTCTACATTCTGTTATCTGTTCTTGTATTCATTTTGGATATTTACCTTTTGATTTCATTGCAACACTAGGCTAATATTATATTACAAAATCTGTAAAGCAAAATACTAAAGTGATTTTTATGTATAAATTTTAGTCACGATGGAAGACTTCAGTATCTTAAGTCATAGCTTTAATCCATTTTCTTTTGGTGAAACATTTCACCAGTTTAGCTATAGTTTTACCTAATTTTGTAGACATGGTACGTTTTACAATAAATACATTTATATACATTTTTTCCACCAGTTTAAGCTATAGTTTTACCTTATTTTGTAGACGTGGTACGTTTTGACAATACATACAGTTACATCAGAAGTAAAACGATCAGTTATCTAATAGAGGTCCTAGAACCAGAGGTCGAGGAAGTCAATGCACACACCTACGATAAAACCAATGACAAGGGAGATAAATCAGAATTATGTATCGACAGTACCTTAGATGTAGATGATGGTGACTCTGAGACGAAGGAGGCAGATGGGCAATCCACTAATATGTGAAAGATTCCCAAGTGGAAAAATTGAAGAAAATTATTAGGATATTATATGATGTTTCGCCATTCAAAATAAATTATCTGTTTAACAGCTTACATGATGCCCTAAAAGTCCGATAAGACATTGCTTGTACTTTTATTTAAATTTTTTATATTTTTAAACAAAAACTTTAATCTAACCAAGTACTAATGATTTGACATTTGTAATATGTAGCAATAATAAACAAGATGACTTCATTTATATTTATTCAGTAACAATTATTGTCAGCTTAGATTAACTTGTCTTACACCATGCAAAGAAAAAGTATCAAAACATAGAATAACATTATGTTATTCTTTCTTGTAATTTACTACTGCCACATTATGATGGTATGATTAATTTGATAGAGTTATGTTATATTAATGATTCTGTATTTTTATGTTTTTCTAGTTGCTTAGTAAAATGAAAGAATGTGTCCTTGAAACAGAATTTTTTTCTAAAACAAAAAATGATTTTAAGAAATTGTAATTGCTTCTGTCGATTGGTTCACAATTGTCAAGGTACAGTTTCTGCACGTTATGTATAAACTAGAATTACCAAGCAAAGGTAATAAGCTTTGTAAAACAGAATATTTATTTTGTATGATCATGGTATTTACATGGTAAACTACACTTTATGCTAGTTGTATATTTGCCATATTCAGGATTATAATATTATTTTGATTTATTCAGGGGAGTTGATTCCATATTCAATAAAAATGTGTATTTTGTTACATTGTATTTTATGCCAGGGCTAGTGTAATATTTAGATAGTTTGTCAAATAAGAAATTAACAACAATTAAATTGATTTTTTTTTTTAAGTCTTGCCAACAGTTTACATTCCAAAGATGTTAAATCAATGTTTTATGTATTTGAAAAAACGAAGTCAAACGCAAAGTGTTTTATTAAGATAAAAATGGTTTACTTTTTTATTTTCGAATGTCTATGAAGCAACATCAATGTATATTAGATTAAGATTATAAATATTTTAGATTTGAATATTCTATAATGTATAACTAAGTAAAAAGGTGACCTAGAGAAATCACATAAGTTATACTTGACTAAAGTATTAGATTTATCAGATATGCATATAATGATTTGCAATGGGTGATAGGATTTAATGTATTTTTCTGTTAGATTATTTCTGATAAACTGAAAAAAATCCAATTTCCAAAAGCATTATATTAAAGATCTATCATTAGCACCAAAAATTCAGACATTACGATGAAACTAAGGAAACTATTACCGGTATATATACACTTCTATGACATAGTTTTCAGATAAGACGGTATATATACACTTCTGTGACATAGTTTTCAGATAAGACGGTATATATACACTTCTGTGACATAGTTTTCAGATAAGACGGTATATATACACTTCTATGACATAGTTTTCAGATAAGACGGTATATATACACTTCTGTGACATAGTTTTCAGATAAGACGGTATATATACACTTCTGTGACATAGTTTTCAGATAAGACGGTATATATACACTTCTATGACATAGTTTTCAGATAAGACGGTATATATACACTTCTATGACATAGTTTTCAGATAAGACGGTATATATACACTTCTATGACATAGTTTTCAGATAAGACGGTATATATACACTTCTGTGACATAGTTTTCAGATAAGACGGTATATATACACTTCTGTGACATAGTTTTCAGATAAGACGGTATATATACACTTCTATGACATAGTTTTCAGATAAGACGGTATATATACACTTCTATGACATAGTTTTCAGATAAGACGGTATATATACACTTCTATGACATAGTTTTCAGATAAGACGGTATATATACACTTCTGTGACATAGTTTTCAGATAAGATAAAGAGAAAAAATGAAAACATAAGATGTGTACACTGTCTTAATTTTCCTTAAGGTGGTACCTCAACACTACAGGGAGATAACTCTGTAAAAATCAGCTAGATGTTTTAATCACGTTGTATTGTTAAGGAAATATTAAGCTTCTCAATGATCAAAATTAGTGTTTGTCAAACTGCTATATATAATCAATGAAATTTTTCTGATAAAGTGTTTGGTTGAAATTTTTTAAAATTCTTATATTTTTGTTAAAGGGTCAAAGTAAACATTTTGTCAAAATTTTATGAAAATTAAACGAGCCAAATTAATATTATTCAAGGTGTTGGGTACCACCTTAAATCAAGTCTTTTTTGCTTTAAAATAGTTGTAAGTATTAAATGGAAGGTCTGAACTTTAAAGTATTTCAGATATTATTAACCAAGATTTAAAGGTCAATGCCAATGGATGTCATGTTGTTTTGTTTTTACCAAAAATGCTTAGAATTTTTGAGTGGGAAATATTGAGTGTATGCTATATATAAACATTATGAGAGGTGCTGCTTTTATTGACAATCACTGTGGTAAGGTATTGTATTGGTCCTCAATATTGCTCTTTTTTAAAATTCATTTGAATTCTAACCAAATTTCATAAATTTTTATTAAACATTAAAAGGGGCTGTTCTTTGGTGCCATGAATGCATTTATAATAATGTGAGAGTTCCTTAGCTGTTTATGGTTCAGAAGTGTATAATTATCAGTTACAGATAAGTTTTTGGTTTGTTTTTTGTTAATCTTCTCCTTAAAGTAATACTGAGTCATTCAATCATTTTGCAGGCGAGGAACATTTTTCTTGTCCAGGCACATCTAGTGTTATCTTAACTTTAATGCAAACCAAATTTGAAGTCATAGATTGAAGTACAATTTAGGAGCATTTTTGACTCTTTATGAAATTAATAAAATATTCTGGCCAGATAGAATTTATTACATGGCATTGTTGACATCACTTCATCATGTTGTTGGTACGTTACTATTGTATTTGTCATATGAATTTAAATAAGACAGCAAAAAAGCTTTTTTAATTTAACTCTTGTTTGTAGATAATTTGTTTAAATGGAAAATAATAAAAATTCATTACTGGTACTTTTTGTTTTGTTGGTTTGCTGTTTGGTTTCTTACCATTTTTTAGGAATTATGGAAAATTTCGACGCTAGGTAGCATATATAAAAATTTGAGCTCATGGTTAAAGGCCATATGGTGACCTATTATTTACATCCACTTCATTTGGTCTCTGGTGGATAGTTGTCTCATAGGGAACCATACCACATCTTATTATTTTATACTGATAATCTGTTTATTTTTTATGACCAAAAAGTTATCATAGAAATTCAAGTTATTATGTAACCTTTATATTTCTCTTTAGATAAACTTCCACTTTTCAATTATAAGACATACTGAAAATATGATTTTGTATATTTTTATCTATTTGCATTTGAAAACCACATGGGAAGATATATTTTTGTTACATTTTTAATATATTGAATAGATAGACATTATATTTATTTTTTAAGGAAACTATGTTATATATGTTAATCATTTATTATGAAAAAAAATAAAAGCATATATTTGAAAACTTTGTTTATTGTATTATGCCATTTTTATATTTTTTAAAATGGTGGAAAATTTCAGCAATTGTGTACATCTGTTTTACAAGGACTTATATCTCACACATGCTGTCTCAAAAGAATAAGTATATTGTCTGCAGAAGAATCTCAGCCCTATTAGCATTATATGTTTCAACAAATCATTACTTTACCACATATCTAAAGTTGTAAGCAAATGTGTCGCCTTTTCAGCAGTTATCTCCAAAAGTATTTTATAACAAGGGAGCTGGGTCAGATAGAAATCGACCTTACGTGAGTGCACATATACATGTACATGTGTAGACTGATTGATTTTGGAACATTCAAATATGAAATAAAAGAGGAATTTTGGTCTGTTTTGTATGGTTCTTATATCAGCTCTATTTTCAAACAGTTACAGACTTTCCATAGAGATTTTTTCAACCCGAAAAAGGTTAACAAACGTATTGGTAATCATTTGACTAAGGGTGATTTCTACCCCACGCAGCTCAATTGTGCTCTGCTTTTGCAAATATTTGCCTCCTCTGTAAACCAGGTAGTTGTTTTATGGTTCATTTTTTACAATATTAGCAACTGTTATAAAAAGATTTTTATGCATTCATCTCATAAATGATAATTTATTTTGTCCGGTAAATTGTGGAAAAATAGTATGTAGTTAATGCGGAATTGAAATAAACTTTTTTGCAGAAATACATAAATATGTGTATTTGTGAGAAAGACCAGACCTGATGTTTGAGAGGGATGTCAGGCCTATTTTTGGAGAGGTTTTTCAGTCCGAGTCTGTCCCCAAAGTATAAGTATAGTGCAATATGAGGAATTTTAGTCCAGAAGAAGAAAAAAATAGCAGCATGTGCCAAAGTTATTGGCAAGTCTTTTTATCTGTGTATCCATGTAATCCATCAGATCAAGCGTGAACCATGTAAATCTTTAGGTTTATTTCGTCATTGGGTTGCTGTCTCATTAAATTTTACCCACAATTCATGTTATTCCTATCCTCTATATAATTCCTATACACTGACTTCCTGCCAAACAAAAACACTTTAATTTGAAATGTTTATTTAAGTTAATGTAAAATATGTGAGAGAACATATAATCAGAAAAAAGATAAATATGTGTACAAAGAAAATCTCGTATAACAGAGCAATAAAAATATAATCATCGTCGTAACAAATAAATATGAGCAACTTAAAAAACTGTAATTTTCTGAAAATTAGAATACTCACTTAAAATCTATCACATAAATTTTGTAATTATCTACATAATAAAATAATAAAAATCAACTGAGAATTTAATATTTTTAACACCTTACTTTGAGTTACCTGGTTTCTGGCCTGTAGGTCTTGTGTATACCTTGAAACCTTCTGTATAAAAACTGACATCACAAGATTTTTTATTTAACTACAGACATCAAACAGAAACAACTGTCACTATGAGACATTAATTTTGAAAAAAAAATCTTTTATGAAAATCTGTCAGATTGATATTGTTCTTAAAACAGATAATCATTCATGGAAATAAGAAATAATATATTATCGCTATTTTGCGTATATTTCCTTTGATCTTTTTTGTGATAATTTTTCATATCACGCTTCTCGCTTGAGATAGAAAATTATCGTCAGAAACTAAGGGCTCAAGTGAAGTTGTCAATGGAAACATTAACAACGTCATAGGCAAGATAGCGATAAACAGATTATCATTGTTCTTTCAAACTCAAGGATGTTGCTCGGCCACATCTCATCTCAGGGATGTCACCCTTCTTGTTTGAAAAACCATAGATAATCTATAATTATACAATAATATCTTTTGATATCTTGACATAGATTGATTGATTGGTGATGTTTTACGGCCATTTCCAGCACACTTAGATATGTGATGGTGACTAGTCTTTTATTGATGGAGAAAGCCTGAGTACCCTTACAAGAATCATCAACCTTCTGAAGGAAACTTACAATGTTAGTTAAGTAAGATGAGATTCAAACTCACAACCTCAGTGTTGATAGGCTAATGAACACTTAGATGAACTACTTACACCACTCTGCCACTGAGGACCACAGTAATATCATATTGTGACTTAAAAACACTACACAATGATTAAAAAACTTATACATGTTAACATAATTTAATATGCAATACAATTTGCCTATCAAAAGCCAGAAACCAACCTTAAGTGATTTTTTTAAATTAACAAAACAGGCAGTGATTTATGGTTCATTTGACCTGGCAAATAAAACCAACAAAGAGTTCACAACCATAGAAAACGTAGAAAGTTTCTAGTGGTTAAGTTTTCAACAATAAATTTTTTTAAAGTTTTTTTTTTTCATTGCTATGAAGAAGAAGCAACAAGATGTATTAATTAATTCATGCCACAAAATTCCTTCATGTACTTGTCAAAGGAACAATACTTTTATCATCTTTAACGGTTTATAAAATTCTATAAACAAGCATACTTATATATATAAATAAATGTATATGTGTGTTGAAATATAGGTTATTTTTGTTTATTATTAAATCATTTGATTGATGGTTGGCTTCTTAATATCACCTTAGAATTGATTGATTGATGCTGCTTAAGTACATTTGGCTACATCTTGGTGGCAAGTTTTTATTGGTGGGGTGTAGTTGGAGTACACGGAGAGATCTACTGACCTCTTGCAGAAAAATTAGCAATCCTAATCCATTAAAATACCCCCTTTGGACCCCCTTTGGACATAATGTCTATATATTGTGGTGATACTAAAATATTAATGAACTATCAGTGAAAAATAGGACAAAAGGTCCATTCTTAACCCAAATGAAATTATAAAATAAATATTCCATATAGTCATCAAACATGAGTTGTCTCCCATTTGTTGATTGATTGATTGTTGGTGTTTAACACCACTATTGGTTACATTGTGGTTGTACGTTTTTATTGGTGCAGGAAGCCGGCATGCAGGTACACAGACATCCTAGTCAAACATACCTGCCATGTGCGGGGTTGGAACCTCACAACTTCAGTGTTGAATGGCTAGTGATATCGTAGATGAACTACTTAGATCACTCAACTGCTGAGGCCCTCTCTGTTTTGTATAATTATTGTCTTAATTTGGAAAATACATCGTTTTTGCAGGTTTTATGAAAATAAAATAGTTCAGTCAATAGTAAACTATAAAAAAATGCAATATGCAAATTAATTTTGGAAAATTTTGAGTCTTTATTAGCTGACTATACGGTATGTGTTTTTCTCATTGTGGAAGGTCATACAGTGACATGTAAATGTGGATAGATGCCTCATTAGCAATGACCACATCTCTGTACTTTTATATTGCTTGTCTTTTTGTTGTATTTTGCCATGGTATCTTTTTTACAAGCCTGATGGATGAACAAGGGGAATAATTACTTCACTCAGTGATTAGGGTAAAATTATGTGCACCTGACTATATGAATAAAAAAGATATTAATCAAATGATACAAAAATTAGACAACTTATTTATTAAAATATTGCACTATAAATAAAATTTTAAAATCTAATCGTCTTCTGTCGTCAATTACATGGTTGATGGTCCAATTATTTTCAATAACCATGCGCAAATGCAGTTAATGTTTGAGGTATTTTTTTAAATGTTTTATTATGAGCATTTAAAACTTTTGTATTAAAATAGGAAAAACAGTACAATATATGAAAAGTTGCCACTGTTAATTTGGGAATTGATGGTTGCAAATATCTATTTAACTAGCTCTGTGAAACTGCACTTGTGACTGTATAATCCCAAACTGAAGGTAACAACTCTTCAAATACAGTACTGTTATTTCTTAAGTTTCAAGTCCTGTGTCCATTGACTTGACTGGTCAATCGTATTGTCTAAATTTTAAGAAGAAAAAAAAACCATTACAATAAAGTATAAATAACAAATACATCTTATCAATTAAATCAAAAGCTCTATAGACATTAACAAACAACATAATACATAACAAAACATTACCATCAATCTTTTTGATTGAATCTCATTCAATTATTCAAAACATAAAACATAAATATCCCAAAATTGTTGAAAGAATATGTAATATAAAGAATAAAAAATATTAATTAAATATGTCATGGATTTTGATTCATTGCAATTAAAGTTTAGAATTCATGAAAAGGAATTAGGATCATCAGGGCCTGTTTCTGATATTCAGGAAAAAAGAAAGATTTTTTTACCTTTGTTTACCTCTACTGTAATCTTTGTTCAGAGGTTAAAGTCTGGAAAAAATTAATATTTTCGTAGTTGTGATGTCACAATAATGTCATTATTGACAGTTTGAGGGACAATTTGAGAGACCTCTTTAAGAAATTAATTATTTCCAAACAATTATCACAAAAGTAAAATATTAAAAAAGCAGGTTCACAACTTGATGTCCTGTATAAAAATCTGTTAAATGACGATTCAAGACAATAGAAGTGATCCTAATGTGTCACTTCAGCTTTACCGTCAGTCCGCACAATAATACTGATAATGTGAGACAGTAAATTAAAATGATTCAATCAGCATTTTGATGTATGCATATGTTATTTTGAATTATATGATCAGCTAACTTAAAGATAAAAAAGGGAAAATTGATTATTTTATGACGCAAAAAAACATAACGTCAATGGAATTTATGATGTCAAAGTACGATGGATTCAGTTACTTTGTAGATGCAAATTTTTAGAGATTGAGGAAAAAATGCATTTCCATGGATATTTGATTTAGTGGTTTTCCAAACTCTGCTTATATGCCTTCAGAAAATTTTCACTCCGCCGAAAATTTTAATTTGTGGTATACCTATTTCCACAAAAACAACAAAGATTTGGTACATAATGAATAATAATGAACCAAAGTATGATTTTAAACTGAGAACAAACAAAATAACAGGCTTTTCAATTATGAAGTAAGAGTCATATTACATTTGGGGTCTTTAACTGTCAAAACATGTCAGCAAAATTAAACCTTTTTGCTTTCAAAGTTTACAACTTTTCCTCAATATATATGTATCCCCACTGGCTTTTACATATGCTATATATTATATATTTTCCCTCAGCAACCCCTATATTTCTTCATATTCTTAAAATACTTACACGAGGGTCTGTATGGGGTTTACAGAATAGAGAATAGTGGGTAAAAACAGAGAATACTAGTCTAAAAAAATTAAAGAATACAAAAATGATGTACACCCATCCAGATCCTCTTAAATATCACACACCATTTTGTTTTTTAAATTGCTTATTATAAATATATCTCATTTTTACATACAATTTAATATTAATATCTTCCCTTACATTTCATATATAAAATAAAAAAAAAACCTGTTTCCTGCTGAAAATTCTACTTTTTCAAATTCTTGGACATGTTCTTTAAAAAAACTAGCACATAGAACTATCCTAATTTTTCCATAATTTTGATGTACAATATTTTTTTGAAATGAAGAATGAAAATGTTGTTATTCCTTATTGCATTTTGTATACTGGGAGGGAGGGGGAGTACCTTATTATAGGTAAAAAAAATATACACGGGAAGGTTAGAACTCCTAATTCTTAAACCTAGGTGGGTTGTATTTACAAAACCAACTTTTAATCACAGTTTTTATCCATGCCTTCGATAAGATAGAGAGAATGAAAGACATTGAGTTATTTATTTAAAACTACTGTAAAAATATGATGGTTAAAAGTGTTTGATTTTTTGCCATGAGTATTATTGAAGTGAGAAAAAATGAAGTGTAAAGTGAAAAAGTTCAATGTGTCTTAACTTCAAAACAGTAGTGACTGATTACATAAAAAACTAATCATCCAAAGCGAAACCTGGCATCCAAAAATAAGTAGGTCAAATGTCAGAAACCTGTATATTTCTTACAAAAAATATGATTTTGCTCATCTAAAATAAAAGCAAAATTTGACACCAAAATAAAATTACTATTTACAGTCAACCTGTATATCAAGGTCACCCTAAGGACAGATAAAACTGTCCTTATAAGAGAGGTGCCCTTTAAATTGAGGTTCAAAATGCTATAAAGGTATTACTATAGCGTGACAATAAGAGGGTGGAATTACAAAACAGGATTTTGTTCAATAGAGGCAACCTTTACAGCAGGCTTGACTGTATAACATGTATAATAAAGAAATTATAATGGTCAAATCCAGGTTTACCATTACAGAAATCTTTCATTAGTTTTAACATTGATACCTAACAAACAGAGGCTTAAAATCAACATTAATAAAATGAGCTGAACAATTGTCTTGAACACTTAATCTAGCTTATAACTAACACCAAATGACTCTGTTCACAAAGAAACTTACAAGTGAATATACATGCCAAGTTATGAACAATATAATACAGTGGATTCCTCTTAATTTCATAGCCAAAGTGTCACAAGATATTATACAATTATGATAAATTTGATAGAGTGAAATATAAAGATACTCTTTAGCTTTTACAGAAGTAATTCTATGTACTGTGGATTCATTATTATTCAATGAATACAAATTTTCGTTGATTTCGTGGGTACAGGTGAACCACGAAATTAAATGTTCAACGAATAACAAATTTTCTATAGGATTGTATGCAGACTTCGGCAAAACCACGAAATTAAATATCCACGAACATGTAAGATTTCTATAATCCACGAAAATTGGTACCCACGAAAATAAATGAATCCACAGTATAACATTAAGAATAAACTCTTGAGACACCAATTAAGTCCCCTTGATGTCAATACTATTAACAAACAAAAGACATTAAATTGTTATACATCTTTTTTTAATGTAAACACTATTTTGACTTTTTTCTATCCTTGTTTACCTTATTAGTAACATTGCAAATAACTTTAATTTTGCCCACAATGGTACACTTTGTATTATCGTCTTTAATTTTTTTATGCAATTAACAAGGATTTATTTTTTAACCTATGAAATTAAAATATTGGATTTACAACATAAAAAAGATAGGAAGGAAATTTTATGCAAATAACTGATTATGTAATTAATAGATATGCAAATAACAGGATTATGCAATTAACATGGTTATGCAATTAACTGGTATGCAATTAAAAAGAGTCCACTGTATAACTTGAGATCAATTGTAATTGTAAGATTATTTGTTACATAAGTTCCAGGAAACTAATTCTGGCTTGATATAGACTGACTACTTGATGACCCTGGTATACTATAGCCATCCTCTGGTTCCAGAACTTCTATTAAATATCGAATTGTTTTACTCCTGGTCCAACTGTAAGTATTGTCAAATCTAATAATATCTGAAATAAAACATCACAAGGTTGTCAATCAGGAAGGAAAATCACATAGTGTACAGATTAAGAAAAGCACTTGACTTAAAACATTATGATTGCATTACATTGAAATTAACAAGACTGGGTATGATTAAAATTTCAAACTATTGGCAAACAAGAAGCATCTGAAAATTGCTTACACACTAAAATTCAACATCAACCTGTAGATCAAATATAAAATCACTCCCTTTGATACAAGCCAAGAAAACTTTGTAGAAAGATTTCTACCAAAGGTCTTTCAGACAGAATGACAGACGGAGTAGATCAGTTACTAGACAACCATTGTGTTAGAAAATTCATTATATATATGTGTTAAATCCGAGTTTCTCACATGATATTTGTCATAATGCAAAAATTATCTGTAAAAATAAGATGGTTTACAATATATATTTTATTTATGTTAAAACTTACATGTCCCTGCCTTACTACAAACTATACTGCCATCCTCTAGTATCAAGTGACTATTGACTCTCTGGGAGGGGAATATTTCCTCCATTTCACCGGCCTTCTGTCTGGAATCTTTGGTCCTTCTATATATACCAAATCCTATATCAAACCCTTCTGTAGAAAACTGCCATCTGAAAGATGAACATAAAATTTCTAATTTATGAAATCAGTATTTTGTTAATTTTGTGCAGTGCATTTTATATATTTTTAAAAGGGTATAATTAACCTCCATCATGCAATTACTAAGGAGTAGGCCTAGTAAGACCCCTTTTTGGCCCCAAAATATAGCAGTTTTACAAAATTGTTAAAACGTAAATTTTTAGCTATTTATTGGAAAGAAGAATACTTCTGTTACATAAATATGGGCTGTTTTTTGACAATACAATGCACATGTATCGGGTACTGGCATCATTAAGTCATGCTAAATTACAGAAAACTTCGAAATTTTAGCATTTTGGTTAATTTTTAGATGGTTTCCGTCTGAAATGGAAGTGGCCGCATTTGTGTTCATTCTTAATACTTAAATGTAAGTTGTATTTGATGATAATACATAACATATATAAAGGTTGAGAATAAACACGGATGCGGCCACTTTCATTTTTGACAAAAACCACCTGAAAAGTGACATTTTATGCAAATTTGATAGATTTTTCATATTTAAGCTTGAATTTGAGCGACTTAGTCAGTTCAAATCTTTCACATAAACTAATCGAATCAACTGAAGAAGACACTTAAGTGTTTAAAAAGTGTCCAAAATCTGAACCTGAATTTTGAGGCCAAAATCGGCCCTTACCGGACCTACTCCTTTGTCACTATAGTTAACATTAATTTCACAGTTTTTTTCTCCCCAGCCCCCCTTCGCATCCTTGTTACCAAGTTAATTACAACTAGTATTTCTGAGCTATTAGAGGTCCTCTAGTCATTCACACATACCACTTGATCTATATCTGTGTGACAGAAATTGATCAGCTGACAATGACTATCTTTGGTTTACTCTTACATTTTCAAATTCTATTACAAAAAAAGAACTTGTATCAAATCAGTTAAAATATTTCGATATAATTCACACATGGCTAAAAATAGAAATGTTTATGTTAAAGAAGCTATTTTATAACAGACTTTTACCGTATAATACAATTAGGAACTCTGACAGTATAATCTAATTGTAATGAAGATCCTCTTCCCACATCTACTGAGGTTAAATTCTCTGCCTCTAAATCATATTTCCTATAATACTCTTTTGGCACTACTCCTCCCGGACAGATCTGCAAAATAAAATAGATTGCATTGGCTAATTTCTTGTCTGTCTTAATGAACTTTAATGGATAAGATCCTTCGCTTTAACTAGCCTAGTGGGCGAGACATCATTTATATCATTTAAAAAAAAAAGAAGTCAAAATTTATGAACAAAATATGAAATTCTTTTACCCGGTACTGTAGTTTGCTATAAAAATAAGATTACTACTGTAAATTCAGAAATTATTGCGATGTTTTTATTATTGCGAAAAATGTGACAGGGTAATAATCGCAATGATTTAAACTGGCATTTTGAAATTTTTTATATAAATTAAACAGGATTTTTCTCAATATTGCAAAAATTAAAATCGCATTTTAGTCTAAAATGACAGAATCGCAATAATAAATGCACGCAATAATTTCTGAATTTACAGTATATGAATTAAAATACCAAGTCTTGCAGCAATGACAATCGTTCTTGAAAATAATTTCCTAATATCATGTAAACATCTGCAATGGTGTAGGGTGTTAACATTTTTTTTTATTTCAATGAAGGAGACTTTGACAGGTAGAAATACTATTACTTTAAATCTAAACATAAATGAGTGGGTCTCCCTCAAATTTATGTCTTTTAGCTGCTTCATGGATGTGTTGCCAGTTAACACTTTAATACTGATATAGGGACCCTCCCGTGAAAATTGGTTCATCTTGAAACTGTTACTAGAAATCAAACATAGACAAAATAAAATATCAATTAAATACTAAAATGAATTTACAATTTTTTTGTTATGAATATATGAAGTTGTATATATACTTCAGCTTCAGTACTTTTGACCTACACTAAGTGTCACTATGTGAATAAAACAGTCTTATCTTTGACCATCACTAATGGGTTACTACAACTTCCACCCAAGTGGCTGTGTGGCTACAACAGATCTTCCATTTGACCTACACACACAAGTTCCACCCTATTTTGTATGTTAGTAAAACATATCTTACCTTTGACCTACATTAAGGTCACCATTTGGATCAACAAAAGTCAACCCATGTGAGTATGTTGCCACAAAACAAATCTTACCTTTGACCTGCACTTTGGGTCACCATCTGGATCTACACAAGTTCCACCCCAGTGGCTAGGTAACTGGTCCTTGTCTATATACTTATACAATTCTTCTTTGTAATTACCTTAAAAGAAAAGAAACAGATAATAAAACTTATCAGAATGAGTATTACATGTATCTGATGAAACATTCTTACCCAAGGATAAAACAAGATTATGTATCTCAAACTAGGTTAAAGTCCAGGACAACAAAATGTACTGAAATGTCAGAGCACACACAGTTTTCATTAAACTCTACTAAGTACATTGTATAATATTTCAAGTTAATGGTCATATCCTTTTCCTTAAATATTTTTAAAATCAGAAGCAAATTATTAGATTTTAAGTACATTCCCTGTAAAGTGTTTAATGTCTATCTTTCTCAACATCACTCCTAACCCTTCTATCACTGCCTCATCTCTGTTAATGTTAATGGAATAGCTTGTATGCAACGATCCTCTTCAAAGCATCATATCAATAAATGAAAATTATATAGCATTTTACCTGATCACTAACTTAATACCCTTTATATAAAATATGGCTGAATACTGTCCTATCTTCACACACATGGAAAGGATAGAACAACTGAGATATAAGCACAACAGGAAACTTGATATAAGAGGAAAAAGAAAATCAGGTGTTACCTAGTTGAAAGTAATTTAACTTTGATATTACAGCTTATTCATTGTGAACTGATTCCATATTGTCAGTTCACAGCAACAGTAGAATTAAATAATGAGAATCCAGTTTACTATACTGTAAATTCTTGTAGTATAGCCATCAAATGCATGTAAGAAGCAATATCCAGTGTACAAAGAAAAAAGCTGTTTTCTAGTTGAAATCCATGCTCCCATAAAAAAGGGATGCAGTTTTCTTGTCAATAAAAATATGATTGAGGCAAGCATTATCATTCTTTTGTCGATAAAAAATCCCTCAAGCAACAGAGAATTGCTACATCTGGTTGTTTTGTTAATATGTGGCAACCCTGTAGTAGGCAAGCAGAAATATTGATAAACTTTAGGCATATAAACTAAAATTCATGTAATTCCTCAGTATTTTTAATCATTTCGATAACTATCTTAATCAATAAATTTAAGCTTAACTTACAGTGTGTTAGATGAAGAAGCAGATGACAAATTTCTGAAGATTAAGCAAAAGTTGTGACCAAAGGGAAGTAATTCACAATTTTCAAATGCATATAGCGAGTACATTTCCAAATAGAAATTTGAATAATGAACACAGGTTCAGTTATTGTTTGACCTTACCTTAGCAATAAGCATAGATTTCAATTTTTCAATGTCTCTATAGAGTTAATATACATTTTGTAAAAAGTGACTCCATGATTTTTGCAAACTAATAAAACCTAGATAATTTTGAGTTATTTCCCTTTAGCATCAGTTCATCTGTCAACATGCTGATTTCTGACATGTAAATGGAAAATATTCTTGGAATAAAAAATCTAAAGGTCATGATGGTGTAGCATTTTATGAATTAATGGGTTATATAAGGTGAACCTTTACCTTATTTTAAACAAGTTCAAAGTAAGACGTTCTCCCTGCAATTGAACATTAGTCATTTTCACTCTTTCTGATAATAAAATATATGCTATAACATTTCAGAAACAGTCTCAAGAAAAGTGTAAGTAACCTCTGAACTCGGTGTATGTAACCTCTGAGCTAGGTTTATGTGACCTCTGAACTAGTTGTATGTAACCTCTGAACCTGGTGTATATAACCTCTGAACTCAGTGTAGGCAACCTCTGAACATCAATTTTCAATAAACATATTTTGCTAGGGTTGCTGTAAAATTGATCTTCCCTAAAAATATCTACATGTAATAACTAACTAAGGTAGTCATCGTTTACAACACAGAAACTTTTAACAGCAAACAATTTTCCAGACTTTTGACATGGCAGGTGTTTTTTATGAAGAAGGTTCTTGAGAAATTCGATCTTTATTTCTTTTGTTTTGAAATATGAAATTACTTACTTCCAAAGATATGGATTTTTTTAGCAGTTTCTTCAGCTAGGAACGGTTTGACTAGATGAAATATCACAGGGAATATTCTTGGAGCTAAAACAAAATGAAAGTAAACATTATCATACATGTAGTAATAAATATAGTAAGTATATCTTTGCTCAATGCTCTTCAACTTTGTACTTTATTTGGCCTTTTAAACTTTTTTATTGAAGCATCACTGTTGAACACCTGATTGCGTACACAATTTTTATCCTGATATCTATAATACGTTAATTAAAGACTGATGATTACAATAATGTATTGCTCATATTTTTATTGTAAAAATAAGAAGATGCTGTATGATTGACAATGAGACAACTTTCCACCAGAGACCAAATGACATAGAAGTTTATTTAGTGACATAAAATGTAGAAAGAAAAATCAAGTTGGTGGTTCATAAAACTGGTTAACCTCCAAATCACATATTTTTGCCTGTAAAAAGTCAGACTATCTGGAACATCTATTGTTTTTATTGTTTGTATATTTTCCTTGTACATAAAGATATCCATAAAATGAAAATAACACATAATTTGGTCCATTTTAAGCATTTTTCTTGATTAACCTTCATCATAAATGATCAAACCCTAAAGTTTGAAAACCAAAGATGTATAACTACAAGAATACATGACGAGTTATATTATGTATATGAACAAAAAGGACCTTAAAAGTATCTAAAGTTGACTTTGACTGAGGGAGTTGGTACCTTAGATTCCTTATAATTTCTGATTTATCAAGAACTTTTTACCCCCATTCCTAGATAATCACATAAGCTGTATACCAGCGTGCATGGAGATATCCATTGAAGTCTATATTTTTTGTTGATCAAAATATTTTACCCCGGAACCTTCTTACTGGTAACACCAGCTATGTAACAATATAAATATAAAAAAAATGGTTTACTATCTATTAAGACCACTCAATCATCTACCTAAATTATAACTTATAAAATTTAAAGGGGCATAACTCAGAGGAAAAATTGAATCATAACTTCCTGTCGATATGCACATCTATATAGTATGTCCTTATTATCTACAAAAAATAAAATTCTGTTGTGTGTTTTCAGAGGAGTTTGGGTGACAAGATCAGGACTGACAGACAGACGGATGGATCAAAAACATTATACCCTACACAACTTTATTGTGTTGGGTATAACAATGCATTACTTACCATTAATAACAAAAGCTATCCTAAGAGTTTCAGGATAATTATCTTCAACCATGGAAACTATTTCACAGAAACAATCAAGACCTAAAAGTAGTAATACGAAGCTAGAGCCTTTGTGGATTAAAAGCAAACGAATCACCTAAACATTATTTTCTCCGTTTATATGATTAACATATGAAGAACCTAACGATCGTTCATGTAAAATTTAATTTAAACTGATTAAAGGTTTCAAAGGATATACTTTTTCATAGTTTTCGCATGAGGTATAAACTAATCACAAAATAATACTGCTAACATGCTCAGTCATCTTGAACTCACTTTATTCTTCAATGCTCTAAAATTCAAATAATGAGTCCTTATCATATTCAAGCTATTACAAAATTAATGAGTTAAAGACTGTTTACGGAAACTAAGAGAACAAATATATCCTTCACACTTCAGTGGTCGGAAAGTCAAATAAATTAACAAGCTTATTTGGAGCCTGTTACTTCAAAATTATTTTCAATGGAAATTATGTTACATTTAAGTATTTCTCAATCTTTCCAAAAGTCTATTTATACAGCTTGAACATACAATTTTCTGTCTTTTAACATAAACTCACCAGGTTTCCATAAATGTCTTCTGCTGCAGTTCTCTAAATCATATATAACTACTACTTGGTCTACTCTGGTCCCAACCTATAAAATATACACCTTACAATTACATAGTCAAACATTTGTCAATGGACATCTTGTATCATTTCTCAACAAAACCAATACTGCTTCTATACCGCGTCACTGCATGCAATTGATTGAGGTAATATGTTCATGGAGCAAAATTGATTATTCCCTTTCACCGATGCAAAGAAAACTTTGACGAAAATTTTCATTGTACAATGAGTGTTGTAAAATATCAAGCTGCAGACCAAAATTCAAAATCATTCTCTTCAATAGGATCCAAGACAAGTTTGATAAAACATTTCCTTGTACAATGAATGTTGTAAAATTTCAAACAATCAGAAATCAGGAAGTAGCTACATGGCAGATGTAAAAATTGCTTACCCACTACAACTCAACATTTTAAAGCTGCAGACCAAATATTAAATCATTCCCTTCAATAGGACCTGAGGAAACTTTGACAAAAATTTTCCTTGTACAATTAGTGTTGTAAAATTTCAAACATTTGGCAAAAAGGAAGTGGTTATGAAGGACGGTCAGAACGACAGACAGACGGAGTCAAGCGGTTACTTGACTTGCTTCCACCTTCAGCGATGCAGATAAAAATCTTATTGGTAGATTCCAAACCTTGGAAGGAAAATATTCAGTGTCTGACACAAATGTCAAGTGGTGCATTCTGTACAACTGCCCTTAACAAGGAGGCCTTAGGCATTTTGGTAAGTATTATTCCAAGTCAGGAGCCTGTAATTGGTTGGTTGTCGATTGTTGCTGTATATCATATTTGTCACATTTATTCCATTGTTTGTATATAAATCAGGCCATTAATTTTCTTGTTTGAATTGTTTTACATTTGTCATTTCTGGGCCTTTTATAGCTGACTATGCGGTATGTGTTTTGCTCATTGTTGAAGGCCGTACCTTGACCTATAGTTGTAAACTTCTATGCCATTTGGTCTTTGGAGGACAGTTGTCTCATTGGCAATCATACCACATCTTCTTACTTTTATATTTTATGTATATTGTTACCTTTTGTGTTTGTTCTTTGAATGTCACATTATATAACTTCTCCAGTATATAAACTTTACTCAGAACAGCATCCGATTTTTTGGCTGATCTCAATAAACCTGAAAATAAAAAAAGTCATTCTATACATATATAAGGTTTAAAAAGAGTTAGGACTCACGTTCATATGACTGTCCCTAGTCATGAACTTTAATAGTTGGTGGTCTTTTGTCATATCATAATGCTTTCCAGATTTGGTGCTGACAGCAGCTCTTTTATGTTCTCTATTAAAGAAATTCACAACTTTTTCTTTTAATAGCAGGGTGATGAAGAACTTGACATATTGTATAGACAATTATAATATGTTGAAGAGCTTGACATATTGTATAGACAATTGTCATATGTTGAAGAGCTTGACATATTGTGTAGACAATTGTCATATGTTGAAGAGCTTGACATATTGTACAGACACTTGTCATATGTTGAAGAGCTTGACATATTGTATAGACACTTGTCATATGTTAAAGAGCTTGACATATTGCGTAGACACTTGTCATATGTTGAAGAGCTTGACATATTGTGTAGACACTTGTCATATGTTGAAGAGCTTGACATATTGTGTAGACACTTGTCATATGTTGAAGAGCTTGACATATTGTGTAGACACTAGTCATATGTTGAAGAGCTTGACATATTGTGTAGCCAATTGTCATATGTTGAAGAGCTTGACATATTGTGTAGACACTTTTCATATGTTGAAGAGCTTGACATATTGTGTAGCCAATTGTCATATGTTGAAGAGCTTGACATATTGTGTAAACACTTGTCATATGTTGAAGAGCTTGACATATTGTGTAGACACTGGTCATATGTTGAAGAGCTTGACATATTGTATAGACAATTTGTCATATGTTGAAGAGCTTGACATATTGAGTAGACACTTGTCATATGTTGAAGAGCTTGACATATTGTAAAGACAATTATAATATGTTGAAGAGCTTGACATATTGTGTAGACACTGGTCATATGTTGAAGAGCTTGACATATTGTAAAGACAATTGTCATATGTTGAAGAGCTTGACATATTGTAAAGACAATTGTCATATGTTGAAGAGCTTGACATATTGTATAGACAATTGTCAAACGTTGAAGAGCTTGACATATTGTGTAGACACTGGTCATATGTTGAAGAGCTTGACATATTGTGAAGCCAATTGTCATATGTTGAAGAGCTTGACATATTGTGTAGACACTTGTCATATGTTGAAGAGCTTGACATATTGTGTAGCCAATTGTCATATGTTGAAGAGCTTGACATATTGTGTAGACACTTGTCATATGTTGAAGAGCTTGACATATTGTGTAGACACTGGTCATATGTTGAAGAGCTTGACATATTGTATAGACAATTTGTCATATGTTGAAGAGCTTGACATATTGAGTAGACACTTGTCATATGTTGAAGAGCTTGACATATTGTAAAGACAATTATAATATGTTGAAGAGCTTGACATATTGTGTAGACACTGGTCATATGTTGAAGAGCTTGACATATCGTTAAGATAATTGTCATATGTTGAAGAGCTTGACATATTGTAAAGACAATTGTCATATGTTGAAGAGCTTGACATATTGTATAGACAATTGTCATATGTTGAAGAGCTTGACATGTTGTAAAGACAATTGTCATATGTTTAAGAGCTTGACATATTGTAAAGACACTGGTCATATGTTGAAGAGCTTGACATATTGTGTAGCCAATTGTCATATGTAGAAGAGCTTGACATATCGTAAAGACAATTGTCATATGTTGAAGAGCTTGACATATTGTATAGACAATTGTCATATGTTGAAGAGCTTGACATATTTTAAAGACACTGGTCATATGTTGAAGAGCTTGACATATTGTAAAGACAATTGTCATATGTTGAAGAGCTTGACATATTGTAAAGACACTGGTCATATGTTGAAGAGCTTGACATATTGTAAAGACAATTGTCATATGTTGAAGAGCTTGACATATTGTAAAGACAATTGTCATATGTTGAAGAGCTTGACATATTGTATAGACACTGGTCATATGTTGAAGATTTTGACATATTGTGTAGACACTGGTCATATGTTGAAGATCTTGACATATTGTAAAGACAATTGTCATATGTTGAAAAGCTTGATATAATGAATTTCATCAAAAGATTTATCATTAAGGATCTTGGATATATTTTAAGTTTTTCCTTTTGTCATTACTTTTATATGTGAACATCCTTCTCCTTAATCTTTTAGCTACTTTTTTCTAATTCTGTATACTTCTTAAACTTTTTTTTCACACTTGGAAATAACAATGTATGTTTGTCTATTTTACAATAATAATCAACAAAAACATCTCATCTTTTCACCTAATGAAACCACAAAGTCATTATTGACATGTTCTTTCAACAGCAGGAGGATTTATCCACAAGGAAGATATGAAATCCGAAAGCAAACACTTAAGAAAACTCGACATCTAAATTAAAATAGTATTAATGCATCGCATGCCACCTTTCAATAAACAGGCCCTGCAAAGCAATTAATTAGTCCCCTACCCACAAGGTCGAAGGGGACTTAAGGTTTGCACTCCGTCCGTCTGTCTGTCTGTCTGTCCGTCTGTCTGTCCTTCTGTCAGTCCGGCAAATCAGCTTTCCACACTTTTTTTCTTCGTTCTTGAAGATATTGATTTGATATTTGGTATATAGTTTTATCATGACAAGTTCTAGATCAAGTTCAAATTTTGTTCCGGTCTGATGATTTAATCCAGAGTTATGGACCATAACTCTGGACCATATCTAATGTTAGAGTACTATGTTAAACCATATTTCTGTACAAAGGGAGATAACTAATTTTTTAAAAGACATTTTTTGTTCAATTATTTGAAGAATTTTTTGGCAGGTTTGTTAGTTATTTAGTATAAACTAATTTTCTGAATGCTATATATATAAAAAAAAATTATGAAGAGAAATCCTTTAATTAGATAATAATCCATTTTTATTATGTATATATTTCAATACATTACATTGTGTAGAAAAAAGTTGTTGACATTTTATAGATAAGTTACAAATCTATATTACTTTGTGACAAATGAAAGAAAAAATATTTGGAACTATTAATTATATTTGATTATAATTTGAAACTAGATATACACTGTATTACATCATATCTAATTTTAGAGAACTATTAATCATAGATCAAGTTAAAATTTTTGTTTCGGTCTAATATTTTTGTGCAGAGTTATGGTCCTTGTTTTACTATATTTTCGCTAAAAGATTAGAATTTCCTCTCTATCTAATTCAATGAATCACTATAGAATAAGGTATGACACTCAAGCTCTGATACTTTTGCCTCAAAAATGGATTAAAAGTGAAAACATAACTCTTAACCATTAAGTTTATCTAAACCAATCCATGTTGTAATCCGTCCTAAAAGAGAACCAGAAGATACCATAGGGATATTCAATCTCGTTGACAAACTGATGCCATGGCCAAAAAAACAATTCTAACCTCCAGATTCAATATAAAAATTTAACTCATTGAGACAGGAATGACAATGCATACCCTTTACACAGTACATGTATACAAATGGTGATTCAGTTAAAATCACACTTATGGGGATATTTTAACAATGAATTCTTGAGATTGTAGTTGATTCGCAGGGTTGTAAATAAAAGAACCAATCACCAGAAAAGATAATTATAATACCATATATTACCTTTTAAATCAATATTTCCAAATGGATCAATCCAGATTGGGCAGCCATCTTTACTAAACCCATGCAGACCTCCTGTGAAGAATTTCTTTAAAACTTCAGGTTCTGTGTAATCCTGTAAAATCTTATCTGCAGACACTTTCTTCCTCCATTCGATGTGCTAAAATAATGATATAATTTCTATCACTGAAGTTATAAAGTATTGGAGAAGTGACCTACTAACAACAAAGTATTGGAGAAGTGACCTACTAACAATACCTCACACATGAACTGCTGTAAATTCAGAAATTTTTGGGATGTTTTTATTATTGCGAAAAATTGCAACAAGATCATGAAGATAGGTATTGCAAAAAAAATTTCTCACATTTCTTGTAGTAGCGATTATTCATCTTGCATTTTTTGTCCATTGTTCAACAATCTGAACAACTGAAACTGCGAGCTACTGATCACTGATGATACCCCCGCCCAAATGTAAGTGTTCGGTAAACAGGAAGTTGTTGAGTGATGAATCTGAAAACGCATCACACGGTATAGCTGACTCATATAAACCATGAAACAAAATTTCAGAAATCCTTGTAATGTAGTTCCTGAGATAAATGTGACGAAAATTTTCAACTACTTGGTAAAATGATGTAAGTGTTCGGTAAACAGGAAGTTGTTGATCATGAGTGATGAATCTGAAAACGCATCACACGGTATAGCTGACTTTTATAAACACTGAAACAAAATTTCAGAAATCCTTATGATGTAGTTCCTGAGAAAGATGCGACGAAAAATATTCATGGGACGGACGGACAGACAGAGGTAAAACAGTATACCCCCACTTTTTTAAAGCAGGGGTATAATTATAATTGCACTCAAAAATTTCTAAAATTTACAGTACTGGTACATCATTGTGTGACAATCTCTGAGAAATAATTTAATCCATATGGTACCTTTACCAATGTTAACATGACCAATTTAAGAAAAGTTATATACTCTTAAAATAGACAATTTAATGGGTAATGATCTTATTGTGAAGAAAAGGTTTGGTACATTCTTTTAAATTAAGGCCTGTTTGAGTGATTTCTTTGTCCTTAAAATGAATAAAAAACAAAAACAAATGATTTATCACTCTCACTTCAAATTCAACTACTTTTACATTTTAAAGCCATGTGTTAGCTATAATAACAATAAAAATTAACAATACCCCGGTACTAGGAAATCAGATATATGGCTTTCAATGAGTTATCATTACACACATGTGCACATGTTTAACCCCACCACATTTTGTATGAGCCTGTTCCAAGTCAGGAGCCTGTAATTCAGTCATTGTGGTTTGTTGCTTTTGGCCAGATGAAGTTAATAAAAAACAATACTCTTCCAGTGTAGCTGGTTGATATCTCTGATTTTATGGAACATGGATATAAGTAGATATCAGATTATGTCAATGAGAAAAAAGTAAAATAACAAAAATACCAAACTCCAAGGAAAATTCAAATTGGAAAGTCCCTTATCAAATGTCAAAATCAAAAGCTCAACCACATCAAACAAATAGAAAACAACTGTCATTTTCCTGACTTGGTACAGGCATTTCCTTACATAGAAAATGGTGGATTAAACCTGGTTTTAAAGCTAGCTAAACTTCTCACTTGTATGACAGATATGTAAAATTCCATTATATTGACAACAATGTGTGAGCAAAACAAACCCAGTAACTTTACAAATAAATGGGAGTTTGTTTCACACAAATGATAGGTATCAATAACAATGTGTTGTTTACATTATCATAGGTTTGTATGATAAATGGTGTTGTTTTATTCTTGTCCTATGTTTTGGGGTTTTTTTTGCCATTGGAATGTCACAACATTATTCTCCTTAACTACTGCATTGTATGCTTAACTTTTACAGTTGTTAAACATGTTAAAGCTGAGCTTGAAACCAAATACAAGTGTATAAGTCAATCATTATAGACACAACATATATGTATTTCAATTTGTCCTAAGCTGCATAGAAATATATACACACATGTGCAATACACATACTACAATAGGACAACCATCATTATTGTTAAGTTACAGTCAATTAAATTCCGACAAAAAAGGTTTATATACATGTAGCATATTTAATAAGAAATTAAAAATGTACATACGTTTAAAATTCCAATAATGATTTTTACTGTCAATTACACGTACCTGAAAAAGTTGTTTGACTATGCCAATAGGATGACAAATTGAATTGTTTATGATAATTAAAAGGTAACTTACATTTCTAAACATGATTTCAGACTTCTTCAAATCAAAATTTCTGGCTGAAATAATACATAAATATGGAAATTTTATTTGCAAATCATTTGTATTCATTAAAATAAATATGGTGCTGTCAGTTTCAACTTCAAACACAATGTACGTTTTTTCATTCTAAAATCAATCTTTTCACCAAACAAATAAAGTATGTGTACCAACCGAATCAAACTGTGTTTTTTTCTTGTGATAAAAAACAGGTTTAAAAGATATTAATCAAGGAAAAAATTAAAAATTAGCATAAAAAATATTTGAACATGTTGAATGCAATTGTTCTTTCTTTTTCTAAATGTTATATACCTCTTAGCCATCTCAGTAGGTAGAAATCATCTTGTTCTGGACATAGTAAATCTGAAACTGCTTCTTTGAACTGAAACAAATTACAAATTCCAGTTATTATACATGTATATGCATACTTTCTACAAGGCTAGTCTGCCTGTCTCTGCACATCTTCTTCTAGGGAATTTCAGTACAAGAAAGTATTTATTTTCCTATACTAAAAGGTAGAGGTGTGTACAGAAGTGTGGTGGTATTTTGTAGGTACATCGGGGTTCTCACTAAGGCGAATCCATAAGTCCTGGACTCATGAAAATCTGTCTGGACTCACCATTTTCAAAACTGGTGAGTCGAAAGATGCAACCAGATTGAAATATTTTGTATAAACTGAACACACATATCATCATTTTATCATGTTTATAGCAAAAGTTTCAAAGAAATCCAAATTTAATGTCATTTCATTGCTCTATTAGGTCATGGAGACTAAAATGATAAATTATATTGCAATAAAATATCTTCTTCTTACTGTTGGACTCACCATGGCCAAAAATGACGAGTCCCTGGACTCGTCTTCAAAAATCCTTAGTGAGAACCCTGTTACATGTATATGACATTATGGTCATACCAAAATGTTCACTCATGATTCTACAGGCTGGGGAGAATCCTCATAAATGGTACTATATAGATATAAGAAGATGTGGTATGAGTGCCAATGAGACAAATCTCCATCCAAGTCAAAATTTATAAAAGTAAACCATTATAGGTTACAGTACGGTCTTCAACACGGAGCCTTGGCTCACACTGAACAGTAAGCTATAAAGGGCCCCAAAAATTACTAGTGTAAAACCATTCAAACGGGAAAACCAACGGTCTGATCTATATAAAAAACGAGAAACGAGAAACACTTATGAACCACATCAACAAACGACAACTACTGAACATCAGATTCCTGACATAGGACAGGTGCAAACAAATGCAGCAGGTTTAAACGTTTTAATGGTACCAAACCTTCACCCTTTTTCTGAAACAATAGTGTAACATCACAACATAGAAAGACACACTATAAAATATCAACTGAAATAGCTTAACTCAATCAAAGAACATATTAACACCATTGAACATACACTGAACTATCCACATTTATGGGTATTATGCCCAAAATTGGGTATCAATCTACAGTGATAAAAATTCAAATTTTGTATTTCATCATTATACATGTACATTGAAGCTGTCATGGCGCAAATATTCATGTAAATAGCAACATTTTTTCCTTTAGTTCAAATGAGAACTGAATACAAAGATAATGGCCTCCAAAAATCCTACATTTTGAAGGCTGTTAACTTTAATCCTGATGATATTTCAGTCATGGTGTCTTTAGGCAAAATATTGTCCTTTACCCGAATGTTTGGGCTATGACATAAATATCTGTAAATGCAAAGTTTATATTTTTATCACTGAAAATTGATACCCATTTTGGGGTAAAATACCCATAAATGAAAATAGTACCCATTTATGAGCAGTGGTCTCGTTAGCCCAAAATAGAAGGGCGCCGTGCCCTGGGTGCCCTCAGCCGTGCCCTGTGTGCCTTCATCCGCGGCCTTCTGCCCTGACGCCTTTTTCCCAAAAACCCTTGTGCCGTTTTGGTAAAATTGCCTTTTGTTTCATCGATTTCTTATCACAAAGTTAAATTACATATATGACACCAGGTGATTGCCCCCAGGTTAATCATGCCAGTACAATCAATCACAGTGGATAAGACTTCAAAGGTGTTAATAACTAGGTAATTTAATTAAGACAATGTACCTTTTTGTCATAAATTTGATGAATGTGTCAGCGAGTGTTTTTAGCTTGGGTCGGCATTTTCGATCTCCAAGAAGAGTGTATAAATGAAGACTTTCATGACTTTAGAATAGAATTTAAGTCATCAAAATACAACTATGCCTTCACAGAAACGCTGTCCATCTCAACTTGTGAGCGACAAGCAAACAGTAAACGTGTTAGAAATTAATTTTGGAGTTACTTCCCCTGTTTGAGCTTATTACAAATTTGTGCTCCTAAAATATCATGTAGTATTAAAAATAGGAATAAATAACCAATTGAATACAAAATTATATAAGAATGTTACCTTAAGGATATTAACTGTCTTTGAACATAACAAAAAAAAATATATTGCAATTTATTTTTGATAATCATACTTTTAGCAATCTATGTTCTATACATTGTCTGATTGTCAATTAAGAAATTTATAAGATTAATTGTTATGATGATGTTAAGCTCCAATCCTACAAAAATGGTAGTGTGAAGTTAAACTATCATGACATCAACTTACTAGCTGAAAATTTTGAATTAAGACAACTCTGTCACATGTATGCTAAACTATGAGATGTTTAGTTTATGTTGGTTTTTTTTTGGAAAAGGGGAGGGGGGGGGGGGGGAGAATAGTAAGTTAATTTGCCTCTATTGGTTTATAGTGATGTGATGTATGAATGTGTATTGACATGTTTTATGAATATGTCGTATGAATTACATTTTCTAATGCAAATTTTATAGAATAAATAATCAAAACAACAACTTATGCATCTTTATTAACAACATATACAGTAAAAAAAAGAATGTGAACTCGTGATACACACAGAAACGTAGACAAAATCAAAGCACTGTAAGCGCTGTAGGCAGTTAACCAAAAACCAAGGCAAACATAATTATGAAAACTGTGGCTATGTTGCTTCATTTTTTTTAAGATTTAAAAGAACAAACATTAAACATTCATATATTGTGCATTTATGTTCATTTAATGAATTAATTATTAAGGCAAATAATTCATATTTTATCAAGGTTTTCAAAAGCAACGCATATATCAAGTATATTTTTAATGGTCATGTGTCTGCAGTGGTACAAGTTCGAAATGATTGCAGTTGTTCTAGTTGATAGTTAACGTTGGTATTAGTTGACTGTTAGTAGTTCAAGTTGACTTAGTACGAGCTTGTAATAGTATGCATGGACTTGCTTCCCTGGAAAGAAAACTGAGTTTGTGTTCTACAGTGCAAAAGTTATGAGACACAAATCAGACAAATGTTTACTACTACGGGGATCAAAGGTGAGGTCTGACTGACCTGCCCATAGTAAATGTAAATGACCCCCGCCTTCACCCCAAGTCCATGATGTCTAAGTTTGGAATAAAATGACAGGTGATTATAATAAAGTTGGTCAAACACTCTTGGGCTTGAAAGATATGTTTTCTTTAAAATGAGCCATATTAAAATGAAATTTTTTATAGAACCAGAAATTATTCAAAATATAATTAAGGTAAATTCTTTAAACCTGCTCATTTTTTGCATCAATAAAATTTTATAATAAACAAGAAATAATTGTAACAGAATGCTGTTACGAAGTCTCCCAAACAAAGCTGCCATAATTATTCATTCCCATGGTCGCCTGACATTGGGCAAAGTCTAGTACACATTGATAAGGTCTAGTAAAGTGATATGCATATGTGATGCCTATGAGATTGACCTTGTATGTCATTCAAATCTGTTTGAAATGACGAACAGGAATGAATATGGTTTAGGAGTTGGTATCTCAAACTTTTACAAGTTCTTAAAACACACACAAGAGGGGATGGGGTGACCTTAGAGACTAACCCTATGTTTCATTTGATTTTTTATGTTGTCCCATACATGAATATATATATGGTTTAGGGGTGGGGATCTCGTCCGTTATCAAGTTTTCAAACAGGAGGGGGTGGGGTGACCCCAGTGACTTCCCCTATTTTTCATTTGATTTGTTATATTGCCAAATACATGAGTATATATGGTTTAGGGGTGGGGATCTCATCTGTTTCCAAGTTATCAAACAGGAGGGGGTAGGGTGAACCTTAGGACTCTCCCTATATTTCATTTGATAAGTTCTGCTGTCCCATACATGAATATATATGGTTTAATTAAGAGGTCGGGATCTCGACTGTTTCCAAGTTCTCAAACAGGAGGGGTCGGGTGACTGCAGGGACTCCCCTATATTTCATTTGATTTGTTATATAGTCCCATACATGAGTATATATGGTTTCTGGGTGAGGATCTCGACCGTTTCCAAGTTCTCAAACAGGATGGTTTACAGTGACCATAGGAGCTGCCCCTATATTTCATTTGATTTGTTATATTGTCCCATACATGAATATATATGGTTTAGGGTGGGGATCTCGACCGTTTTCAAATTCTCAAACAGGAAGGGGTAGAGTGGCCCCAAGCACTCAACCTATATTTCATATGATTTGTTATATTGTCCCATACATCAATATATATGGTTAAGGGGTGGATCTCGACCGTTTCCAAGTTCTCAAACAGGAGGGGTGGGGTGACCCCCAAGGACTCCCCCTATATTTCATTTCATTTGTTATATTGTCACATACATGAATATGTATGGTTTATGGGATCATTATTTTTTTGTATGCTCCAATGAACAAATTATGTCTTTAAGAGAAAGATATATACCTACATATTACACACAAAATCCTTCCCAATTGAAACTTACTGGTCTATTATCACACTGTAACGTGCCACTGCTAACAAAAGTGTGCATGTTTCTAAGACATATTGAAAAAATATTTTCATAATACAAAGCATGTTACAATAACTTCATATCCACGTTGCAATTAAGAATTTTGCAAACAAATCAACCAACTATGGTTTATTTCAATTTTATTGTATGATATCACTTATTTATTTGTTGTGTGTCTTGCTTGTAAATGTATAAGTATATATGTAATTGTTAATGTATAATTGTTATCCTCTTGTAGCACCATACGTGTGCTTAAGTTTAAATAAATTGTCTTGTCTTGTCTTGTCTTGGGATCTTGACCGTTTCCAAATTCTCAAACAGGAGGGGTGGGGTGACCGCAGGGACTCCCTCTATATTTCATTTGATTTATTATATTGTCCCATACATGAATATATTTGGTTATGGGGTGGGGATCTCGACCATTTCAAAGTTCCAAAACAGGAGGGTTGGGGTGACCCCAGGGACTCCCCTGTATTTCATTTGATTAGTTATATTGTCCCATACATGAATATATATGGTTTAGGGGTGGGGATCTCGACT